TCCCGCGCGGCGAGTCGGCAATGATTAAGCTTTCGCTCTACGGTAATTACGCGAAGCACGGAAACACGGCGAGATGTATACAACAACGCGCATTCACCCGCGGCCACAACTCCCTCGCTTTTGCTCTCGCGCTCTCCTTCCTGGTTCACCCTCGCACGCGCCCTTTTCCGTTTTCCACGCTCGTCCGACCAAACTTAATAATAATAATAATTGCGTACACAAAAACGCTCACAAGCGAAACAACGAGAAACCGAAATGAACGTTGCAACGAGAAACACGGAACAAATAGAAAGAGTAGGAAACGGAATGGGAGACGTTACGAAGAAGAGCAGCGTATAAATACTAAATTCGGTCAGGAACGAGCGCCGCTACCGGCGTCAAACGAGCGTGCGGGATACCGCAAATTCTACGATTCGTTTTTTCATTTCTTTCAAAGCGGATTGGACCGACCGCGAACGTTTCGGTCGCGCGTGCCGCGAAAAGACCTCCGTTAAAAAGGGTACGAAGACCGGTCGAAGAAGACGATCCAGAAAACGGGATAACGAGAAACGAATTTTCGCGGTACTTGTTCTCGACTTGGCTCGTCGCGTACCATTGCCTCGAATAGTGCAAGGAAAACATTGTGGCCATTTTCCTTCCGTCCCCTCGCGTAGATTGCGGTCTTATGAAATTACGCGAAACTGCTTCTCGAGATGCGGCGCGCCAGCAAACTCCGCGGAAACGGCGAAACGTTTTGTTCGTCGTTGCAAAAGAGGATCCGACGACCCTTCGTACGCGTTGCCCTCGATCGATCCGCCTCGAAACTCTCGATCGACGATGCACGCTTGATTTCGCGGCCTTTAAAGTCCGATCGTGTACCGCTATCCATTAACCGAAACGCAGGGAAAACCGGACGTACCGGTGAATCGTGGCACGTACGCTCTCACCCCCCGGTTATCTTCCGCCTTCTGACAACCTGATCTATTACCATTTACATAATAGACAAACGCGGAGGAAACGAACGAACGAGAGAACGTAAAAGCGCAAACGTCTAGAAGGCGTCGTTGGCTAACCGAACGGTACGTCGCGACACTACGAAGAAGCACCGAGTTATAAAACGTTGGTCCCGAGTCGCGATCTCCCGGGAGCATCTAAACTGGAATAAAGTCTCGAAACGAGAAGAGATAAACGACGTCGGTTCCATTACCGAGGCAAACTCTTCGCGAACATCGTCGCGGAACATCGTCGCGGAACAACGCGCGTTTAACGGTCTCCGATCGAATTTTGCGAATCCTCGGCTCCGCGCAAACGAACGATTCAAATTGTACGTAGGTACAGAGAGAGGAGAGGGCGGAGGAAGCGCGACTCGCGAAGAGGACACGTCCTCCTCGGGATAACGGCCACTCCGATGATTCGATGGCGCTTTCTCGATCGAATCGTACGCTCGGCAAACCAGGTGGTTTAGACGAGGGTGCGCGGCGCCACGTTGCCCGTTAGGATAGCACCTAATGTAATCACGATAATGGCCACGCCGGGTCAACCAAGAGCTCTACGCCATCGCTCTCGGCATCCCAGACATTCCTGTATCATCGCGTGATCTGGACATGAAAGGGGAAGAGGAATGGGAATGTAGTGGCGGCAGGAAGAAGAGGAGGAGGTACAGGTGGACGAGGAGGAGGAGAATGATAGGAGAAAGGGAGGGAGGAGGCGGTACTCCCGTGGAATCCCGATTACTAACGGGCGCTAACAGGCTTCCGAACAATCGTCGTCCGTCGATGCATCATCGTTCATCGTTCATCGACGGCATCGCAACTCTTCTCTTTTGATCGCTAAAAAATCATTCCCGCGTATCGCTCGCCCGTTATTCCTTCAAACATTCGCTCGCGCGAAACGCGAAACAATGAAACGCCTGGCAATTTTTACCGAGACACGAAAACCTTTCCCCGAGGATTACCGATTATCGAAACGTGCCTTGGATTCATCGATCGAGGACCAATCTCGCCGAGCCGCGCTGTTTCGAACGATACTCGTTAGTCGACGACCGACGAATTTCACGTGTCACCGTATACTACTACCGTCCGAACACTCGAATCATCGGTATCGATCGTTCGCTTCCTCGAAATTTCGACGAGCGAGCCAATTGCGACGCGAACCCTTAACCTGCCGCCGCCGCGATGAAACGAAAATTTCGCCCGACGATTTCGCGTCGGAGCATCGCTCGACCTTTCACCTATATTTCGAACGCGTAATCGAATAAAAACGTTCCGAGAAAATACGCGAAAACTTGCCGTTGATCGGATATCGATCGAATCGTCGTCGCCGACAATTTGGCGTAACGGTGAAATATTTGCGTGATACGGTAAAGAAAAATCGAACGAAACGTGCGATCCGAGTTGGTCGCAAAGTACACGAAAGAGGCAACGACGCGACGCCAGGAGCGGTAGCAGGTGTAAGAGAAACGAGAAACGAGAAACGAGCCCGTTAAGCGAATTAACGTTCTCCGTGGTTCTCGAACAACTTCTTCCCGAGTATAACCCGACTTGGTGGATGCGAGAGACCCATACGTTTCACCTACGGAAACTTTTCCTTCTCCCGTCACTCTCTGTCCTTGTCCGACTATCGCGTTGCACAGATTTCGACGATTCGTACCTTTCTACCAGACGTCGCGAGAAAACGAACGTCGCTAACTCGATCAACGATGCTTCCTACATTTTTACCGTTCGTTAGCTTTCCTCTCCTATCGGCCAATTTTCCTCGACGATTAGCCATCCCGCAAACTACGAACAGCCTGCAAAACAATTCTGCCGATATTAAATCAAAGGCATACGCTCGGCTAATCAACGCGGCGAAGGATAGGCAGCGGAAATCGGAGTAAAACAAACGGAAAGAAAAGAAAAACTTATAGGCGAGGAAAGCGAAGAATAATTCCGTTGGAGGCGATCGAAAAATCGGGGTACAGGAAAGCAGCGTATATAAATCGGTGTATATGCATATTTTACCTTTGATGGTTGCGTTCATTTGCATGCCCACCAAACTATCGGCCCCTTCTAAATCGATATATTCAAACGCATTCAACACGCGTGGAACAAGCCGAGGAAAATAACGTGATCGCTTCACAGAGTCGCTCGTCGACGCGACGAAACAAACGGGCCTCTGCTCTCTCGTTACGCCATACGAATCGGTCGCGATTACGAATACCGAAGCGAAGGTTATCCGCTGGTGTTTCGCAGCCTTAATTGCGTGCACCGTCAGCGGATAATTGATGAAGTAACGCGATTATTCGTATGGTCGGATAATTCTGTGGATTGTTAGAAGACCGGCCATCCTGGAACGCTGATAATCGATCGTCCATACAATTGCTTCGTTCTATTTCGCGTTGCAATAACGCAACAACGAAGCTATTTGTTAAACTGTCAAAATTACTCTCTCTCCAATCTCTCGTCCGTGCTCGTGCGTCGCGTCACACGACGAATTTTCTTCCGCAAAAAGAAAAAGATAATACAAAAGTTGCTGCAAATACGCCTTTTTCTCTCTTTGGATTCCTTTACCGTTTCCTTTTCCCTTTCCTTTTCCTCTTCCTTTTCCTATTCCTTTATCTTCCTACCCTCTCGAGTTTTCCGCCAGCGGTGAAATCCGCGACAAAGCTAAGGAACGATGGAAGACACAAAGGAATTCCATCCGAGATGAATTAACACATATTTCACGCGGTAAACGGAAAACTTTGTTATCAAGACGTGGCTGTCTGATGAGCCGTCTTTGAGAACGAGTTTTAAACGGAGAAAAATCTTTTACTTCCCACGTACTTGTATACATACCGGAACTCGCACGATACTCCGCGAACATAACCGGCGGAGTCATCTCTCGACGAGGGAGCAAAATTGCTCGTTCCGATTGCTGAATTCGCAGCGACCTTCGATCCGTACGGGTTCTCCTCAGCCTCGAAAAGCCATCTTTCGGAAACTCACCATAGCTACTCATCGAAAGGTAAATGGTCCACCTTCGATCGAATATTTTTATACGCGAGTCGAGATGCGCACAACGATAAAAGATTCCGGAGAAGCTCGACACTTTCAGGCAATGCAGTTCCCTCCATTATCCTCCCGAGATAACAGAAACAAATTTGTTTGAACCGAAGGGAGATGGTTGGAAATTTAAGGAATACTTTAATAAATTACCACCGTATATTTCCCGTCGTTATTTGCTCGTAATCAAGTTAAAACTGGTACCTCTATAAATTCTCAGCAGTATTACATTTGCACAGGTCTAAGAATCTTCTTGACCGATCTTGAAGGGTTGCGATAACTTTTGCAGTACCAATTCGGGTATACGCTTCTCGGCCAAATTTCTCGTCCCAGGAAGGTTGGCAGGCACTTGAGACTTTTCCATCAAATTCGGTCCTCCGGGTACCGGGAATTGATTATCGATGATCAGCTTCGACAAAGGCATGGCTTTCTCGTCCAGATTTTCCGTGTTTGGCAGCGGAGACCAAACCAGTTCCGTGTTTTTCGCGATGTTAGACCTCTCGGGAGCCGCTGCGATCGATCCGATGAGCAGCACAAAGACAATCATCTGTAACGATTCGATACGTTGCATTGATCGATCACGGTTGAACGCGTCTCGTGACGATTACCCGGCGACGTATAGAGAACCTGTTGCGACTATAACGACCCCTTACCTCGATCATGTTCGCTCGGATCTTGGTGACCAACTGTTTTCTCTGATCGGACTCGCGGATGACGATACTTTTATACAGGTAGATACGGAACGTACGTGGCGACACTGGTCCCACTACACGTATCGGCGTTTTATTTCGATGAGTCGAACGACCATGCCCGGAGCAATGTCTCTTCGTCGAATTATTTTCTTTTTCGATCGTTCCATTCTCGATCTCGCTACGGATCTACCTGCTTCCTCGCGATTCGGTCGTAAAAACGAGGCACGAAATAAAAGAGCGAAGCGACGAACCGTAATCTCGATCCTTGGTATAAACTGCCAGATGCATCTTCGCTTATTACTTTCACGATTCTCCTGTTTATCGAAGATACTACAAGTTACTGTTTTTGAATGAAATACGCGGTATCCCCGAGTGTCGAAATAATCAAAGCTCGAGCGAAAATTGCACTTTCGATATGAAGAACAGGAATAGTTTTCGGACAAGCAAATGTTATTTCAATGGAAGAAAACAAATGTTCGGAACACGCTAGGTGGTCTAAGCCTGCGTCTATTCATATAAAATCGAGGAACCAGTGAACTCATGGATTCGTCGAATTTCCGACGACGAGTTTTTTCTTTCTTTCGTCCAGGTAACTACGCAGCAACGATAGGCTATTTTTTCCATCGACTTTTTGCCTTTTAAAGGTGCAACGACCCACACGGTTAGTCGATAATAGGATGCGAAGACGTCGATTCGATTCGAGCGTGGTATACTGTCATCGGAGAAGCGACGTCACTTCACCACTTTTCCAGTCGATTACCCGATTACTACGAGCAAAGCCACGTAGGTCCCCCCGCCGTAAACTTACGGGGAAAAAGTGACGTCACGTCGTCCATGTACCTTGACATTTCTCGCGTCACAGCCAACTTTTCTCTTTGCCACATTTCCGAGCGATCAACGACGCGCCTCCGCGATTCGCCACGTGTTGTAATGGAATAGGCGGTAACTTTGATATTCGTAATTTCGAGATTCGTTCGAAATAAACTACCCTTCTGCCTACACTCGACGCCTACGGACGTTTTCTCGACACAATCGATTCGAATTTCCGACTGTCGTTAACGAAACGTAAACAATCCGGATCACGACCGTCGCGCGACATTCAAACGCGCACCGAACGAACGCAATAGCTCCGATCGAATTAGTAAGAATCGAATTTGCGTTGAAAACGTTTCGTTTTCCACGATTCTTAAATTAGTCGTTGCTCACTGGGTATTCGAGTGCCGACGCGTGCCTACGCGTGTATTGGTAAAACGTTCGTTTTCATCTCGAAACAGAGAAAACCGAAAATACACGGGGTCTGACGTAGAAACCGGAGTTTCAAAGTAAGCAAGCAAGCAAAATCGATCTTGTATTTGTTTCTTTTGTTTTTACACCCGAAAGCCGCAGTTTGAACTTGGAACACTTCAAGAACAGATTTGTCTAAATCTAGACGATTCTGCGAGTCTCTTAGTTATCTACTCATTTTTCGTTGTTCTTCCGATTAAAATGAGCCGTAAAGAAATCCCAGGAAGAGCGGCGCTCTCGTTTCCCGCCGTCGACGGACTCTTGGACATGGATCAAATTTTAGAAACCGATCCGTGGAATCAAGTCAACGACTTTGTACAGCAGAATTTCATGCAAAACATTTTGGAAGAATTCAGCGATCGAATAAAGCTGAATCCGAAACTGACGCCCGAGAAAGGTAAGATGACATTTTAGTTCGAGTTCGGTCCTTTTATCCTTGATCTAACGGCAGGTGAGGCTACGGGAAAAAATCGAGCTACGTCATCGTCGAAAAAACCTCGTAAAACGCGTCGCACCGAGGAAGAAAAGTCGACCGAACAGAGAGGCGATGATTTGTCGGCCGATGGAGGTCAAGGGTCCAAGAAAATAAGGAAAAAGAGGGAAACAAAAGGCGCGAATCGTAAACAGGAACAGATCGTGGATGAAAAAGCAAAAAGTCAGGGTAAACCAAAACGCGAATCGAAGCGAAAATCGACTAAAACCTCAAACACATCAAAGTATCAGCAGGAGTCAGAAAACGGTTTGGAAACGGACGCCAAGGTAAACTCGACCGCTAAACGGACGAGAGGCAAGAAGAAAACGGAAAATATCGTCGAAGAAACGCAAGCCGCAGGTACCGAAACTGGAAACGCAACAATAAATAACGAAACGATGATAAGTACGTCGCAAAGCATAAATCCACCGATCAATACCAGTACACCGAAGAGCAAACACGCGCGAGTTAACGATTTCGCGGAGAAAGAACCAGAAAATAACGTTTCGGATTTGAAAAAGAGTCTGCTCTCGAACGGGGCCTCTTCCAAGAAATGCCATGTAAAAGAGATTCGCGCGAAGAAGGACTTGAACGATAACTGGGACGAAGTTACGATCAAAGAGAAAACGAACGAAAAACCGTCGATAAAATGTAAACGCGAAACTGAAAAAAATACGCAAGCTAAAAAAACAGAGAGAATCGATAAATCCACGCGATCAAAAGACATAAAAAAACCGGTGAAATGCAACGATGACGGAAAAACTGCTACAAGTAATATGTTACGTTTTTCCTGCGAATTTCCGTTAATTTTGTTACGCAATAATCGCTGTTTGAACAGGCAAGAAGATTGGAAAATACGAGCAACGACTGCTCGAAAAACGGAAGAGACGAGAGGAGAGGAAGATACGACGGCACGAGAGAAAGGCGGAACGAGCGATGGAAGAATTCGGACGTCACGTAACGAAGATTGCTCAAAAGATGGGATACCTGCCAGGTACGCTTTCTTCGGTTTTTTAACTATCGTTTAGTCTAACAGCGGACATAAATTTTCGGAACGATTTACTGATTTTCAGAAAACGGTACATCCTCGAGCAGCGATTACGATTTTTCCGACGAATCTTCGTGTGACTGTTGTTCCTGCAGCTCGTGCTCCTGTTGCACGTGTTCCAGCTGCAGTTGTTCCTACGAACATTCAGAGTACACCTGCTCTTCTTCCAGCGAATAGTTCATCGAACAGAATTTTTATAAACTTGACTACTAATACAAGAACTTGGGTATTCTTGTACGCGCGGCGCAGGGCGCTGACGTTTAAATGCCACTTGTTAATTAAACTGTATACGTAATTGTAAAACACGCAAATGACTAGCAGTCTGAAATAATAAATTATCCCTCAATTCTTTGTACTTCTAAAGCTATCATAAATCTGATATAATATTTCGGATTGAATACAATAGCTCCAAAAATAAATTGAAGCTGATAATTGAAAGCTGTTCGGTACAGTTATATGATCAAATATCCGTAATAATTGGTAATGCTGTGTATGAACAGGGCTATTTTTAACTATACCGGCCCACGTGTTAAGGAAGCGTTACGAGAACGATCGACGAGGCAATTGTTCTCGATTGAATTCGGATCGCGAAGCCAAAATACTCGTTGACGATCTAACGAATCGAACGAAATCGAATTGAAATGAAACGAAACAGTTACACGATACATCGTATTACCTACTTCCATCGTAACGGTTTTCTCTATTTATATCTTCGATATTGCCGTCGTTGCACTGGTATGTACGATCCATCCCTATGGACATTGTATACTTGACATACATTTTAAAAATACTTTCTGGTTTAAATTAAATTCCACCTCGGGAGTATGCGCGTTATTTGGCGATCGGTAACACGTATTATTTGGCCATCTCGGGCGTTCGAGCCTCTTATAAATTCGTACTCGAGCAGCGTTTTCTCTCAAGTACCGTTTTACCGATACGACTGACAATTACGAGCCTGCGGTTCGCGACACCTTTGCACGTGCTACACAGGAAAACGCGGGAGTACGCGAAATATCTAGCCGAACAGTTAACAACGTGACCGCCACGGTAGAAATAGCTGCAACTACGACACACGGTAACATGGATTATCGAGGGTATCAAGGAATAGAATAGGATCGAATCTGATGCTACATTTTGCTATTTTGGATTCTGTACTAAGCGTGATTCAGAATTTGCCAGCGGGATCCGAAATTTTCTTTCTATTTTCGTTTTTCAATTATTTGATTCCTGGCAAGCCTGTACCCATAAAATCTTTTTGATATCTGACAAATCCGCGTATACAAAACAAAACTGCGAAATGTCAAAAAATTTTTGAAACGAGTAATGCGTACTATTAAAAATTTTTAGCGGGATACGAGGAATTGTTAACGATCAGTTTAATAATACGAGTAATATTCGATCGTGTAAAAAAATAAAATAAAAGAAAGGATGAAGAATTAGTACGTTTGATCCTCGCATCAATGTTCCATACTCTTTTCCGATCTACGTCTGCGCGTCTCGGCCGGGTCTATAAAAGCGACGTAGGGCGTCGCGACGACTCCAGACGCGACATACGCGCATTGCTGAAAATGTGACATCGAACCGATGCTCTCGTTGTAATCATCTGACAGTTTTTTCAATTTTCTGTGAGACAAGAAGTCTAAAGAATCTCAGAAAGTTTAGCTAGGCAGTCAATTATATTGTTGGTGTGCAAATTCGTGTTTCGTATTATCGCGACCTAATCGGGTCGCAGTGAATATGTAAAAACCACGGATCGGAAGGAACTATCGAACGTGAAAGTTGAAACAGACTTATCAGTGAATCGTACGATCAGTGACACCTTTACACATCGTTCAAAGGATTACTGCCATCGTGGTAAGTTGCTGAATTCGATACCTGTGACGAACTCTGTAATTCGTGAATGAAATTAGCTATGTCGAAAGTTACGGTGCATATAACGATAAAACGTAAATGTGTAACGCGATATACGAATAGAATTAACGAATTTATCCAGGAAAAATTCTACCTCCCTTCTTGCTCGACCACCCACAACCCCACCTACTTTCAACCCGCCCCTTTTACTCTACGGACTTCTTTTCCGCTCTCGTTCTTGCTGAAAATGCACGTTACGCGTAAAGGCACAAGCCAAAATATTACTTCACTAATCTTTCGTGCGTGTTAAAATAGCCTCGGTAAACAGAAACGCTAAATATAACTGTGTCCAAAGCTTGTCAGAAGTAGCCAGTAAGAACCGGTAGAGAAGTAAAAAAAAGAAATTCGGTTCCACGAATTGGGAATTACGCGCGATATAAAAGTTACGAGACATCCACGCAAAACGAAACCGAGGAAACGTAAGGATCCTTATAACGACTGACGATACCGTGTCCTGAAGTTAAGAATTTGTACGGACGATCGTTTCGGAGTTATCGCGAGATAATACACGTTTTCAACCTGGCTAAGCTCGTCATCGACCATCGAGTGCTTTTACCAACCGAGTCCTTTTTTAATCGAATCAAGAGAGTAGAAACGATAACGAAATGGTTTGACGCGCGTTGCCGCAGCGAAATCCTTGCTATTGATCTAGGCAGCTCAAAAGGTCCTGGGTTCACCCGGCCAACCTCCGGTATTCCCCCCTTGTCTCCCCCACTCTGTGTCTCGTCCTTCGCCCACACAACTCGTCGACTCGAATTTTTCTCGATTTCGCAAAAATTTTCCATTCACCATAAAAAGTGTTATCCTTACTAGTAAGACTCTCCCTACTTTTCGTTCGCAAATCCTTCTATTCCAGGTTTTATCCATTTCTTTTCCAAGCGAGGATAAATAAGGATCAAAATTGTCGAAATAAAAGTATATCAAATTTGTACTCCGATCTCGATACCTTTTCTCGAATCGACAAAGTACGATGCTCTCTTGGATAAAAACCGCTCCAGGCAGTAAGCGTGTTTCGCGCAAGATCGGTTGCGCGAATGATGCGAGGTGATAATTTAAGATAGTATAGATGACGTAAACGTGTGGACACCTGAAAAAAAACAAAGGGAAATAAAATCTTTTAACTCAAGTCAAAACAAAAGACAGATATTAAAATGTTTATACGGTCTTATTACAGATGAAACTGCACGAGAAAAAGGAGTCCGGTATACACAGGGTGCAGGAGATTCCGCTGGAAGAATTGGATCTGTCGAAGGAGTACGACGTGGAGAAAACTCTTGGCGAAGGGAGTTTCGCTAAGGTTTTATTGGCGACGCATAGGGCGACACGGACGAGAGTCGTGTTGAAAGCCGTCCACCAAGAATTGACCACGGAGAAGGACTTTTTCCGCGAGTTCCACTACTCGTACCATTTGAGCCCTCACCCGAACATTCTGTGCTCGTACGCGGTCGCGTTCAAAGCGGACAAGTGTTTCGTTTTCGCGCAGGAATACGCCCCGTACGGAGATCTCGCCGCCAACGTGAAAGCCGGAGGCCTGAGCGAGGAAGCGTGCAAGAGGATCGCCGGTCAACTCTGCTCCGCTCTCGATTTCATTCACTCGAAGCAACTGGCGCATCGCGACATCAAATTAGAGAACGTGTTGGTGTTCGCTTTAGACATGTCGAAGATCAAGCTGTGCGATTTCGGTTGCACGAGACGCGAGGGGACGCTTGTCAACAAAATTCGATGCACCTGGCTGCCGTTTCAGCCGCCCGAGATCTACGACATCGTGAAGAATGAGAGGTATGCGTGCAAGAGGAGCGCCGATTGCTGGCAATTCGGCATCGTGCTGTTCGTCTGTCTGACGGGAAACCCACCCTGGCAGAGCGCCGATCTGATCCAGGACCCCGAGTACTCGGCCTTTCAAAGGTGGCTGAAGAGAAGAACCACCAAGATTCCGCCCACTTTCAGACGCTTCACGCCACGGTTACTGCGTTACTTTAGGCGAACCTTCGAACACAAACCTGAGAAAAGGCCGCACGTAACCGAGATCAACAAGTATCTAAAAGACTCTTGGTGCGTGAACAAAATCAGTCACAGCGCTACGTCGACGTCGGTGGACGCCAGCGAGACGATCGCGAGGAAAGGCGATAGTTTGTTGTACCTCGACACGATCATGGACGATCAACGAAACGTCGACGAGAACAAGAACAAACTGAGGAAGCTTCTGAACAGTTACGGCCTCGAGACCACGATCGATCAAAAAGTGGTTACCAAAAGGATCTGGGAATGGGTGATGCAATGCGATTCGAATATCGCCGAACCAGCTTTCGTCGGTAGCCTCGGCACGGAGAGCATGTGAGAGATGGCGAAAGCTTCTAGCGAACCTTGCCTCAGAAGCGATCGCCAGGAACGGAAATACAGTTTCGGTGGTTTCGACGGATCCCACGATGGACACTCACCGACCATGGTGCAACGTGCCAAACCAACCTTCGAAAGAACTCGTCTGTTTCGAGACTAGAACACCCTAGTGTCTTTCTTTGCCGAGTTTTGAAAGATTACTGAACATGGACGCGAAAACGTGTGATAACTCTTCATTCGGTATCCTTTCCCCTCCTTCGCATCGTTACTCGTTCGCCTGTATCCTTACACTCCCTCCTCTTCCTTTTCCACCTCCTTATTCTCCTGCATCAGTTTTCTCTACAAGCGGACCAATTATCGATGAATCTATCGGGATGTACATATGTGCGTATACGCGTACATACGCGCGCCCACGTGCTCCCCTACACATGTATGTACATAATATTTACGTACGACATCTTTCGTACACTTCCTGTCGCGCGAAACGACTTCGAAACGAGAATTGCCGAAAGGTTGCGCGCCATAGCCAAATTTGCAGGCTATTCTATTTCATTTTTTCCAGTATAAAGAATACGAAACGAATGTGATAAAAACTCGTTAAGACTGCGGCGAATGCGAGCGTAACTGCGATCGGTGTTTTCGGTGTCGACTATAGAGACAATAATGACTGCGGATTTCCTAGTAATTTATTACGTTACGATAATTAACATAGTCTAACGAACGATAATCGGTAGAAGTCACTGTACGAGGCCTTGCGTAAGATCGTTTAACCGGGAAAAAAATTGGAAAGGAAATGAGAAAACGAACTCTGGTTCGTTTAAGCTGTAATGGTCAAGAATTTCTGGAAATCTTCGAAGACAGGTCAGCGACACGTATAGCGTTACTAAATAATAGAGTGCATTCGTACACATAGCGCGCATATATTCTTCTAGCAATTTATCGGTAGAAGGAGTGAATATAGAAAAAAAAAACACAAAAGGATCGGTGACAGTTTGGTAGAGCTCTCTTCCTACGAAACGCGCGTAGCACACGATTCTTTCCTCGCATCTGCGACAAGTGTCGAAGGATAACAGGAAAGAAATGCGTGACAAAATTGACGCGTTAGGCCTCCGTTAACGCGAAGCAATGTTTTCTATATAAAAACATTATCGAAATAAACGTATTAAAAATGAACATGTGTAACGTATACACCTGTGATACGAAATAATTTCTTTTAAGCTGGATCCCTCTTCCTACCATTTTTAGTTCGTTTTATATTATCAAAATTTTCGAAGCGAAAACGGAACAGAATATTTGCTACCTGGTTAACAGAATTTGAAAGAAAAAAGGTAACTCTTCGCGAGCTTTGTTCTGCAAACTTCCAGCGAACTAGCACGCGAAACATTTACTTTCTATCCTTGGACTGTTAAACGTAAAAGAGAGCAACTAAGAGGGTCATCAGTGAACACTCGACCTCTGACCTTTCCCTTTTTTCCGAATCCGTGACTCGTATCGCGAACGTGCCACTTGTTCAATTTGACACACCCTTGACCTACGAAACATCGTACGTTTCATTTTTTTCTGCTTTTCAATCCGTCGTATTAACTGACTATTTATTCAAACCTCCAATTAAACTGTGCTAAATTTTATCGAACCTTTTCCAAAAAGAGGAAATATAAAAAGGAATAATAAACAACGAGCTGAAAAAACACGTGCATCGCGTTCGAATTTCTTTGAACCTATTTGTAGCTGGTGGTAAAAATCAAGCTGAGATCGCATAATTTATTACGTGAAACAGAAACGTACGATTCGTGGAAACGCTAGTGATCGTATATCGAATAAGACGAACTTCAATTTCCGTGGAAAACAATGAATTTTCTATATAGCAGTACGCGCGCACTATTGACGTGCACAGGATACAGGGAAAAGCGGAATAAGAAACGTCAAACAGTGGCAACGTGTATCCGGCTTTCATCGTGTCTGGATACAATGTATATTTTCGGCTTGCGTGTTTCTATTTTCATACGTCCCACGGTTATTCTTGATCTTCGACTTCGACAAGCTTTTTCTTTCGACGCGCGAATATACCTGTTTCGCGTCACGTATACAAAAAGACCGGTTTCTTCAGCACGTTCGACGACACTGTTAAAAATGAAACCGAAGACTAATACAAGGGCTAGAACGACGATAGTTACGAGACCGTGAATTTTCGAACAGACAGGAAGGGAAAGAAAGTCCAAGGGAACGACTACTGGGGGGATCTCGTCATCGATCCTCCGGTCCAACAGCCCGACGTCTATTTTCATACAAGCTAAACTATTTATATATACGGACAATGTTCCACTTCTATCACGCGACGAGAGAACCTAGCAGCGTCACAACCAGACGTGTCGTACCGTATCACCTCCTATCGGATCAATCGGGGTCCTAAACAGGCATCTAGATTGCATCGAATCGTTTTCATTCGAACATTCTATCCGGAGTGTATTTCTGTACCCGATTATTATGCCTTCTACCGCTAACGCGCTTTCGAATTTTACGACCCCTCTTTCGACTTCTTTGACGTCAAAGCAACGCTCTTAAGACGATATCGTCTTTCATCGGGTACCACCCGAGAACGAACCTGACAGGATTCGAGAACTGCTTCGAAACTGATTCGAATAAAATCGGTAATACAACTGTAAACACTAATACGTTATTCAGACATCGGCTTAAAATCTTTAACTTTGATCTAAAATAGTACCTCTACGGCTTGCTTCGAGTTTTCTTTTACTCGGAAAAAAAGCAAACAATTAAACTCTGGTAGAATTAATTAATCCCAAGTTATGATGTTTACATACATCATTATTTTACCCTTATATTTTGTATACAGACACCCAGCATGGAATCAAAATAAATCTAAAATTAAAAGAAAAACGAGAATACTTGCCATTCTGTAAATTGCCGTCGATCGAACAGCGGTTAACTATTCCGAAGCTTCTTGCAATTCCGGGCATATCGGCGATTGAAATATGTTCCATAAGTTGTTGAATTCGGTAACGAACGGTTTGACCAGTGAGCGCTGATTAGTCACTAAAATGTGATCAAAATTTCCAAAAAACGCAGACATAGTCCAATTCGTACTACCCGTGATTACTATGTCATTGTCAACGATCACGAACTTGTGATGCATTAAAACGTCCAAATGTTGCAATCGTAGCGCGATACCTAAAACATGTAAACTGTTATTGTTTGGTCGAAACGATCAAATAGCACGTACGATTATTGTGAAATAATGCGGTCCGCGAAGCATCATTGCAGGCCATGGTTTGATCCAATATAATTCTCACAAGTACGCCTCGTTTATGAGCGTTTACGATCGCCATCGACAATAATTGACAAGTCAACATGTACATACAGACGTCCAAGCTTTGTTCGGCCTGATTTATGTAATGTTCCAATTTTCTATAATATCGGTGAGCATTAATTAAAGCGATTAATACCGATGTTCGATATTGTAGTTAAACGATCGCGCAGTTACCTCAAATACCGAACTGGACAGTTATTTTTGAGGCAAACTTCTTCGCAAGCAACGTGCGCTCGACATAGACTGGAATCCCTCGTAAAGAACATAACTTCTGAGATGTTTTGTTTTGGTTCATTGACGTCTGCTTTAGAAATTGCGCAGGTGTTAGTGGGTTTTGTCCAGAGGTCGTGAAACCTTTTGTATAATTGCCAAACAAGCTCGGAGGCTAGTACTAGTCCTCCCAGTAATAGAAGTTTACTGCTTCTCATGTCTGAAACGAAATGATTACAAATGTAATTACGGAAACCAAAATATACAATATTGAAATGAAATTTCATTTGAGCACCATTTTGTTTTACGCGCGTTCGAATATACCATTGTCGCAAAGTGGTACTGCGCTCTAGCAACAAATATCATTTGTAATGGCTTAGTAATTTGGTTAGAAATTAAATAAAAACTGGAAAAATTCACTTATGTATTAATCGGTAATTAGCGACAAGAGATAAGATGAAATAAATGCATGTAAATATTATAACCTACAGATCTATATAAACAGGGATAATATTAATAGTCGCATACTAAATTTATTGTGTAAATATAGATAGAATATAACGTACCTATACGTATGATTTCTATTATTACTACAATGTTATAAGTGTCATTCGAAGAAAAAAAAAATAAAAAAGTAGTGCAACGCTTTGGCGCCACAGTATATTATACATACATTTGAAGTTAGCTTCGAGTATCGATAGTGACTGCACGTCTCAAGTCAAGAAGGCGTCCGGTACATTTGTGTTACTGCCCTAATGAATCAATGATCTCTAACCTCTAACTTATCCCCACTTGGATAAGGTGAAAGACGATACAAACGAGTACTTAAACGTTTGTTTTTATTAAAAACGGTATAAAAGTCTGTCATGTTTACCATAAAAATTGTATATTCGATAATTTAACTTTGCCCCATTTGTTTAGATATAAATTCCTTATCTCTATTCCAGAGGATATTACATATGGCATTTAATTGATAAGAACAATCAAACATTTCCGATCTCGCAGACAGTTTATTCGTGTCGATCCTGATAACTTTAACTTTCCATTTATCTTCAAATTCTTTTATCTGTGCATCTTCTATTGCAGAACTGGACCATGGTTTAAATCTACAAAATACCAAGACACGTCAAGAAATGAGCAAATGTAGTTATAGTTGTTTCCAAAACTGTTGATAAAAAAAGTATTATAAATTACTTTGTTCCTATTACTATATTTGCTGGTTTCTCTTTTATGGCTGCCATTGTATTCATCAAATACGGAATATCGTTGAAACCTGTTGCATCATCAAAAGAAAATACTGAACATATAGCATCAACTTTGTCTTTACATGCCTAAAAATGTAAAGGATATTCATAGGGATTTGCTCATATTTCGTTTCAAACAGATTATAATACATTCTATACTTTCACACACAGGTAATATATGGTTGTATTTTTTGATACTTGTTTCTGAAGTATCCCAAAATTGCAATTTAAACAATACGACTTTATCCCATATTTTAACAGGCCAAAATACATTTGTTTTCTTTATTCCATTAGTTTCAGTGTAATTATTAGAATCCAATGTTCCAGCAAGGCAGGCTACAACAGAAGTTTTTCCTACTCCAGATCTACCGACCATAAAAATTTTATATGTAACTTCTTCTATTGACGATGGTAAAGGTGGCCTTTCAAGGATGCCTAAAAGTTTCATATCGTTAAAATGAAAGTCAAAGAATTTATGGCATCATCAGAAATTCTTTACCATAAAATATTCTCTTTTTTGATGTGTTCACATAAAAGTGATGCATCAATGATTCTCCCTCTACGGAATGCAACCAGTTTGCATTGATTACGTTCATGTTCGTATACCGATAAAAATTAAGACGATGATAAAAAAATATAATACGCTAAATCATCGATATACACTGATAACTACAAAACAAACACTGACGCTTGCCATGACAGTAATATAACACGACAAATCTATTTGAATGTTGTAATCGTTTACCAACTAAAAAATTGCATATATTAAGACATTGATAAATAAATAACGGGAAAATGATATGATGGCAGTTTGTTTGTACTGTAAATTAATTGTTGACTAATGAGTAATTCGAGGAACAATCGCACAACTTCCGTTCCATCTATCAACATCGTCAACTGGACAATTCCAGCAAGACCAACAGACCAACTACAAAATCAACGCGTATTCGTGTTCAGCTGATGGGTTCTACCAGATTTGCACCATACATAATCTTTTAACAAATCAGCAACTATCCCGCCTTAGGAGAACCAATAAGGATTGATTCGGTATACCAATGCAACGAGAACAAATAATTCCATTAATAGTGAAGTTAGCGTTAGTTCGAATAAATGCCACATTTGACCAATAAAATCCATTTACAACACGTAACGCGTTGTTTGCAGTTGGATCGCCATATTGTATATTTTAACGCGGGTCACTGGCGCGTGTATGGGCTTTTCGTGAGATTTTCTGTCGAATAAAAGTGCGTGGATCGAAAGAAATCGTAAAATATCACGCGCAATGGATCCGGAAAAGTTGAAAGTAGTCGATTTACGGATAGAACTATCTAAGCGGGGACTGGATACAAAAGGCGTCAAGTCAGTACTTGTTGAGAGACTTCGTAAGGCAATAGACGAAGAAAATGCAAACCGTAGGTTACAGCCTTCTTATTCAATCATTTTTACGTTGTTTTACGTTTTAGTAATTTTGGTATTCTTCATCTCATAGCTCATATCTTCAGTTACTTCATTGTTGACAAACATTCAAATCAGGTGATATTCGTGCAACGCGTTTTACTTTTTCCGTTATATTACATTAGAATCAAACGCGATAACCTATTTCTGCTGTTATTCAAAATAATTGATAGTTGTAAGATATTTATTTACAATATTTTGGCTACTGTAAAGACATGAAATATACCCGCCTTTTTTTCTGTTTACATACGAATTATACTCGCGTCCCCATTAAATTTTCTCGTTCATTGCGGGTTAACTGTACTTTTATGTTAACTGTAATCATTTCATTTACTGTATTGAATGTCTTGATTTTACAATTTTAATTTTGTTAATAAAATAAAAATACATTATTTTATTATTTTAGAAGATCAAAGCAAAACAAATACTGAAGTAGAAAATGATGTCAGTCAAGAAGAGGAAGAGAGATCTACAAAATCTACCAAAATACCACAGACACCAAAAAAATCTAGTAGATTATCTAAAGGAGCTGCAGTGGTAACACCGCAACGCGAGGATCCTACCATAAAGAAACGAAGAACTACGAGAACTCCATATTCTAGAAAACAAACTTCTCCGAAAAAATCAGATCAAAATGACATGTCAAGAGAATCATCTCCTGCAGTATCAGAGTCTACGATACAAGAGGAAGCTAGTACTCAAGAAGAAACTATAATGCCAGAAGCTACTGTACTAATAGAAAAAATGGTACAAGAAGAAAAAGCAATACATGAAGAAAAAACAGTTCCAAAAGAAAAAGCAATGCAAGAAGATAAAGTTGAAAAAGTAGAAGAAACGTTAAAAGAAGAAAAGGTGATAAAAGAAAATAAAGATATAAAAGAAGAAAGTACCGAAAAAGAAGAAAGAACAGAAAAGGAAGAAGGAGCAGGAAAAGGGGATAAGACACCACAAGAGGAAATTGCTATTAAAGAAGAAAAATCTGCATTGCCCGAAAAGGATAATCAAAAAGAAACTAAGGAACCCTTATCAAATGTAGAACACGAAGGTACAAATATTATGGAAGTTCAAAAAGAAGAAATAAAAGATGTTGATATTGAAGAAAATACTGAAAATGAAAGTAAAACTAATATATCACAAATATCTGTTGTACAATCTCCTGTAAAGAGTAGCAATATTGTTGGCCCTACAAAAGAATCTAAAGAATCTGAAGAATCAAAAAATGATACAGATGATATAGTTCAAAATCAAAAACAGGCAGAAACTAGTAAAATGGAGGAAGAAGTGTTAGAAAGTTCTGGTGCAGGAAAAGATAAAAATATTACAACACATGAGAAAGAAAATGATACATTGAAAGTAAATAAGAATAAATGTGATGAGATGGATAATTCAAAAGTTGAACCTATTGCAAATGAGAAAAAAGATGACACAAACCTCACAGATGCTAAAAGTACAGAGTCTGTTTGTGATACTCAATCTGACATTCCTAAATCAGAACAACCACAAAATGATACAACTGAAGAAGTGAAAGATACAGATATGACTGAAAGTGATAAAATGGAAACTGAAGATCAGTGTATGGAGAAAGATATTTTACCTAGTAATGAAAAGGAAATGGACACTAATATAGATGACAAACATGATAAAGAGGTATATTTTCACAATTAATTTTCTCTTTTAGTATTTAATTTAGAACTTAATGTAGAACAATACTGACTTCTGATGAACAGCTATAATTTTATCTGCTTTTTATTCTCATAGTATACAGTAGTTTTGTCTGCTAACACTTTATCCATTATTATCCGCGATCTCATTAAAATGTAGAGGACTACAGTTAAAACACACTTTAAAAAATAGAGGTACTGTATATTTATATCTTCGTAAAAATTATATATAAATTTAAGTAAATGTATAAGAAATGATACATTTGAGATCGCGGATGCTTTTCGCGTAAAGTTACGTCCTCTACATTTCGTTACATGAGAATGTTACTGTACCTACAGGAAATATTATTTTTAATCATTGACCTATTTTCGTTTACGTGGAAAGGATGTAGAAATGACAGAAATTAAACACAAAGAAGATACAGATGTAGTTACGAAAGCACGTCGTTCGAAGACTACTGTCGTCCATAGAGATAGAAAGCGGAAAAGGTCTCCGAGCCCTTTAGAAGATCGTCATGATTCACCACCGCCTGTACTTGTCGAAAACGAACCCGATATCGACGATGCTGCTTTAATTCTATCTTGGTGTATGTTGGTATACAAATGAAGATAACTATGTTATGTACTTTTCAGATGTCTTCGTTTGAACCGTCATTTTTTTTTTTTCAGACGACTCTGATTTGAATTTGGTCATTGATAAAGAGGGATTTTTTACTGCCACGCCTATGCACAATGATGGGTTTTCACACATGTGGGCTGGTGCAAGAGCATCGTACGGGTTTCTTTGTGGGAAAGTATATTACGAAGCAAAAATTGTGGACCATTGCCCTGTCAATACAGAGAATGAAGAATATCCACATGTATTGAGGATCGGTTGGTCCACCCCATACACATCGATGCAACTTGGAGAAGAGAAGTTCAGTTTTGGATATTGCAGTACCGGTAAAAAGTTAACAGATAACAATTACGAAGATTATGGAGTTCAGTTTGGCAAAGATGACATAATCGGCTGTTACTTCGATGCAACATCGGAGAGTGATGTTGTATTAACCTACACCGTGAACGGAAAAGATCAAGGCATTGCGTTCAGCATTTCAAAGCAAGAACTTGGCGACAAACCATTGTTCCCACACATTTTAAGTAAAAATTGTAGCTTTGCTTGTAACTTTGGTCAAGAAACTCCATGGACGGAAGAAATTTTACAAGACTACGTTTCAATCGGAAACGTAGAATCTCAGTATAAAATCCCCGGACCACGAAGACCAGAAAGAAAGGAAGAATGCGAAGTGATAATGATGTGTGGATTACCTGCTTGCGGGAAAACTACCTGGGCAACAAAGTACGCAGCCGAGCATCCTCACAAAATGTACAACGTATTAGGGCTTGGTAATCTAATCGATAAAATGAAAGTACGTATTAAAAACGAATATAAAATATACCTATAACATGATTATCATTCATTTTATACAATCTATACTTAATAAATGTTATCATTTAAGGATCCAGAATTGTCTGACAAAGAAGAATACGATGCACAGTGGAAGATTCTTATTCAAAAATGCACCTATGCCTTGGACAAATTGTTAGAAATGGCCTCAAGTAGGAGACGTAATTACATACTTGATCAGGTATGTATGCGATTTCTTCGATATTGATGTTCGTATTTAAGAAAAATTATCACGTTTTTTATTGTACAGACAAACGTGTACCCCTCCGCACAAAGGCGTAAGATGAAGAATTTCTGTGGGTATCAGAGGAAGGCAATAGTTTTAGTTCCATCAGAAGAAGAATTTAAGTTACGTACTGCCAATCACAAACCGATCGAAGGCAAGGAGATTACAGAGTCTATGTTATTAGAAATGAAAGGTTCGTCATATCATTTTTACAACCGGAAAGATTTTATATGTTTTCGTGCAAGATTAATTATTCGTTACTTTACATTTACAGCAAATTTTAGAGCTCCAGTTGTTGGTGATTGTTTCGATATTGTTAACTGGATAGAATTAGACCAGGAAGAGGGTACAAAACTTATAGAACAATACAACAAAGAAGGAAAAGAAGCTGGATATGGTCAACAACAACCAATTAAAATACCACGAATTGATTCGAGATCAGATAGTGGTCGTGACCATCGAAATGATTCACGAAATAGTCGTGACAGCAGGGACAGTCGAGATTATCGCGACAGGCGAAATAATTGTAAGCACTGTAAAAGCCGTCAATGAAAGATAAACAAAAGCAACGAGGAATCTAAATAAGAACATGTATTTGTAAACATAAATGTTCTCAGATACCGAAAGAAATCGTAATCCTCTTTGGCGTGGTGGTGGAAATACATCCAGAAGAGACAGACCACAAAGAGGGCATGTAAGACATGGCGGTGGTTACGGACCTCCGATACCACGAAGAGGGAGAGGTACAGCTATTCCACCAGTTCATCGTGGAATGGACCGCAGAGGTGGTGGTAATTTGGATAGAAGAGCGGGAAACGAAAGAGGTCGTTCCTTAAGTTCTCGTCACTGTGGTTGGGTTCCGATGTGGTGTGTATATTTTTTTCATTACTTAATATTTCCCCTTTGTAATCAAGTACGTAAGTGCCTTTATTTACATATCCGCATATTCTATTTTTTTTTTTCAAGGAACTATCAAGGCTCACAACAATCTGGTTGGAATCAAGGTAACTGGTCAAGTGGTCAATCCCAAGGAGGTTGGGGTCAACAAAATAACTGGGGATCACAACAGTGGGGTAATTGGAGAGGTTACGGCCAAGGTTCATACGCTCAAAGCAATTACAATCAAGGTTATGGTAATGGAAACTGCAACAGTTGGAATCAGCAGTATTATAATCAGTATTGGGGTCAGCAGCAACCGAGCGGGCAAACAACAACAACAACAGCCACAACAAGTAGTAGACAGACTACGAATAAACAATAATTCATCAAGATATATTACCAGAATGGAATAGTAAGGTATTCAGGCATTTTCTTTGTTAAACGTACGAAGCACGAGGAAATTATTTTTAAAAGTAAGCCTTGGGATAAAATAATAATGTATCAAACAAATCTAGTAATTGATATATTTTTTTTATTATTAATTTTTTCAGCGATACTGTAATTTGCAACATTAATGAAAATGTTTCTGGTATAAGAGCGAGTGTGTGTTTATTTTTTTAGGCAGGTAAAATGGAAAGTGTAACAACTGCTTTATTTGACAATTCCATCATGGGGTATAGTCAACCACGAGACCGACGAGGATACATGGGAAATCCTGATTAGTGTTATCAATACAAGGACATCGGTTTTGATGACACACAAATAGATGGACAAGTTTTTCCACGACAATATATTCACATTTTTTGTTCGTATATTTTGCAGTGTACGAATTCCAAAGTTATCGTGATTTTATAACTCGATCAACAATTTAGATTTTATCGAGTGAAGGCACCGTTACACATGCACCACATACAATTGTTTTGCGTTGCAAAATGCAGTACTAAATAAATTTTAATGTTATTGATCTCTGTTAGAGATCAATAATCGTGATTGAAAGCATGTAACGACTAAAACGTATTCTTATTATAATACGTAGTTTTTAAACGAGTAAAAGGGGGTAACGTATAATAACGTCTTGTAACATTTTTTTAATCGAATGAGAAATCAATCAAGAGGAAGATTTCACGTATGGGTACATTATGCAAATAGGTATTAAGACTACGGTACTTTGCAATGATTTATCGCTCTCGGGAAAGACTCGTGTAAATATGTACAGATTTTCAAACGTATTGCGCGGAACGTTTACTGGAAGTCTGTTTATATATTAATAGCAAAATATAATGTAACAAAAAAGAAAAAAAACTGTTCTCGAGACAACACGAGAGTGATATTGTGTATGATTTTGTCTAATCTTTCTAATGCTAATGATGATGTACAAAAAGAAGATTATCGTACCACGAATAAATTATTATTAGATTTGATTAATATGCACGCGCGTTTTATTGTACTGATGAGATTACCAGATCATGTGTTTGAAAATCGAATTGTATATTTTATAACATCGATCTATAAACAACAGTTACGCTCTTGTTACCCAACGTACTTCCTCCTGTTTCTACTTCCTTTTCTTTAATAGCGTTTTTCCCTTGCTCTTTTCATAGTTTCCATTTTCTATTTCGCTTCGTCTATATATAGCTTGATTCATATCGATTCGTTAAAACAATCTTACAAATAACGTATAGTACCCGTTTTATTTCATACCTTGTTATTTCAGTAATGAAAAAAAAGCATTCTCTCGTAGTTACAGGATGATTGTCTTTGTACCTCCTTTTTCTACAATACTTTGTACAGTTTGCGAGACTTCGAACTAAGATAGCTTTTTGAATATTGGATGTCGCGTGAAATAAAGTTTAATAAATTAAGTAAATGAAAATTTTATACACAATGATGCTCTTTGTGCATATTTTTCGAAAATGGTAACCGTGATTCGAAGTCGACCAAGTTTAAATTACATCCTTATTACACGTTAATCGCGAATAGATGAATAAGAACAATATGTTTTTATCTTTCATGTACGATCAAATAAGATTAATTTCGCAAAATTAGTCTGTAATCGGAGAATTTACTTGTTGACAAAAGTGTACAAACTTATTCGTAAAAATAAAAAATATCTTCTATTTATTTCGAATTTCAATTATTTACAACCCAGATTTGATCAGCACAATTACCTGCTAGAAATATCCTGTATCAGTAATTCAGTCTTCGCACACGCTTAATGTAATCGTCAACGTAATCGACCATGTTGACCTTCTTTAATCTACGAACAAGAGTTTAAATTAATCCAGAATGATTTACATGTGAAACATTATGGTTTATCTAATGACATTTATAACGCATTCCGTGTAATTGCGCAGAAATTCTCATTTGTAGCTCGCATAGGTATTGGTAAATCATAAGCTCTTCTAACTTATTCTTTTCTGCCATTCCATGCAGAGAAAGCTTCGCGCTCCGTTGTCGTGACCTCCTTGTATATTAAAGGATTATTTCTACAAAAAAAAAGAACGGTACCCTTTTGTTCCGAAGCAGGTATTGAAAGTCAGTGAGAATCCCAAATCATACGATCATCCGTAAACAAATAATAGACATTAATTCCAAGAATATTGTACGAAATATAATTCGCGTTAAAATATTTTTAAAATATTTGTTAAAAGATCAATAAAATCTTTAAATTCCAAATTCATTAGTTTCAATAATATTAAATAACAAAGGTAGATATTCCGTCTGTCATGCCATAAAAATACAATATACGTAGATTCTTACGATGACGCTAAAACAACATGCTTGCATTATGTGGTTAACATTGGAAACCAGAAATAGGGTAATCGTAGTGTGTGTTCATTCGATAAAAACAAATTCGGACATCGTGCAAAGCGTAAAAACATATATAATGTAAATAAGACTTATACGTATTAAATAGCTTTCAATAATATGTATTTACTAACTGTATAATGTAATAATAAATACGAAATCCTGCGTATATTTGTCGTTATAGCAACAATTCGCTATACTCGATCGCGATAATGAATAAATTAAATATGTTAGTAGAGTTTTAGCTATTAATTTAAAAACCTATATATTACACTTAATTCAAAATAACACTGGGATTATGAAAAATATAATGGTACTTTTGTGCAATGAAGCCTCGCATGTATTCGATATTTTTTCTCTTATTCCATTGTTCTTCGACGCGCGCGGTTTAATTTTATTACTCCGACGCGTGCGCGTCACAATCCTCAATCCCAAGTAATTATGTATATAATTTGTACACTTAAATGTATGCACTATGAGGGAAATTTACAAATTACTTTTATACAATTCGACGAGTCTAATTATATTAGAACTGTATTAGACATAATAATAGCTCTCGTTATATGCAATTCGATTGATACGTTGTTTCAGGTACCGAAACCACATCGTCGATTCCGGTTCATCTGTTTCACAAACTCAAATAAACTCTACACGATCAAAATATTAAAAAAGACTTGAATAGCATTAAATTACTTTAAATTTCCCACTCAGAATCAAAAGATCGATTCTGTTCCCATTTGTCCGCTCGATGCTTAACTTCTGACGCAGGAGAAGAGAAAGTAGACTAAAATACCACAATGATGCCAAAAAACTACAGAAAATCTCAATCGAAGTACCATCCTATAAATTTTCTATAGTTTTATATACGTAAAAACAATATATAAAAAAGATCTCGATTGATATAGCGTAACTCTAGAAAGAGTGATATTCGTTTTTTAAGATTAAATTATACGAATGGACGGGTCATAGTATAAGGATACGAAAACGCGTAGCTTATCGTTTTCCTCGTGAAACGATTTAAATGACATCAATTTACGTGTAGCGAAATGAAACAATCGATCGGGTGATCGCTTTGATTACAGACGTAACTGCGATTGAAATTAGTGGCCCATAGTACCAACGCGTTACACGTGTGCATGAACGCCCTACGCATATGCGTACCGATAATATTGTATTATCGCTGATGTATAACCCAATGTCACGGATTCAATCCACCTGGCCTTTTACGATTTCTCCTATTCCTTTCTAGTAAAAATGACAGATCCAAAGGATCCTTTTTATTCGGCATCTTTTGTAGTAAACCGATTAAAATGTTATTCAACCTTCTTCTTTGCTCTTCTCGCTGGAATGATTTACGTAAACATTTTAACTTAATGCTCGAATGAAATTACACACATAATTTTAAAAGGTTATCACTTTGAAGCAACGTTAAAATTATAATTATTATCATAAAAGTATAATCATTACCTGGGCGTACGATGTAGTGGGTGTAGTGATAGATAAAATTTCATTCGATCGCCGTCTACCTTTACTCGTGGAGGACTTTTGTTGATCTTTACTGTGTGATTTCGCGTTGTCACCCGATTCCGACTTGTGGTTTGTATCCACGTCCTGATTGTTCGCTTTCTTCTTTTCTTTGTTCATTTTACTTCCAACCTGTATTCCTTCGAGACTATGGGGCTGTTAAATTTCACATGATATTTAATTCACATTCTTACAGTCCATTTCGTCACGTAATTTGCTTAGATACTTACTAAATATGTACGGTAATGTTTAATACGTTGTGGAAACGTTTCAAACGCGTAAGGTTTCGTGCAAACTTGATGCCTAGCTCTGGCAACTTTTGTGAAAAGTCGAGCAGCGCGATCAACGCGATACTCGCACACGTAAGTATGCTCTGGCGTAGAACCCACCGGTCGTCCTTCGATGAAAAAAAAAGAAAAGAAAAACAAATGTTTCTAAAGAAAATGTACGGAACATGTAATAGAAAATTGTGTTCAACATTTGGAAAAAACAACCACCTTTACAATATGTATGAGGATCAAGAACCCAACAGCGTTCAGCAACCAAGTCACATGGTACTGCTTCGTACAACGGAGCACACACCACTTCGTTTTCGTAAAACTTTCGAGTCGGCTCATGATACGTTTCATGGGGTCTTAAGTAATGATGACCGAATACGAACCTTTCCCCTCTGTTAAATCGAATACAATTAGAAATTGGTACATAGGTTTAAGACTCCAAACAATAAAGACATTCGCCTAAATATCTTACTCTGTATTCTTCCAGAGCCTCTCAATTCTGAAGATGTCCATTTGCTCATAATCCGGTTTCTGAATAGTTTTGTACGTATGTTTCTCGGGTGTATCTCTCAACACGTACACAGTGTCTCCTTGCCTGAGTTGTAAATCACCGCGCATCAAAGTAACGTAGTGTTTCTTCCCCTCTTCTTCTTCATCGCCCTCCAACGGTATTTCCAGATCAACTGGTCGCGGGTGACATCTCTCGCATAAGTAAGATTCTATGCTAGTATCGGCCTTAACGCAATCGCAATGTTGCCAAACGAGACATCGTTCGCACTGAATCATCAAACCTTCGTCCCTATTATAATAACGTTACATATAAAGTCAAATATTAAAAATTAAACCACTCGATATGTATGTTTACTGACCTGTGCAAGCCACAAATACACCTGATAACATCTTCTTCGCCGGCAGTTGAACCTCGAGGAGGTAAGAAACCTTGAGAAGGCGGACAACCTGTCGCATCTGTTATCGCGTCTACAAAATCGGGTTTACTGCTCAAATATAATTTCCTTAATCTAGCTGCGGCGATGCCCATTTCGGAAGTTCTTCCAAAGAACCTTATATTGTTATCGAAAAGTTTAATCATGTCATGATCAAAATGCTCGGCTGTTTTATAATGACCGGTTCCAATACACTGATCAATTGTAGTTAAGTCTATAGGATCTGATATTTTTTCATAATAATCTGGCAACTTTCTTTTCGAAGGTAACGTCATAAACGGCGTGCACAACAACTGCCCGTTTTCGTCGTTTGCAGTTGCAACGATGCTATAAAGATCTTTTAATACCTGAAATTTTTTTGAACAAATTAAAACCTACTAATCGATAAATATTTATCATGATAAGAACTACATGATATTCTAGCCCTTCCTCCTACCTTGGCCAACTTTGCAGTTTTATGTACTTCTGGATCATCCTGAGCTTGTGCTAATCTCCTAGTTCGGACAGTACGCGTGTTCGTATTAGTCAGCGCAGTTAATTGAGAGAAAAATGCATCGGATTGAATCTTGGCATCACCAAGACCCTTTTCCTTTACGGTACCCATATTATTGACTTTCGTTTTGCCGTTCTGCATTTGAACCTGATTCACTAACGATTTAACCCGCCTGACTTTCTCTAAATTTCTTAAGAGGAAACAATGATGTTGCTGCGCGAAACAACGCTGTTGATGAGACATAGGCTTTAGAACAGGAGCATGAATCAAGTTAGTATCGCCTACTTTTCGAGATTTACAAATGCCCTTTGAGTTCACGGATTGTACAGTATTAGATTTTCGTACATTTTTTCTTGGTCTTCCGACCGACCTTCGTTCTGTAGGTTCACACTGTGTTGGAAGAGAGGTGATACTTTTTGAAACTCTCTGACTTTTTCCGCCTAGGAGACATAATTATAAAAATGATAATAGACGGAAAATACAATAAATACAGCATGATAAAATTTGTTTCCCCACCTATTACTCCTCTACAAGCGCTACTACCACATCTGCATTCTTGCCCCTCGGATGGATTGAACAGTGCAAAATTGTAGTCGTACGTTAATTCTTCCCCAGGTTTAATGTCTCTGGACGCGAACAATGCCATACGCGGAAGCCCATGAACGCTCCACTTTTGCATTTCACAATTGGGTTCGCAAGAATGGTTTACGAATCTTCCATCACCTCCCATACGATGTCCATCGATTACCAAACCCCCATCCAATTGCAAGCAATAATGATGTGTATCGTTGGCATACCTGTACCATAATCAAACGAAACGATAGTAACATCTCCACACAGTGTATGTTACGAAAAAAGTATGATAAATATACCTCGTCGCCATTCTGGATTTAAATTCTCTTTCAGAGACAACCTCTCCGACATATTCAAGAATAAAAACACCAGATTTAATAGATTGTTGCGTCCTCACGCCCCAACCTTTGTCCTCTGTCATGAACTTTTGTAAACCTGGAGCCCATTCGTGTTTCTGAATCTTTTGATTCTCGCATTTGTCTCCACAAGGACAAAGTTGGGGAGAGCATTCGCTAAAGATCATACGATTGATACAATCATCTCCGCAACCGCTCTCTGGTTTGCACTCACAGGCTTGGGCTTCGTACAACGTAGTTGGTTTGACATCGTAATATACATTCGTACGAATTTTCCTGTAAAACGGAAACAACAAAATGAAATGTCTGCATAATCCTATGAAGAAGAATAAATTAACGTTCCGCTCACTTATAATTCCATGATGGTACCGACTCTCTACCAGGTAATCTGGATTGCGTATGCAACCACCATAAATCGTATGGTAACTGGAAAGGCATTTTCCTTTGACGCAGTAACTTGCCACACTGGTACGTAGCAGACAATAATGCAGCTGACGCGGGTTCGTTGGTTTCACAGACAATTTTATTTTTTCCAGAGGCACTGATATTCTCGATATTTCCGCGCGTTTTTGATTCATAATCTTTACCATAATCCTGTAAAATACCACCCTGAAAGTAACGCTTCTTCCACCTGGACTGTTTCTTTCTCGTGTGCGTTGAGCCTGAATGTTTTCCAACTTCGTGATCTTCTTGAAGAATATCACTGCTGGATAGAACGTCGTTCTCCGTGTCGTAACCCGCACTGCGTAGTCGTTTTATATTTCTGGGAGTAAGATTACATGGACTCGAGGAACCTCGTCGTTTCTTCTGGTTCCCGTTAAAAGCGGTAGAGTTCTCGGTTTTTATATTCGCTTGGGAACTTGCACGCTCCAATTTTTTCACATTTTCTTCGTTCAATTCAGCTACCACTTTTTGACTTGCATTGTATCTTTCGAGAGACTCTTCCAGAGACGCATTTTCATCGTACGATCTCGAATCTTGGAGTTTTTCGAACTTCACAGGACATAATTTGTTGGATCCATTGTCGCTACTATCAGTTTCAACGAGGTCTTTTCGAACTCTCAATTGCCCCGAACGAGGTTCAGGCTGTTCACGACCTGCCGTTTCCTGGTCCAAGGCACTGGAATTCTCTGGACTCGAGTTTAGACTGGATTTCGATGGTACTCGAACAGTGTTGTTGGTACCGTGTTTAATCCCAAGCTCCTCAGTAAATACGTCTTCTATTTCCGTATTTAATAAGGTGGTTTTACTATCCATTGTGGAATCTTCAGTGCCTTCTTTCAGTAAGGATTGATCATCGGCAGCGATATCTGCACCATCCTCACTGTTTACGGTAACACCTTTCGATCCGTCCATTTCGCTAGAATTCAGAATTCTCTTCTTCTTTTTCTTTAACGTTGGGAAACCGGTACGATTAATAGCCTTTCGTCGTCTCATTTTTTTCTTGGTTAAGACCAGTACAGCAGAAGAATTCAATGGATTCGGAACGTTCGAACTGAGATTACTTTGCGATGGTTTAGTTTCGTTTGTGATTTCACTTTCGTCGAAGCTTTCCGGAACATGAAATTCCGCAGCGTCGACTTTGATATTTTTGTCCAAACGAACATGTTCGGGCGAGGTATCTCTCTTCTCGTTCTTGTCCGTTTGGCTTTTATCGGTTTTTATTGATTTTTCTGCAACGGCCTTTGCATTCTTCTCCGCATGATTCTTCAAGCTTTTCGAATCGCTGGAAGATTTCTCGGATTTCTCAGTTTTACTATCGGTCTTCTCGAAAGCACCATGATTCTCAGCGGATAATTTAGTGACGGTTACACGAAGATCTTTAACGATCTTCTTTTTCCGACGAGGTTGAACTTCTACCTGGTTCAATGGTTTCTCTTCCAGCAAGTCTGAAGACGTTGCACCCGACTTGTCAGGACTTGTGTTTTCACTGTCTCTGTGCCTTTTCTTCGGGGTGACTGGTACGGAGTCTTCCTGGAAGAAAGACGCTGAACTACCGCCGTATCTCGTTATCGTTGCTTCGATTGCTTCCTCTATGTGACTTTCTGTAGAATTTGCTTCATTCGAAGCCACGTCGGTACCGCTGCCGTTCGAACTTTGAGAACTGTGCGGACTGGACACATGATAATGTCTCTTTTTCAAAGGTAACCTCTGTTCATTTGGATTCGAATTTGTACTAGAGTTCGTGCTGCCTTTCGAATCCGATCCCGACAGTGTTTTCTCCTTCTTCAAACGCCTCTTTAATTTCTGATCATCACTCGTAGTAACGTCGCCTTTCCTTTTCTTCGTCAATTTCTTTACACGAAAAATCTGTGGTAATTCAGAGTATCCGGCGTTCGAATTGTTCCTACCTAAACTGCAAGATCTGGAAAATTCTTCGATTAATTTTTCTAGTTCTTGGATGATACACGGATGGATGCGTATAGGATTTTTAGGCGGCAGCAACAATCGCCGCCGATGTTTGTGATGATGGTGTTTATGGCAATGATTGTGTATAGGCTGCGTTGCCTTGTCGCATTTATTGCTGGTTATATTCTCGACTTTTTCCGCCTTTAGCACCTCGCCAACTGGTAAAGATATCAGAGTTTGCACGCCAACGCCGTTCGTTTCGAACCCAGTCGTTGCTTTTTTGGTGCTTTTATTTTCCTTTAAAACACGTCGCGTTACCGGTGCGACGCTCTTTTTTAACGACGTTTTCCTCTTACCCAAAGGACCCGTACTGCTTCTGTTTTCTTTCAGGCTTCTCTTGTTGGAACCAATAACCTTCCTGTCATTGGATATTCTGTCGCAAGCTAATTGTTTTTGTCGTCGTAACGGAGTTGTCGTCTTGTTTCCTGTACCAGGTTTATTTTTCCTTATTTTTTTACACGTTCCGCCATTACATTTAATCCCTTCTTTTCCGTGCTTATTCGCAACGCTTCTACTTAGGCACTTGACACGCATCGCAGAACTTGTATTATTTCTTTTCCTATTTACCTTTCCCTGAGAACACTGCTTGGAAATGTTGCAACTCCGTTTCTTTTGACAAACAGATTTATCCTTCAAATTTTTAGCCAATTCATTTTCGTCTTCCTTGTCACTTCGAGACGCAACAGTTTTCTGTTGTATCACCGACTTTACCTTTCCCCTTTTACTCGGTTCTTCTTTTACAACTTTTTGCTGTTGAGACGAAGTTTCCTTCTTTTCGTTTCTCTCAGTTCTCCCAGATTTTTCGATCTTTTCTATTTTCTCTATCTTCTCTACGACTTCCGGTTTCAATCTTGGCCTACCAGGACCTCGAGGTTGCGCGGAGACCGCTTTTGCCGGTCTTCCAGGTTTTCGTTTTGGCGGGTACAAAACACGATCTACGTTTACCGCTGGCTTCGTAACAACCGGTTGCACCGGGGATTGCGTCGGAGCCGGCGGACTTACAGGACTGATGGCCAAATGTAAAGGACTATTATCTACCGATTGAATTCCCGAGTCCGGTGATACGTTTGAAACGCAAGGATATTCCGAATCGTTCACCTTCTTCCCGATTTTACTTCGTCTTTTCCTCGGTTCTGATAGCAAAGCCGTTTTTTCGACGAACTGTTGCAATAATGTGGAACTATACACAGGTACAGGGTTCTGATCGCCATTTTCGCTCGTATCCGAATCGGCTCCGAGTGACATACGTTCAATGGCTTTCGACACTAACCGACCGCTTTCTGAATCCTCAAATCCATCGAACGGAGCGTCTTCGTGCTCTTGGTCCGGTAAAATAGCTGCCAAATCCTCTTGATTGATTTCTTGAAGCGGCTGGTGTTGTTGCTGTTGTTGTTGTTGTTGTTGCTGTTGTTGAGATGGCTGATTCTGTTGCTGTTGTTGCATGTGTTGTAAAGGTAGCCTGCTTTCCGACGAATCCGATTCCTCGCTGCTGCATTCGGACGACTAAAGGATAGAGACAAAATGTACTTCTATCAAAAGAGAAAATCCAATCGCATCAACCGGTCAGTGTTACTCCACCTACCACGATTCAACGAATCGTATAAACTGTAAGTATTTACCTTCGTTCCGCGATTGGCTTTAACTTTCTTTGACGCGTTTCTCCTATTTTTTTCGCATTTCGATTTTTCGACATCGTCCTTTTTCGGTCCTTTCATAGTAATCTTTAATTTAAGCGCTCCCTGTAATACAATTATAGATTTAATTGACCCCCCAACAGACGCAACACCGTTCATGTTACAGTGACATCGCAACGTGCATACCGATTCAAAATTTGTTTCTTGAATAGAAAATGTTTGTTCGCTGTGTTCTGACGTACAATCCGAATTGGAGCCAGTATCTTCTTCTTCACCACTACTTTCGTCGTCCGAGTCCGAATTTGAATCCGAATAAGAACAACTACCTTCTGTACCGCCTGAACTTTCGTCGTCGGAATCGGAATCCTCTTCTGAATCAACCGAATCTGTTCCTACCACGCATATAAATTTTTCATTTGCACGGAATAACTTTCATAAATGTACCAGTTACATATTTTTATAAAGAATGTATCGCTACCATTAAGTTCGGTGGTTGGATCCCAGCTACCTCCGCCTTTTATGGCATCCATATCAACAGTCGATGGGAGCTCTCTTTCCTGCTCCCCATCGTTTTCCTCCCAGTTCCAATTTTGCAATTCTAATTCCGAAGGATGGTGAATAACGGCGCTCCATCCTGAATCACCAGACATTTTTCAGCTTATCTAACATCCAATATTGTCCAATAGAATACCATTCCTTATAATTTTGTTTATTCATTCAGTTTCTTCGCAATTGTACAAAGCACATCTTTGCCAATGTGCTCAATATTTGATCGCAAGACATATCGGTAGAATTCCCATGTTTATTTGGTAATTTCTACCAATGATTTCTTCATTGTACAACAATTGCATATAGTTACGTTTTACTCATAATGGTGTAACTGTAAAAGTAAACATAGAAACCTTATTGTACGTAGAATGCAGCAACTGCAAGATATATATTATTTATCGATTAAGATGATTAAAGCAGCAAAAATAGAAGCATGTTATTGATAGAGGCAACACACTGAAGCAAAGGAAACAATGACAAAAACATAAGGAACAAGATTGAAAAGGAAGCTGCACAAAATTGTCGTTAAATTCATGACATACTAATGCCATAAAAGACTCTTTCAAAGTTTAGAGCACTAGATTCCTTTTTATATGATACTACAAATGTAAGGAATAATGATGTCTTGTTAAAATCTAAATGTTTACATTTTAAGGTCACTTAACTTTGCTTCTAATACGACATTTGATATCTTTGAAAGCTGTATCTCGCAGCGCGGGAGAACGCTAATCTCTATAACCTCGTAAAGAGAAAGAGCATTGGGCAAGAAATCAAAGTTATCAAAAACTTATGTATACCTTTTTCTCGATATATGCAACAATTATCTTAGAAATCGTTACCGATAAAAGACAATGTCATCGAAGAAAATGCTGCTTGTTGATGCGCGCGTACTCCAACTATAGGTGCGTCACATTCGCGTACGCATTAAAGCAGCAGCAGTAGCAACAACAACAGTAGTAGATGATCGAAGGAGACGGGTAAATAGGGACAACGAATAAAATCTTTTCTTCAAAAAAATATCACTCTGTTTACATCGTCAACGAAGCACACAGAAATCTCCAGAGGAACTTCGCACGGGAGAGAGAGAAAGTGCGGGACAGAGAAGCAGAGAATCCCTTGAAAGGGAGAAAGAGAGAAAAACAGAAAAAGAGAGGGAAAGAAAGAGCAAGAGAATAAGCAAGTGGGGTCAGGGAAAGAGCGAGAGGGAAAGAGAGAGAAAGAGGAAAGGGGGAGAAACGTTCCGGATCGTAGAAATCGGAAAAATAAAAGGCAAGCACGTTATCGTCGAAGCGACCGCCTAAAGCGGTAAAGAGTGGCGAAGTAAGGGGCAGGCTAGTACGCGTTTGATGACAGACACGATACCCTGAGACCTCGTTACTCCGCATTCCACGAATAATGCAACGAAGATCCACACGATTCTGGATCGACGATCAACCAACGATATTCTCGAAGTTGCTTCGAACAGACAGCTGTTTCTGTTTCTCGGTCGATGCGCCAGGTGCGTCGGCGACAGGGCCCGTGGAAACTCCTCTGTGTTCATGTGTAACTCAAATTGCCGCGCCATCTGATGTTGAATATCACCATTAGAATGGTCCAGCGGTTCATACGAAATTTCGCATTCCATATACTGTTGCGTAAATAAAATTGCATCCAATGTCTTACCTCTTTCCAAATGATCGCAATTTCATTTTACAAAAAAATGTATAATGCACATTATGAAAAAAATCTTAAAGTAAAAAGACATAAATTAACGTTTCGTTTGTATACATATGTCGTGTACTATTATTTTTCCTATGAACAGCTATCACAAGTTGAATTGCCTCTAACTTTTCTAGTTCTGATTTAAACTACTGCCCTTACGTTTGATGACATTTAAATTGTCGATTAACCTTCGATAAATCGATAATCAACGTCAACATATTTTCTAATCAAGCTTATATCGATAATCTAGAATCGATGATCGAATTCGAAATTGCATAACATCGTTATCGCTGTAATCACTAAAGCTTTGAATTTTTAATCGAGTAATCGACATAGTTTTCATTATTGGATCAAAGTAATATTATTGTTGTTCTCACGTCAAAAATATCAAGAGCTAACTGAAAATTTTTAATATTTCCGGATGACCCGTTTCGGTCATCTTTTTTCTTCAGACAAAATGAAACGCGAATGTACAGAGGGTCGCAGAAAAATGGCAGAGTGTACTAAGGTTCGCGATTCGAGTATTCCCTCTAGGTAGACACGTGCATCGAGACGAAGGGTGGTAGGAGTATGGGTCTGGAGTCGGCAATATGGCTGGCCAGATGTGCATAGGTAGGGTGTCAGGGTGGTGTTAGTGCTGTACGTTATTTATGTCGAACTACCGCAAATCCTGCCCGAATCTCGCGTGTTTTCATGGAATCGGTGACATACTGTGCAGAAGCAGGAATACGGCTTGCATGAAGGCATAGCATACGCTTCCGAGTCAAACAAACATGAAGTAAGTTCCACGTATACGACACAGCATCGAAAGAGAGAGATGGTCTAGTCGTGTCGAGTCGAGCCGAGTCGAGTCCGGTTTATGGGTTCGTGCACGACTTCTTTTTGCCATCGACCATTGTTTATACCTCGGTCAGCCAACGGTTACTTTCGATGATTCAGAATTTCCTACTGTTCTACGCGTCCCATCTTTCCGGACCTCTTCTCGAAACACCGTGACGAACAGTCGGCGTTCAAATCTACTCGGAAGTATAAATCGTAGGGACAAGCTTCGACGATGTATTTTTTTACCGAATATTCCCGTACGTGACAGTATTCCTTCCCTTCCCGTTTTCGTTCTTCACGCGTTCGTCAATCGCTTTCCGTTTTCGTTTTCGTTTACCGAAAATCATCTCTAAATTATCTTTGTATCTTAAAGCCTCGCGTTTCAACGCCTTTGTGTATCGTAAACGCAAACTCTGTGCTTCTGTCTACCTTGACTCGTTTCCTATCCCCTTTATGATCAGGTAACGCCAACGTATACCATCCTCCGATCCCTGCGTGCGCTATATCGTGAAAAAAACAATGCAACATGGAAATTTCACCGAGCATTTGTTTATATTAGACAAGACATCATCTGCACGCACGCGCGTATTTTCAGTGACTCCCGCGAACAAGAATTCTCGTAGTTTTCTCGACTATTCGTGCGCGTTTTGTATTTTGTAAAAAAAGCAGATGAATTCAGAACATCGATAGAGTATCACGATCGCTATGCTCCGATTCATGCGGTGCGTTGCGTTTTACTCAATTTGTGAAAAGACGTTATCCGTAAAAGTTATCAATGAAATCGGTCGATACAGCTTTTACGGGGATTCGTGAGTCACATTATGATTCACATCGCGTTCGTGTCGATTCGAAATTGTTCGAGTCTCGATATCCAAACGTATATCCGTCGCTTTAACATTGTATTTTAATCTTCCTGATTCAAATTCCACTAGCGCTTAATATTGTGTACGTTTTTGGTTCTTTCCTTCGAGAGGTTTCATCGTAATGCATCTTCTGTATACAAACTGCACAAATAATGCGTAACAATAGCGCGTACGTATTATGCGTTAGGCGGATTTCGAGAGGAGGCGGTCACGCGTACATCGTCCCGATTAAATTTCATCCGTCGAGTCTCTTGAAGGAAGTCAAACTACGGGATCGTATTTTAGGTATAGGAAGGAACCGCACGCAAGATAAAGAACACGGAAAAGATTGGAGAATGGTAACGCGTATCACGGATACGGCTCGACCTGTTATCGTAGAGCTTGTCTGATCATACGGCGAGCAGAGGAGGAAGTGGCAGTCGACAGTATCTTTTCGTATTCCGTTTCGTTCTGTTCTCGTTTCGCGAGCGGCTCGGTGAAAGTGACACCGAGCGTAACGTTTTTTTTTTCTTTTTCGAGAAATCCGCGAGTCCTTTGACCGATAAACTTATCGGAGGAAAAACTTCTGTATCGAACGTGATTTTCTATGATACCAACGAACGACGCAAGGCGATTCATGCATCGCCTTCAACCGCAACGATCCCTTCCGGAAGAATATCGATCGCGGTAGCGGTTCTTTGCTATGTTTCGATTATTATTTCGGTTTAACGAAACGCGTTAGTAAATGGCGACGAGAACTCGTTAAAGTCACGATATCCTTTACGTTTCAGCGAAGTGAGCATATCGTCCGCTCGTGCGTCGGTAATGGTATACGACGACGTTAACAAAAAATGGGTACCGAGCGGCAGTTCGTCAGGACTTTCGAAAGTTCAATTGTACCATCATCAAGTGAACAATACGTTTCGCGTGGTTGGAAGAAAGTTGCAGGATCACGAAATCGTCATCAACTGCGCGATCCTCAAGGGACTGAAATACAATCAAGCGACAGTCACGTTTCATCAATGGCGAGATAACAAGCAAGTATACGGTCTGAATTTCTCCAGTAAGGACGACGCCGACGCATTTGCCAGAGCGATGCTGCAAGCGCTCGATGTGAGTTCAAACCGTACGAAAAACAAAAAAAAATTCAATGGAAACACCAAGAAAAATAAGAGTATCTTACGATCGAACTAACGATTACTTTGCCTCGATCTTTGCGTTTCTAAATTGATAAATTAATGATCTACGAGTCGATTACCACTTGATTTAGTAATCCTGTTTCATCCAGGTGTTGAGTAATGGAAGCAACATATCGAGGAGCCTCGCACCCGCATCGACTACTCAGCAGCAGCCAGTTTTTCAGCAACAACAACCGACTAATGCTCAATACGATGAAGATATGGGATACAGGTTCGTATCGATTAGGTTCACGTCACTTGATCTTTGCGAAACCGATTGCTGCCGTACATGAGTTAACGATTAATATCGATCTGCGCAGAACTATGACCAGGGAGGATGTGGCAATCATTCAGGAACGCAGAATGTCTCAACAAAGTCAAGGTACTGTATTGATGCAGCGATGCAATTCGAGAGCAATACGTTGAAGTTTTTCTTTCGTTCGCAGCAACGAACAGTCCGAACGCAATTTCTCCCAGCTGTCCTCTCGCGTCGCAGCAGCAACAAGTACCTCCGCAACCGCAGCAACAGCCGCAGCAACCGGCTGCGCAATCCGTGCAACAACAACAGCAACAACAACCGACGGCCCCGCCTCAACCTCCGCAACCGCCACAGCAGCAACAGCATCCGATACAGCAACCGCAGCAACAACCGTTACAGCAGCAACCGCAGTCGGGTCACCACAGAACTTCGTCGGCTCCACCGGCTCCGCAGCCTCAACAACAAACCGTGATGCAATCGATGCAAGTAACCGGTGGTTTGGGAACCGGTGCTGGACAAATGTCGAGTGGAAGCGTGCCACCGGTACCACCTCCTCAGCCTCCTATGTCCAACGCGGTTCCGCCGTGTCCACCCGCCATGATGAACTTTAACGTGCCGGTACCACCACCTCCGATGATGATGAACCAGTACGCGCAGTCCCCGTCGTCTCAATCTAATCTACCGAATCAAACACAAGCACAGGCGATCTACGGTAGCGGTCAAACGAATCAGTACGGTGTCGCCGCAAGCAATAACCAGTACGCGACCGGTGCCGTGATCGGGCAAAGTCCGAGTCAGTATTCTACCGGCAATCAAAATAATTTCTACGGTAACAATGGCCAAGTTAGTAACGCCTATTCGAGCGGACAATCGGCACAGGCGAATCAGTACGGAGGCGGCGGAGGTAGTGGTGGTACTGGTAGTGCTGGTGGAAGCCAATACGGAAGCAGCAATTCGATCGGTCAATACGCCACCAGTGCAGCAGCAGCAGCAACCGGCCAGTACGCCGTAGGTGTCGGTGTCAATGTCGGCGTCGGCGTTGGCCAACCGAATCAAAATCAGTACAGCGTGGTGTCTCAGGCACAGGCACAGTATGGTACGGGTCAGATACAAGCAGTTTCGGGTGCGACAAATCCGTATGGGACACCCTCGAATTCGGTGAATCAGTATAACAGTAGCGGTGGCGGTAATAACAGTGGTAATTGCGGTGCTGGCGGCGGCGGTGGCGGTGGTGGTGGCAGCGGTGGTAACAGTGGTACCGCTGCTGCTCATCTTGTACCTTCGGCCAATCCTAATATTTATGCCGCTGTCGAGCAACAGCATCCGATACAGCAACCGCAGCAACAACCGTTACAGCAGCAACCGCAGTCGGGTCACCACAGAACTTCGTCGGCTCCACCGGCTCCGCAGCCTCAACAACAAACCGTGATGCAATCGATGCAAGTAACCGGTGGTTTGGGAACCGGTGCTGGACAAATGTCGAGTGGAAGCGTGCCACCGGTACCACCTCCTCAGCCTCCTATGTCCAACGCGGTTCCGCCGTGTCCACCCGCCATGATGAACTTTAACGTGCCGGTACCACCACCTCCGATGATGATGAACCAGTACGCGCAGTCCCCGTCGTCTCAATCTAATCTACCGAATCAAACACAAGCACAGGCGATCTACGGTAGCGGTCAAACGAATCAGTACGGTGTCGCCGCAAGCAATAACCAGTACGCGACCGGTGCCGTGATCGGGCAAAGTCCGAGTCAGTATTCTACCGGCAATCAAAATAATTTCTACGGTAACAATGGCCAAGTTAGTAACGCCTATTCGAGCGGACAATCGGCACAGGCGAATCAGTACGGAGGCGGCGGAGGTAGTGGTGGTACTGGTAGTGCTGGTGGAAGCCAATACGGAAGCAGCAATTCGATCGGTCAATACGCCACCAGTGCAGCAGCAGCAGCAACCGGCCAGTACGCCGTAGGTGTCGGTGTCAATGTCGGCGTCGGCGTTGGCCAACCGAATCAAAATCAGTACAGCGTGGTGTCTCAGGCACAGGCACAGTATGGTACGGGTCAGATACAAGCAGTTTCGGGTGCGACAAATCCGTATGGGACACCCTCGAATTCGGTGAATCAGTATAACAGTAGCGGTGGCGGTAATAACAGTGGTAATTGCGGTGCTGGCGGCGGCGGTGGCGGTGGTGGTGGCAGCGGTGGTAACAGTGGTACCGCTGCTGCTCATCTTGTACCTTCGGCCAATCCTAATATTTATGCCGCTGTCGGCAGTGCCGGTCCGCAACCACCACCTATGCTACCATTAGCTGGTCCTGCAGCACCACCTCCACCACCTCCGCCACCTGCACCAAAAATCAACGCTGTCAACCTCAATCCGCTTTCTGGGCCTGCATCAACTACTACTACTACCACTACTACTAATCTCGTCAGTTCTGCTAGCAACAACGACCCGCCTCCAGACTCCAATTCGTTGGCTGCTGCTCTTCAAGCGGCTCGTTTGAAAAAGAAGCAGGTGCGTATCTTTGATCCTCGTCCCTCCTGCTTTTTCGTTGTTACATTTTTTCTATTCGCTTCGCCATTCTTTTTTATATTTTCCTCCTGTGATCGTGTTCGTTCGCTTCCAGTCGTCGCAACAGCCGGTGGAGAATAGCGGTTCGAGTACCAGTAGCAGTGGAAGCGCAGGAAGCAGTGGAAATTATGGCACGTTAGGAAGAGGCGGAGGTGGCGGTATGGCTTCCATGATGGACGAGATGGCTAAAACTTTGGCTCGTAGACGAGCTGCCGTCGAGAAGAAGCAACCCGAACAGCCACAGGTACGCTTGTTCGAAACGTGTTAATCCGAATTCTGTCTGAGCGCTTTCTACTTGCTTCTTTTTATGTAAACAGGAACCCGAAAGTTCACCCGATAAAAAATCATGGGACAAGAACAATTCGAATAATAAATTTTCGAATGGCGCCGAATCACCGAAGTCTGTCCGCAAAAGGTTTGGTTCCGCATCCGAGGATACTCTCTTGAAAGTAAACGGCGTTAACGATGGAGCTGTCCTCACTGCTCAAGAAATGGAGGCGTTCAAAGCCGAGATCATCAAGGAAGTACGCAAAGAATTTCAAAAGATGAAGCAAGATATCGTGGACGGTAAATACACAATTCGAATCGGAATAAAAATTTATCTCGTGTTTGCTCACGCGTTGCTTTTATGCGTTTTTCCAGCGGTCAGAGCGGAACTCAGTAGAAGATAAAGATGCGACAGACGAGGACCAGTTTCATGCGTAACCGAGAAGAGAGAAGGATTCTACTACCGTATAGGTCAGCCGATACGATTATCGACGAAGCCGTACGATGCAATTTTTTTTACTTCGTATTCGCGAGAATGGAATGCAGTTATACCCCATGTATATCAGACGCGTTTGCGTGTAAGTACGTTATACCTAATCTAATGTTCTAAGCGAACCGTATCAGTCGTTGCGTGCCAGACGAAAGGCGAGCAACGTCCGAGATTTTGGATAAAATTCATTTAAATTCTGTCAATTCGATGCACAACACACATCTCGAATCATTTATGTTGACATGCGTATTAATCTTCGGTGGTATCGTACAATCTGTCTTTTATTAACGACGATTGTCGTGTTTCGTATCACGTCAAGCATTGTCCGTAGACATAAATTATGAGTAACTTAATGTAACGTAACGTAACGTAACGTAACGCTGATCCCACGCACAATGGAAGACAGTTTCTATGTAAATATCAACCGAATTCGATTCAGCGAGCAATACGCGAAAACGTGTAAAAAGACTTGTCTAGTCTAAATGCATTTAAACCTGGGGCTAAAAGAACGCGCAATAAGTTTATTCGCATCCGACTAACGCGACGTTTCATCCTCTCGAACGTTGATCTTCGATTATGTATTTAGAATGCACCGCGGATATAACGTTTGTACAATCGGTTCTAATTTTGCTTCTTTCGTACATACCACCTCTTCCATGTACAGATTTTTCATTAATACGCACAGCTCGATACATTCCAACGAGAAAACTGTTTTGGTACTTGCGCAAAAGATAGAGTAGATTTGCAAAGGGTCATCGATCGACTGCCACAATTTCTAACGAACAAACGAATTCTCGATCGGACGATCGTTCGGATCGACGAGTTCTTCAAATACGCGAATACGCGCTAATCCGAACGTGAAAGGATTACACCAATTTTTATATTTACGCGCATTCATTGATCGTTCTAAGTTGAAAATTCGATGCGTGACAGGGCGATCATGTTTGCTACCGACACTGTATACTACTCTCCGTTCTTATATTTTTTTATCGTCTCTCGTACGATTCTCACGGAAAATGGGTAAGTTGACGTTGCAGTTCATATATATTCTATGTATCTATAATATAGCCGTATATACGCTGATCTGCACCGGCTTATTGGCATTTATTGCTTTTACCAAAAATAAAAATGAAGGAATGAGAGAGAGGGAGAGAGAGGATGCGTGTGTGTGTGTGTAGCAAGAAGCGAGGAAAAAAAAAATGAAAAGAGAAGATAATCGTGTCCATTCCTGACAGCATCGATGTATTTTCGAACAATATTTGATAACGCTACATCAACGTCACGCGATTTACGATACGATACGATACGGTACGATACGATATGGTACGATGTGATATTATAATACCTGCGTATCCAGTATTGAATGACGCGAGCAAGCATGAATATTTTGTCGCGTATACGTTCTTTTCTCATCTTTTTCTTTTGTTCATAAGGAGAAATTGTAAATGACTGATTGCTAAATTAACACAGTTATTAAGAATGCAACGGTAAATGTTTTAAAGCTTGTTCTAGATACAACTATAAGTATTATCGACTAAATTTTTAACTGTCGTTCTAACGCAACAACTTGTCTAGTCGTGTAAGAGAAACGAAGAGCGGAAATGCAACGTTTTCGGTAATAAGCATGGCCGTTGAATTTTACGTTTCGAAACAACGCTGTCCGAGGGTGTTCAAATCGATACTTTCGTCTCAATGTTTTCGATTACATATATGCATAAATGTCTTCTTTGTACGCGTGTCTTGAGTGGCGTTGTTACTACTCTTCGAATATCCCCCATGCAGCGATAACTACAGAATCATTCCGACAGTGTTGTTTGCGATCGGTGTAAACACGCGAAATTTTATACGTCAATTGTATTCCATCGATGGAATTGTACAATTTTTTTTACTTCTTTTATATTTTCTATCGGTGTTTACATTTTTTTTATTATCGAAAGTTTATCCCCGTCGCTCTTAAGCTATTCACGGTAAATACAATGTTACGGTTCGATTGCGTGATCTTTGAAAAAAAAAAAGAAAAAAAAACAACGACTCGACAAAGCCTCTCGGTTCGAAGGTGCAAAAGTTAACGAGAACTGATTAACGGAGAGCTGATACGAGAGAGTTGGCGTGTGCATGCGCGGGAGTATGGCGATGAATGCGTTTTGCGTACATGTGTTGCGACGGTGGTGCAGCGTATAGAAGAAACGGAGGAGGGATTCGAAGGGGAAAGTTTTGGGCGCGGCAAAGTACACGTTCGATGGGTAGAAAAGGGAAGAAACGAATCGCACGGGGTTACGAGAACAGCTAATCGAGAAAAGCGAGACTAGTATTAGATGCATTTATATTCTATTTAACATATGTATATTTATATATACATATATCGTACATGGATAATTTTAATAACAAGATTAACGCGCGAACATTAAAAGAAAAAAAAAAAGAGTGTTTGTTACGATTGAAATTATTTAAGGAACGCAAGAGAGCATGGCGATAAAACGAATCGACGCGTTGCTTATCGCGACACCGACGAAATCGAGTCGAGGGATAACCGTAATCCAGGGCCATTATAAACGGTGTGTATCATAATTAATGTATCAGCAACAAGCAAATACACGTATGATATAAAGAACTACGTACGAGAATGCTACTTTATATATTACGTGCGACGCAGCGGCAACGAGAGGTCGAAATACATTTTATTTTATTCGATCGCTAATCTATCCTGCATCCCAAGTTCGATAAAGCGTTCGCGATTTTGGTCGATCATTTTTTCTGTTCGATACAACGATTTATGTACATTCGTTCGTGCGCGTACGCGCGCGAGCAAGTTCGCGTTTAACCGATCGTCGAGTCTCGTCGCCGTTTCCCGTCGTTGCTCGTGAGTCGATGTCGAGACGCGTACAGAAAAAGAAATGTTTATACTAAAACTGCACAACAGTTATTTCGATACAATGCGATTCATCGAGGTTGCGAGGGAACGAGTGTCTCGGCGAAAACAGCCACACCTTCCGTCAGCGATACTGCGAGAACCGTCGATATCTCTTCAGCGAATTATCGGTATTTCGCTATACTGATACGCGTTACGAAAAAGAAAAACAACGACAACGACGGAACGTATCCTAGACTCGTTAAAGAAGAAGCTCGACGAGGCCGCATAGCGTATTTTATTAGCGTTTTAAGCGATCGCAACGAGTGCGAGGAGAATTTGTACGAAATACAATTAGCAGCGTTAGTACGTACGAGGTTTGAATCGATGCCGAACACACACTGTTTCTTAAGACGTATCTTGAAAATATTTGTATTGTAAATGAATGACGACACAATAATAAAAAGTATACGCCCAAACGTTTTTGGAGTAAGCTTTCCCTTCCCCGGTGAAAAAAAGTGTCAGCTGGTCGGACCGCTCCGATACTTTCCTCGAGTTATTTATAAGTGTACCGCATCGTCTCGCGAGTAAGATCGCGACCCGATTTCTACGAACCGTAATTCCCTATCAACCGACATTGATCCGTGACGTTCACGGATAACGAAAGCGGGCGACTTTGTCTTTACACGAGCAGCTGCACGGCGTTTCTCGCAGCTTCGAGACCGGCAACCGATCGCGGATTACCTCGATTCCTCCTATGTCGTCTTTGTTCCATCGCGATGAAGCGACGTTTCTCTTTAAGATATGACGTAAGAATAAAAAAAGAAACGGGGGAAGGTCAGCGTGGATACGGCAACGCGATGAAAAGAGGGGCAGCAGGGGACTAGTTAGAAGGGGAAAGAATGAATGACGCATAAAGCGGCAGGATAGGCACGAAATCTAGCGTGGTCGATCGTGCCGTTTCCGTTCAACGATCGCTTTAGACCAGTTGCCGTACGATATATACGACTGGCTAGAAAACTCGTTTACTCGCGTCGCGAATCGTGGGTGTAAGGTGCGACTTACGGGTGTTTCGCGGTTCGCCGCAGATCGATAACGCGTCGACGGTATCGAGAAAGCGCTTGTGTCGATACAAGTCGGTATCGGAGTGGCGAGAGGTTTGCCGAGCCGTTTCGCGTCAGTTGGCCAAATCGTCGAGCGAATCGCGCGTCGACGCGACGGATTATCCGTTTGGCACGCGTTCTCGAGACTCGTCGATGTTTGATCCTCGACGAAGGGAAGGGACGTCGATGAAAACGCGAACAGGAGCGTGAAACGCTGTTCGAGTCGGAGTGGCGGGAAAAACGAGGTCAGCCGTGGTCGGTATCGCGTGGCGTCGGTGACTGGAGGAAACGACTCGTCGGGAAGGAAAGTTGTTAAGGTAGATGCGACAAAGCGTAGACGCGCTTGCGCTCGCCGATACGGGGACGACCACGCGCTGCGACGATAGACCAGCAACGGAAAGGGAGAGACACACGCGATGCAGTGAAGCTTTCGGAGACGACGCGACATGGGCTAAAGGAACAGGTCTGCGATTAATAAATCGAAAGACGCAACGATCGAATCGACGCGGCGCTCTATAAGATCGTGATAGTTATAGTTGATCGCAAACAACGATCACGGGGCGGTGGTCCATATGCGGTCACGTTGTACAGAGTGAAGCCTAGTCGACCGCGTGCGGTTCCCGGACGAAAACAAGGGTCCGACGACGTGGTTCGATCTGTTTTTCGTCTGTGCCAACTAACGGGTGGTTTCTAAACGCGAACAACAGTAAATTCGTTGAAACGTTCGTCATGAAACGGCCGGTTGTCATGTCTCGTCGACGGATCAATGAAGAGTCGTGAAAACCGTGAAAAATCAGCTCGCTACCGCGTAATCCGATTCCCTGGTTTCGTTTACTTTTAATTCTTTTGGGTCACGGACACCGTCGATGGTTGAACAAAAAAGGAATACGAGGGGACGATACAAACAAACTTCTGTTTCTTTTTACTGTCGAACGAGTCTCGGTGTATTGTGACGCTCAAATTGACGAATTAACAGGTCACGCGAGTCCTAGAATCAAAGTCCAGAGAGAGAATCTCCAAAAGGAAAGTTTGATCGGTGTAAATAACGAGCAAGGTTCGCGCGGTTGCTAAGATCCACTGATACGATTGATCCACGATCGAGCAAGACGCGTTCTGAGACGTACGCGTACGATGGCAATGAAAGCCGATGCCACGAATAGGAGATGACGCGATACGCGAATCGCGGGAGATGACGCGTTCGATGACGAAACATCGGTAAGGGAATAGTCGACCATTGAACGCACGGCCCACGCGTTTCAGTGTTTAGAAGCGCGCGAAAAAAAAACAGCCGATAAATTTCGACGTCTTATCTCGTGTTAGACGTTCACTTGGCCTCGTAAATACTCGCGAAATTGCGTACACGTAAGCGACGTATCGGTAACTGTGTAATGGGTGAATCGAGTTTGTAAATACGAGGTGGAACGAAATTTCGTACACGAAAAACAGCTATTCTGGTCCATGCGCGTTCATTGACCGATCGATTATTCTTGTTTCAGCTTCGAGACGCGGCAATGAAATCGAACGTGTCCGTGGCTTGGCAAAGTGGAAACGATCACGATTGCGGTCACGATCACGATCACGATCGCGTTGCTAGCAACGGTACCGTACGCAACGAGCTCGTCGGCTCGTCGAAATCGAATTTAAACGAGACTCGGATTTGGACTCGGAGCTACGGTGAAACTGATCGATCGGAAGTATAACGAAGAGAATCGTCGAACCTCGAGAGTTTCGATCACTGACCGCGAGCCACCAATCTCTCTTTCTCGATTTTGAGTACGAAAGAAACACGAACGAGTTACCGAAAGATGCTCGGGTAGAGAATCTACGAGAGGGTATTAGGAGCAAAGCCGGTAAAAGACGATCGGTTACGAGACGAGGAAAGTAAGACTGGCGAGGGAGGATCGCGAGACGAACGCGAGGCAGAATCGAGACGAAGCAGTGCCGTAGTCCTGGGGGCCCAGGGTATACGTATGATCTATTAATAACTCGCAACGCGGTAGTAGTGGGGCGCTGTTCGCTAGCGGGTGAAAATAGAAAAGAATGTTTTTGGAATCCAATTGGACTTGGTTGGCCGAACGATGGGGCAATATGGCCGACTTGGCCGAGCGGGTGGACGATCTGATATGCAGTTTCGACTCGGCTGGTGACACGACCATGGATACGTTATCGATGCTAATATTCGGTTGGATGTTGTTCGGGTTGGTGGTACTGTGCGTCGGCAAATACGTCTACAATCGTTTCGTACTAAACGAGCTTCCTTCGGGGACGATAGTTACCGCCAAGGACGGCCATATCATTCACGGTGATAGCGTCGGTGTCGGTGGTGGTGTTGCTAGTGGTGGTGGTAGCGGCGGTGGTGGAGGAGGTGGTGGTGTTGGTGGCGGTGTCAAATCGGCTCCCCTCGGCAAACAAAAAATTCTTTCTTCGGCATCGGGTTCTTCGGTGTCCGGGACAGGTGGTAGCGGTACTGGCGCCACTGTTTCCGGATCGCACGGTGTCATCAATCACCCGACTGGTAGCGGTACCGCTGCGTCCGCTCCTTCCGGCTCTTACGTACCGCCGACTCCTCCAGTACGCAAACGTTTAACGGCCAGGAAGACTTCCGGTGCTTTGATCAGCCCCGCGAGAAGTTCCAAAAGTTTGCATTTGCCGACCGCCACGGGCGCTGACCCCGACGCTGTTCGTTGGGTAAACGAAGTCATCGTTTGGCTCTACTCGGACCCGGCGATTCTCGACGAGTTACTCGCGGTTTGGGTCGGCTCTCTCAACGACTTTACCGCCAACTCCGTCGACGAGGTGAGTCGAGATTCGAGACGTTTTCGCTGCCGGTTGATCTAACGGGTTCGTTAAACCTCTGCTTGTTACTTCTACGTGACTCTTTCGATCGTCTCGTTAAACGATGCTCTCGGCTGCGACGAAAGAGTACGCGAACTAATCGAGACTGGACTTTGTTCGACCCGTTCAGAATCTCTCGCGCGCGAAACGGCAACCGTCGAGACTAGATAAGGCAACGCGACCTTCTCGAGTCGCGTGGGTGTTCTCGAGCAACCGATGCGTCAACCGGACTTGTTATAACACGTCTCGTTTGTCGGCACAAGATTTTTCTTCATTTAATCGCTGAAAAATTTGCACGCTCTTATTTACGTATCGTGTCGCAGCATGGAGTCGGAGTCGAGTTCGTCCGCGTTCTTCCGGAAACCTACCCACCGAATCTCTCCAACATTTTCTGCGAATGCGATTCTAAGGACGACGTGGTGAGTATACTCGATCCATCTTTAGATCTAAACGGAGTCGATACGCGCCTCGAATACCGCTTTTATTTATTCCAGACGATCACGTGCGATTGCGAGGCTACTCCAGCGTTGCAATTGAAAGCGTTTCGCCGGAAGGCCGATAAACTAGAAGTTAGCCACTACCGTGTAAACGTGAATCGCTTTCGCGCACGATTAAACGTCATTTGCATCACCGAGAAGCTCCTGCTCGACTTAAAATGCGACGGCTGGCCGGAGGTTTGAAGTCTCTTTTTTCGTTCCACGTGTCAAAACTCGACTTGCGTCTAACCGTGTTTTCATTAGGTGAAAGTATCGCTGGCTCAAGTGGGGACGATAAAGAAAGATTTGGACGAGAGCCAATTGCAGGAAGTTGTAACGGAAATCGTGATAGGGGCATTAAGGGGGACCAATGTTCATCTGAATTTATTCCAATATCCGAGCTGTCCACGGTTATGGAGGGAACCACCGCAAACGCAGCCCAGCTTCTCGATGCCTATGCACTACGACAGCATGGTACGCCTCCCTTCGTTATCCTTCATATCGTCTTCTGTTGTACCTTGCTAAGTCTTCGATCATCTCGCAGAACACGTCGACCGGTTCGCTTCAGCAGCTTCGGCAGCGGGTGCAAAATCAAAATCAAATGGCAGCACAACATCAATACGTAACCGGCGACAGACGGTTACTCGTCAAAGTGGTCAGAGCTGCGGATCTTGGTGGCGAACAAGGTTCCACGGAACCGTATTGCGTCGTCGAGTTGGATGAACCACCTCAAAAAAATCAGACATCTGTCAAGAAAGATACCAAAAATCCATTGTGGGACGAAGCGTTCTTATTGTGAGTACATTTATCGTCCAAATTGAGAGTAATCGACGAGCTCATTGTTTTCGTTCGCAGTGATGTCAATCGCAACACGTCCGAAGTTTTATTGGAAGTTTACGATCGGGCGAATAAATCTCAACGATTCTTAGGCCTAGGGATAGTCGGTATTGACGAGCTCCTCGCGAATCCTAGTCAGAGGCAGATAATACCGCTTCAAAATCGACCCTACGAAGAAGAAGACATTACTGGCACCTTAACCGTCGAGGTAAGTGATTGACACGAACGTTACGTCACGTTACGTAAGATGTTACGTTATGGTGTCGTCTCCGGTGGCTGCTCGCTACGCTATTTCGTTTGTTTTCCGTTTCTTTCTTTCTCCCCCTCTCTTTTTTGTCTCTCTCTCTTTTCTCAGTTTCTATTCATCGAGGGTGCAGAGGTGCCTCAAATTGGGAACAAACCTTACAAGGTGAAGGAGACGATAAAGCCGGTGTCGCCGACTCCTCGTACCTATACTCCGACAAATCTCATCAGCGACAATAGTCTTAATTACAACAATGGTAACAGCACACTTATCTTGTACGACTCTACCGTTCAATTCGAAGGGGGTAATTACCAATTATTTATTTGAAAGCATTCGTGTTTACGAGTGTGACGAACATAGCGACACCCCGTTAGAACCTAGTTTCCTTTACGAGACGTGCTTCGACGATGATTCGCGTAATCCGAGATTCGTGATCGCTAAGACTCTACTTTGTTCTCTTTTTCTTTCGCGATCACGAAACACGTGTTGCCCCCTTTCTCAAGTCCGCTAGTTATACTCTTCCTCTTTCGTACGAGTCTGCATTTCGTGCATGTGGATCGTATTCTTCCAGACAGTAGTTCGCATGAAGTATATCTATGTGTTTATATACACGCATACACATACATACATACATACGAGAAGTTTCTGAATGTATCATAGAGATTGTTTGCCTCTCTCCTTCCTTCTGTCTACTCAGTTATTTAACGTTGGCTTTAACGGTCCTCTAGCACGATGTGTTACGATTTTACACGCTCGCCTTCCGGTTAGAATACTTTCCCGATTGTCAATCCCTCGAAGTTATTTCGACTACCAGAGTGCCGAACCTGGCGAATAGCGATGACAGTAAAAACGATGATTACATAACTTAGGAAACGTTGCCAAACGCGATAAACCATCTGGTAAACGAAATGACACGATTACGGGCATCGGAGGTGCTTGGTAGAACGACGGAAGTAGAAAAGTCATAAATCTTTCGACGGTATGTCTCTTTATTTTTGCGGTGCAAGAGCTAACCGAGTGATCGAATTCAATCATTTCGCAGACTACCTGACGAACGGGAATGTGGTTGACTCTCCGTACAGAACTGGCCAGTCTAATGGAAACAAGGGGACTCTGATCGTGCACAGCCAGCAAAGGGTACGCTCGATGAATCAGCACGATACTTCTTTTTCACTAACACCGATTGACTATCCTCTATTTTTGTGTTGTGCCTTTTCTTTTGCAGCAACCGGAACGGCAGGTGGTTAAGGTAAGCCGTTGTCGTCACCTTCCTTCTTCCAAGATCGTGTTATCGTGATTGCATAATTACGCACCTATATCACCCTTAGAGTTAGCTGGAACCCGTTCAGTTTTGCAGTCCAGTGTTTCCTTTTCCCCGGTTGTTTTTTTCTTGACCCCACACAACGTTCCTTTTGTCGTTTCTTTTTCTTTTTCTCGCATCTGCCCACTCTGTCGTTTGGAAATCAATCAGGCTTGTGTATCACGACAACACTAATTATCGTCAGCTGAGTGGCGTGTGTTTACTAATTCCACAGGTGGCCCTGACGGAAAGCGGTAACTGGCAAGAAATATCACCGGAGGTAATTACACGAATTTTTACTGTAGTATTTTTAGCCGGCTTTTAAGTTTGCTCCAATTTATCTCTCTAACTTAGCCAATCGCTGCGAACAGACAGCTTCTATACATGTAACGCAACTACGTTACCGCCTGTAAACATTAAACAATTTTCGTTTCAGCACGGACCAAAAGATACTAGCGCAACGTCGGGACCAGAGAGTACACCAAACTCTTCCAATTCCGAAGGTAATCGTCACTGAACAAAAGTTGATTTCGGTCGTCACTTTAATCGTTTCTGTCGCAGAGAGGGGAAGAACACGAAGGAAACGACGAGATTTCTTCGGTACGATAAAGAAACGACTGAGTCGATCGAAGACGAGAAGCAGATCAGTTGGTCCGGAAGGAGATGCGAACCACGAAGACGCGCACTCGAGATCTATATCCGCGGACAGAGCTCGCGATCCCGGTTCTGGTACGTTTTTCAAACACTCCAGCCCCGGACGTAAGGATTGGAAAGTACACCGAGTTTTTAGAGTAGAGTAGCGTAGACCTTCCGGTTCGTAGTTCGAATCGTTAGCGTAAAATTCTACTTGTTTGTTTTGCTTACCCTACGGCACACCACTTCGGTGAGTACGATTATCTTGATAGCGATGATGCAACGAGCAACAGCAATAGGACCTGTTCCGTAACACATTGCGTAACGATATGTCATCCAGTGTGAATTGGATGCTATCATGGACCGAGCTTTAGAAACGTTTGTCGAAATGTCAAACTCGCTAGAGTAGCTGCGGACGCCAATACCGATAACGCTAATGCCCTTTGAAGCGTGGCTAACAATTACGAAGTGCAAACGATCGTTTCGCTTGAATTTTATAGCTCGTTTATCGATACCAGGAAGAGAAGAGCATTCGAGGCGGTCGAGCTTGAGCGAGGCGTCCGGCATAAGCGGAGCATCGACCAGAACTTACGTTAACGAGGCTTCCACCTTAGTTCTCGAGACCCTAGAGAACGGTATCAAAAAGTAAACAGTATATCATTATTTCGATAAAGATATGTCCACGTTTTGAGAAGATAACGAACTCGGTTCTTTCATTTTTCAGACATTACTTAGTACCGTTGTCGCTCGCACAGAAGAGTAAATGGCGGAAGAAGGGCACGAAGCTTCACGTATTCAACGATCACACGTTCATAGCGAAACACATGGCTGGGTAAATGATCGCGTTCAGGAAGAAAAGGAAATGGATTCTAACGAAGGGTTCCGTTTCAGTGGGACGGTGTGCGAAGTATGCAAACGAACGCTCGCGCGAAGGTTGGGCAAACAAGGCTACGAGTGTAGAGACTGTCAGATGAAGTGTCACAAACACTGTCACGTTAAGGTGGACAGCATGTGTCCCACGTCTACCATTCAGAGCATCGAATTGTAAGTTGGCTCGGTATTCCCTATCAATTCCGGATCGTAGAGAACATACAGAAACACATACATAGACGTTAGAGTTAAGAAATAATATTCGCGAGACGTCTAATTCTGTTTTCTTTCAATTCGATCGTCACGTAAGGTCTCTACTGCCGGTGCTCAGTGAATAGGATGGGTAAGTTATTAATGACAAGGAATCTCTTGATGCGTGTCTTTCCTATCGTAATTATACTGCGCATGAACGATAAGTTTTGATCTTTTGTTCGATTGTGTGGATTCCTTTTACTTTTCTTTTGGCTTCCTCAAACTAATTGTACGTTTCAATTCTTTCAATGAATAACTTAGTTGCTTGTCTTCATGATAAATGCATACGCCAGTTAATAGGTGTCTGTATCGTCTTGTGATTGTATGTTCTAGCGAAATGTTTTGAACTGTTTTATAGGACATATATAAAGGCACCACGGCTCGAGCAAAAATCTACCAGTCGTCTCTGTTGACCGAGTCTGGGATCACCCGCCCAAGGGAATCATTTTTCATTTTAAAGGTTCAAATTGCTTCATACGATCGCGTGGCAAATCACGAAATATCTACGATTCGAGCACGAAGCGTTTCCGAACGCTGTATAGCACTTTTTTATTATATGCTACGCTTTTCAACCGATGCAAACGAACACGAACGAGAATACAAACGAGAATGCGAAACGAACGAAACGAAACGAAGGAAACGGAAGAGAATCTTTATCGAGTACTCCATATTCTAATTAACATTTCGAATGTTCGTAAAATTTTTTACTCTCTAAAATACGTAGCTGGTATACTATTTAACTTTTCCGTTTGTTCGTTCTCCTCGTTCATTCTGTTAACAGACGAAACTCCGTACAAAACGCGAAGTCCAAGAAAATTTACCAAGGGAGAAATACGCGACGCGTGATTTCGACGAATCGAATAAATACGATAGTGCCTCTAGATGCGGAAGATCTTTGAAACGTTTTCGGAAATAGTACTTTTGACAATACTTTCGATTGCTATGCGATTTAATTCGATCGACCGAAATCGAACGCTTGAACGCGCACACTCGTGCCTATGTATCGCGCATACGGAAAGTATCGTTAATCTTCGAATGTTACGCATTATAATTATACCGATGACAATGATTATCACTATTACTACTACTATTATTATAATTATTACTATTATCATCATTATTGTTGTAATTATTTAAAGAACGACGTAACTGTAAACGGTACGGGCACCGAGAAGAAAGGGCGAACAAGGGGAAGAAACTATTGTAACGATAACGATGATGATAATAATACCGTGTTACGTTGAGAAAAATAATATGGTTACATTATGATTCTACACTGCGTATCTTTATTAACCCATCCCTTCCTTTCAATCATGAATCGATCTTCGAAAATGACGTGTTTTAAAAGAATAATTCGCGTCGGTACATCGTTGATAGTTTTGCCACCCTTCGAGGGTGCGCGATGTTTCGCGAACGGCGGTCGCTCCCTCTTGAGCACGATGCGACGGGATGCCAAGGCGCGAAAGTGGAGCAACGTCGACCCAATTCGAGGTCGAAGTCCCAATTTTCGCCGAGTTTGCCGTAGAGGGGATGAACAACGGGACGAGGGTAGTCATGACGACGTGACGTAATATCTACGTCATCGACAAAGCGCAACGACCCGGCCGTACGTTCTTGTAACGCGGCTAGGATCGGAGGTTGAATGGGGTGGTGCGGCGGATTTTCGATTGTCCTCGTTTCGCTGTGCGGTGACTGCTTTTCACCTCGAAGCGAAAAGAAACATTGTAACGCGACTCGATTGCGTTTTTATCCGATCTTCGCATTCGAATGCCTTAGACATTTTCTCCGTGAGCGATTAGACAAAGGGACTTGCCAAGAGTTGCGAGACCGCGTACGTTTACGCGTACAGGGGGACACGCGTGGCGCGTGACGCGTGTACGCAACGGGCAAGCTCGAAAGGACAAGTCGCGAGCGAGTTTATTCAATCGCAAGCTCGAAATTAGGACACGTTGTCGGCGGCCTTCTCAATGACGTAGATGACGTCACTAGTTTGAAAGGAAAACTAGGCCAAACGGACTCGAAACCGGCGATCGTCGCCCCAATCGCGATTCGATTGCGTACGTCATAGAGAAAAATTCAACCTCGACCATTGTTTTCCTGCGTGGCTAAACAGCCCATCTGGGAGAACGAAGAAAAGCAAATCGAAATGGTCGAATAAGTCTCGATCGAATCCAAATCAGAGGCAGAGGGTGCACGATAAAAAGATGGATACTCGAATATTGTCGCAGGGGTTCGAGGTAACGCACAGGTATCCCGGGTAGAAGCGATCCTTGAATGAACTATGGTATTTCGTAAGGACAACGCTAACGGTGATCTAGGTCAAAGAAGGGTCATGAATGGCGTCGCTTCGAGTGACGTCACGGAGTGCAACCCCCTGCAAGTGGGTCACTCGTTGATTCTGTCATGGCCGTAGTTATAAACGGAACAGGGACGTCCTTCCACGTTTCCACGTCTGTCCATGGATCGTGTTCCGGTACGGACACGTTTTGCCTACGAATGTATCCCGGACCGATTTTCCTTGGTTTCCCTATTCCATACGTATTTCGAGAAAAAAAACTCGCTTCTGTCAGCGATGCATCCAAATCGGGAGCTTCTCTATCCCTGGAAAGATTTACTCTTCGCTTTTCACCGATTTGACGAATCAAAGTCTAAAACGAGACTGGGTATTTCGAAGCGGGGATCGATAGCGGTTCTACAAATAAGAGGGTCCATAATGATCGACAATTGTTTGAATGAAAAACGTTTATTTGATACGTAAACTACGAGTAGTATCGACATAGGTAGCACTTAATACAAAACATTCAGTCCTGAGAATCTGCTTGACTCGCGTTCTCCCGTTTTCGCATTTTGCCGCGAGAACTATTGCGCATAGGCGAATACAAATTCGTCAACAGATACTTATTAGGCGTTTTACTGTTTCCTCGCAACGTATCGTAGCAGTGATACGTACTTAATCACCGTGTGCCAATTGTTCCGCGACATATCGTGCATTCACGCGGTTGATATTTACAAGGCACTGGAAGATCGCGTATACGTTTCACGATTACGTTCGCCTTTACGTAAACGAGAATTTTCGACGATAGTTCGAGAAAGAAATTTTCCTTGCCACATCGAGTCTCGATTCGTCGCAACCACTCGATTTACCCTGATTTTTCCGCATCGCCTTTTGCTCGTCAAAGAGAACTTCAACGAAAACGGGGTCAAAAACAACGAGTCGTTCTTTTTCGTTCTCGATACTCGCCAAACGGCTACCGACTGGACGACTCTTGCGAAACAAGTGACAAAAAGTTCGAAAACTCGTTCATCGTCTTTGCGTACGCTCGAGTCTCGTTCGTCTCGATCGACGGGTTACGTCAAACGAAAAACACCGTATTCGTCATCGAATCGTGATATGTTTAAAAAGTACCCTTAACGAGCAAGTACATAATTCTATAATCTATCTGAAACATGAACGACCGAACGTTAGGTCGGACGGTCAGCGAAAAAGATCGCGCGAGATCGCGAGCGTATTCTACATTATTCTTAGCGTTCTCTCCTTCATTCCGCGTTACATGTTCTTGTCGCGTTATTTGGCGCGATCTCGTAATTGACTCGTGTATCGCGAGTAGCCGGCAAAATATTACCCTCTCGCGAAACGATAGCTCCATAGAGGCGTGTTCGAGTATAAGAAAGATCAGGTCGACTGGTCGTATCGGTATTACGTATTTAACTCATCTTTCTCTTGCACCTATTTCCTCCTCGTTTTTTCTTTTACCTTATACTCGCGATCAACGTGGATCAGCGAATTAATCGTCAACTAGTAAACTCTAGTGTACATGTTATCGGGTGTACTAACCGTTCCTACAAAAAGTACATACACGTTTGCGTAGCTAAGTTCTTTCTAAGTCATCTATCTCTCGTTTATGAATAACAGACGAAAAAATGAAAAACTCGGTACATCGACGCACCCCTACTTGCGACCAATATTCTATTCGTCGTTCTGCTTCCTTCCTCGTTTCCTCTCCTGGTTACAACTCGCATCGCGAATCGCGACGGGGTGAGAAGAAGAAGCGCGTCGAATTCGATTTCATCGTTCCTCGAGAAACGTTCGCTTCGTCGTGGAAATATCGACTTTTTACAATTCGTCTCGTATACATTTTGATCCACTCGTTTGGTCGAGGCTTAAAAAAAAGCGGCGGAGAAACGGCCGCGGTTCGAACGATAAAATATTCGAAATAAATACGCGTATTGTGTCGAGTCGTAAAGCGAGTGGATCGTTCGAGTGAAAATCTCGTTGGTAAAAATGGTCCAAGATTGGAGGGTTTTGTTTGCGCGATTCACGGTCAGGTAACCGCGCAACGAAACACGAAATGGATAGGGATGGAATAAAAGAGAATCGGTTAAAATGGTTGACCGTCAATGATGACTTCCTATCGGTAGAGAGCAACGGGATCTTGACAGGAACACGGCATCGCCAATTGTTGGGCTACGTTCCTTGGAACCCTTTGCGTCGGCAGTCCCGACAGTCCTCTGACGTAGGTATACGACACTGGGCTGCGTAAAATTCTCTTGGGACTCTTTTTCGCGTGCTTGTTCTCCTTGCCTTCCCACTTCGAAGATATCTTGAGAGTTTGGAAGGCTCTTCGAAGGGTGTTCGCGGTGGAGGATCGTTTGAGAGAATCACTGTCGGTGCTGCTTTGAGCGTCCGATGGGCTAGGGGAGTACGAGAGCGATTCAGAATTTCTCGTGATAGCTCTCACGTCTCCTGGACTCCAGGAACGGGACGACTTGGCTCGAACACGTTCGGAACTTCTTTGAACGCCGGACAGTCGCTCCTGAGAGCGCGTCGACCGACCTCGAAGTCGGTTCAGATAACAATGGGTTCTTGGCGATCTGGTAACGCGGCATAGCCGCTCGCTGCTTCCACGACGCGACAATCTCTCCGCGCTTCCGGTACTTCCGCCGCTGCTGCACCCGCTGTCCGTGCTGCACTCGTCGTCCCCGAACTCTTGCTTCGAAGACCCCGCCCCCTTAATCGGATTTTTTCGTTTCATCTCATTTTTCTGATTCTCTCTACGACGATCTTCCTCGGGATCGGTCAGTCTCGTGGTTTCTTCCATGTCTGATGAACTCGGTTCGAGTATCAAGCTCTGCACAGAAACTCTATGCACAAACTTCTTCACAAGTTTCTCAAATTTCTCTCTTGACTCTGGTATCGGTCGACCGGTAATTTCGATATACACTTCGCGATGCACGCTGGAGAAACACCTGTGTTTTTGAGCGCGCGTGCAACCGCGATACGTCGACGAACTCTTCGTCTTGTCACGTTCACACTCGTACAGTATATCGTACGAAGGATCGGAAAAAGTCTATCTCTCGATCGTTTATCGCTTTGTCCAATCTCCGGAGTTAACCGTTTCCTTTTCGTACTTGTTCGACGCTTCCTCCGTCCGTACGTGTTCTGGCTCCTCTTTCGAAAACGGATAAGTCTTTTCAACGGTTATCGCAAACACACGATATCGATGTATCGTCTGGTCGAATTTGTGGCGAGTAATTCTCGCGCGCTCGGAGATGGACTGAAACGCGAAGATTCGCGGTCTTCTCTTATATACCATCGAGGCTTGGCCGAGGGTGCGCGCATGTCCTTTTCACCACGTGAGGGTACGAGCCGTGTGCGCGAGGACGCGGGTGGCGCGGCGAATGCGTCGGGACGCGATTTCGAACGTTACGGTGAAACGCGACCCTCGTCGATCGATACAAATGCCATCGTCATTGATTCCTTTTCATCGATCGAACGTTGCGAGCTTCCCCGGGGGTTGGGTTCATGAATGGGTAGGGTGGCTTGACGCTGCCGTGTTACCTGTCACAATGATCGTTTTTGTTTTCGCGTATCAATATTTATTGTTCTCTCAAGTACGGTGGGAAACCATTGTTCCCAATGAAATAACGAAGATGAAGATATTAAACATACATTTTCGTCGCCGATCGTCACTCGCGTTCTACGAAGCCAGCATGTTAAAATTAGCAACGCCGTAACTTGACGAATAGTAGCTGGAAGAGCAGCAAAGGGTGTATGCAGCCGGGGAAATGGGATGAATCAGAGATAAGGACGGAAGAGGGCGGTAACGGGGGCAGCAGAGTAACGTATCGGGTTTCGAAGTAGAAAGGTCGGTGAACTCGAGACGGCGATCGATGCCAAGGGGTGGATGCACTATCCAGGCTGATCGCTTCGTCGTCGGTGCTAGATGCATCCACACGATCAATAATTTCGTAAACACTGACGCGTGCGACCGATACATATGGGTTTCGTTAAATGTGTACACACGAGGCCCACCCGATATTCCCGAACAATGACGTCGTTGGACATCGGTTGTGCCTTTATCGTTTCGATACAAATATCTCCACACCTGACATTTCTACGTTATGGGAATATAATCCACCATGCATTCCAAATGAATTCCATCGTAAACTTTATTCGTATATGGAGTAACGGTGACGGTGATGAGAAGAAAAGTTTCTCGATATTGATATTATCGTTAAATCGTGCCTATGCTAAGAATATTGTAATACGGAACACGTTGCTGTCTGAAAGCGCAACGTGACGAGACGCGAATTCGCTGCAGATAATTTTACGTTCAGATTGCGGTTACTCGTAGGCGACTCGACGGTGAAATTTATTCGTTATCGACGACTGTCTCTTCTCGTAGCGATAACGAAACCCGACCAATGGATCCTGCGACCATCCCTTTGGTCGGTGTACGTGACTGCGAGGACATTGCATTTACCTTTACGTAACGCTCTGGTATTGTTATTGTCGACTACATAATTGATTCGTCGTTCGTAAAAAACAAAAGCCCCTACACTTGGCGGTTACAAGTGGCCGCGTCACCCTACACTATTCCTCCGTTATTGGCCTTGCCCGATTTTCATAAAACGCGACGGCTCCTCTGCGTCATCGATAAACTTCTGTCATCGAAACGAGACGATAAAATATTGTAGGATCTTACAAGGCTTTCTCGACTCGGTGCGTTTATAGATTCCGACTCGATGAGTCGTAAAGCAGTCGATACGAGTTTAAAGATTAATAACGCGAACCGAGTTTTTCACCCAAGAACGTTTCGTATTGATCGAACAAAATTTTCAACTATTAATACGCTCGAGCTGCGAGTAACTGTTAGAACTTAGAAATCTATTATAATCCTGAGAAGAAAGTAAGATTTCCAACACCATAACGCAATGGAGACGTTGCATTCGTACGTTTACCGTGATGCCGCGAACGTACATACACGTATTTACTTTGTGCACATACACATATTTATATGACACAAATGGGTGGAGAGCGATTATTCGGAGTGCGGTCACGCCTACGTACGCGCTTATATAATTGGATTTATAGAGTAACAACGACGAATCGCGTAACGAGCTCTCCGCGACAGATTCTCATTAACAAGTAAGCAAATAATCGTGCAAACGTTAGATACGCAAAGTCGACGGAAGAATAAGAAGACGTAGAAATGACGAGAGAAAACATGTTGCCTTTAAACGATTTTATTAAAACCGAGTCTAGAAATACAGAACATTGACGGAGAATGGAAGCACGAAACGACGCTTCGTGGAAAGTACAGGAATGCTATTAATGACTTTTCGAGGTTAGAAATCGAGTGGACCGGTTGCTTCGTTTGCTCGATCGCTGATACGATCGGAGCAGTGTCTATGTCGACTATTATTAGTAAATGTAGCTCTTATAGATGTAAGGCGAGGAGGGTACGTAACCGGCTAAAGGTAGCGGTGCCGGATAACTCGTATAGACGAGAGGAGCAGCAATGTTGGAGCTTAAAGCCGCCCCCCATGAAGCAGCCGCCACTGGACCACTGATCAAAGCGCTCGGAGCCGGTGCTGGAGCAGGTGCCGGAGCTGGAGCTGGTGCTGGAATTGGCGAAGGGGCGGCCATCGCGACGGCCAATAATCCAGCGAACAACAACTAAGCGTAGAAAAGTCGATTAGATCTCCGTTCTCTCGTCGCTTACCTTTTTCCTGATGCGTGCCCTCGAAATTCACGCACTCACCGATTTGAACATGTTGAATGTAGGGTACAACGTAGAAACGTACAATGGACAAGCTGAGACGATGATACTCGAAATCCTGAGGAATCGCAGCTTATATAGGAGAAACCGCGACAAAGAAATATCCTGGCGTTTGCACGTCTCCCTTCCCTTTGCCATCTTCCTACATATCGTTCCTTTTATCCATCTCCGCTGTTCCACGAAGGGCAACAGCCGGTTGTTCGAACCAGACCGTGAACGGGACGCTTCCTTCTTGTTGGCTACAACGAATTTTTTATCGAACGCTCGACCAATCGACTTCGCCCTTTGTGGCTGTCGAGAAGCGTTTTCCCTCGCAGCAGCCTACGAACAGCGAATCCCGGGTTTCTTCGAGATCGACTAGAATGGGACTGGTCCTATCTCAACAATTCGCGCCATTTTTCGAGTCCGTGTTGGGATAGCTTTTTTTATGAAGTGAACAGGTTTCTTCCTTTTTCTGTGGTATCGAGTCCTTGCACAGAGTCGTTTCGAAAAAACCGATCAACCGGAAATCGTCAAATTATTGTCGTCGCGTGCGAAACGTTTTTCAACGTACTCGGAATAATTGTTAATTCACGTTTCTACTCTTATTAGTGTTGAAAAAAATGTTTGAAATTTAAAGAACGTCGTCGATCAGTACTATGTTAATCACCGAATATTCAAGTATCGATTAAATTAGTAAATGCAACAACGTGTGAATACCCTAGGAGCTAAATCACAAGGCACACGCGTTGAAGGGGAAACGACGTTCCCTCGAGCCAGACTCGACGAACTTGAACTTGAGAAAAAAGCGTTCGTCTTGCCTTGAAGCTGTGCGGCCTTGTGGTACAGCAGAAAAAGATAGAAAGAGAAAGACAGGAGGACAGAAGAAGGGATGCGAATGACCAGATCAGGCAAGTGAGAGGCACGGAAAGAATCGATTAAAGTCGAATGATCGAATCAACGCGGCAAAAAGTGTTCTAACCGGACGAAAAGGATCCGCTTGGATAACGAGAAACTATGCAAATAGAAACTCGCTAATGTAGTCAAATGCGTAGATGAAACAAGCGCGAGGTAAGAAATAGGCAGATTGGGTCAGAAGCGATGAAAAACTAAACGAAGTAGTTGGAGATAGATCGTGTGGGAAGCGGAACGATCCGCGTAATCAGTGGGCCGTCGTTATAATCTTGTTATGCGTATCAACCGGACAGGCACGTAGTTGAAAGGGTTATACAATTGCTCGGCATGGTGGCTTACGTAATTTCACGATACTCATGGAAGTTGTCCGTGCTGTGCTTCTCTTTCGATATCAAGGTCATCGAAATCGATCGATCGATTAGCCACGGGTTGTACCCACGAAACGCGAGCGGTTTGAAAATACGCTGAACGAGGAGGAACTTACGCGCGTCGAGGGGGCGCGTGAAAACGCGGTCGGCTCGCGCGTTCGGCATTCCAATGCGACCACGACAAATCCAATTGATACGCACGGAGAGGGAGGGTCAAAACTTTCGTAAGCGACGCATCCACTTTTCGTAAGTTCCCTTGTTCGAAGAGCGGTGGTCATCGGTATAAAACCTGGACGCTACGAACGATCTGCACTCGTCGCTGCAAAGTCGAATCGTCCACAAGTTCAACATGTTCAAGTTAGCGGTAAGTGATGCGAATAACAGTCTGAATGCAGAGAACAATTGTTCCTTCGTTCTGTTCTCGACGCAATTACTTCAATTTCGGTTTGACCATTTGCATTGAATTTGCAGTGTATCGTCCTCTTCATGGCCGCCGTGGCGTCTGCCGGCGTATTGGCACCTGCACCTCTGGTCGCTGCTCCAGCACATGTAGCAGCTCTACCAGCACCCATTGTCACCGCTAGAAGCAGCCAGGTCGTCGCTAGGAATTATAACACTTTCGCCGCCGCACCACTTGCTGCATACGCTGCTGTCCCTGCTGCTGTACCTGCCGCTGTACCTGCTGCACATGTACCCGCCGCCCTAACCGCGGCCGTTGCAGCACCCGCAGCTCTACACGCACCGTATACCCTAGCCGCCGCACCCGCTGCACCCCTGCCATACGCTGCCTTCGCCCACTATGCCGTCTGATCACCCTGAATAACCCCTTACCTCAATCTTTACGCTAAGTTTCTTGTTTTTATGGAATAAATTGCAAATTAACCTAAAATCAAACAATGTTTTCTCTTCCAACAATCTTCCTAAACCTTGCTTATCCTCTTACTTCGTGGAGTAGATCAAAATTGATACTAGTTCTGCGAAGGTACTACTTATAAATCGATGGTACCGCAGAAACTTTGTCGGCTCTTAATCGATGCACAATCGTTACGGTCTACGTATTCTTTATAAAAACACTCATTTCCTTCGTGCCATTGTTAGAACCACAAAAGATTACAGCGTGGAATATCTTATCGACTACATCGAGGAAAAGTATAATCGCGAGGTACCTTGGATCTCCAGATTCAACGTTGAATTCAATGAAATACATTTACATTTCAGCTTTACTCGCTAATTCCCAAGAAGGTTCACTCATTTCGCTATTTAACGAACGTTATCTCGTCATACCACGTAGATACGAAAGCGATACGTTTCAGCTATTTTCCCTTGCATCGCCTCCTTCTCGTACTACTCGTCAAGGTTTCGTTATTGCGCCATGCTAGGTTGAACTTATTCAAGAGTTAGCTCAGGGAGCACTATCGATGATCCATGAAGAACTTTCTCTGATGCGTTGAAATGAGAAGCAAGCTGATGAACCAGACAATGAGACAACGATTTGCGTGAAAATTCGAGTCACGCTCGATGAACTATCTTCGAAACTTACGATGTCCCAATCGCTGTCGCAAACGCAAAACGAGCGCGTTTCGTATTTAGAACGTGCACGAGCCGCACCCTACATATATTACTCGTTGAAACCGAGTCTCGGACGACCTTAACGTTTTAATTGCGATTACGTTGATTTCAGACTGTCTTTCGTGCATGAAAATGAACAAGCTCCTTTACTCTAACCGTCAGATATCTTTACGAATTAATACTAACAATATGTGAAATGTTCAATCGGTACAAGACTACAGAAGAATATCGATGAGAATCCCTAGCCTAATTTTTTCTACGTTCTGTAAACTAAAACGTCACAAAAAAAATTATCAATCTTCCTACTCTGAGGCAGGTAGCTCGGTTGCAAATAATTCAATTAATCGGCAGTTATAACAAATGTTATCTCTTCCCATTTTACTGAATTAGCAAAATAAGATCGATATTAGAACAAAGCTGCGTTACGTGGTTCACCCCAACTTATGATACCGTTAAGAAAGCCCATTTAACGATACAGCCCCGAACAGGAAGTAAGAGGCACAAAGGCTCGAACAAAGAGCGTTCGAAATAGATGTTCGATCATGGTCAAACGCGGTGATCGACATCGTGACGTCGAACGACGCAACACAAGGGGCACTGTTACAAAAAAAAGGAGAAGGTTAGAGTCGACCGCGGGAGGTAGGGTCAACGGTGGTAATCGCGGGCGTGGCTTAAATCGAGTAAAGGTAATCTGGTATGCAGAAGCGCGTGTTCCTGTCGCATCGTGCTACAAACCAGTGTCGCGAACTTCGTAGTGGGAGTGTATCCCGGACGAAATCGAGTATAAAAGAGGTCTAGCTAATCCACAAGTCAGTTCAGTATTCACTAGCGTTTCATTCGAACTACCTTCGAAATCTCCAACCGCAAAATGTCTGCCATGAAATTCCTGGTAAGTTGATCTACAGCAAACCCGAAAGGGGCAGCAATCGATTTGACTATAATATTTTCGTGTGTCACAGGTTTTCTTCGCCTGTATGATCGCCGCTTGCTCGGCCGGAGTCTTGCACGCAGCGGTTCCAGCTGTTCCAGCAGCGTACGCTTCGGTCCCGGCGGCTTTGACTGTCGGAACCTATGCGTCCAGCTACAACGCACATGCCATTAATCACGCATACGCTGCACCATACATCGCAAGCCCCGTAGTTGCCCACGCTGCTGCTCCGTTCGCGTACTCCAGCCTCCCAGTCATCGCTGGCAGACGCTGAAAACTGTACCTTCTGGCGTTACCATTCGAGGACAATCGAGAAACATCCGGTTGCGTTCAAACCAATGACCGTCCAGCCACGAAACAACCTAACCTTCGATACCACCTCTCCACCGGTGCCCAGTGGATTCTGAACGAACGTCACTGATCTGGAATACCATCGAGAACCTACAACCATTATGGATGTTTCCCTCTTCGTCCTCTTTGTTTTCTCTATCCCCAATTAATTGTCAATGTTTTCTCCGATTTCCTTTTTGTAAAAAGTTACAATAAATCATTTTTCACACGCAAGACACTGTATCTTATTCAATGCAAATAGCCCTAAGTAATCGATACTCGATCCATCGAGCGGGACAAGGTTTCAACGGTTGATCGCAAGACAAAAGATCCATGGCAACCGTGAAACAAAACACGATCTGTTAGTTAATCCAGTCGATTTCGAGCTTTTCTACGTTCACGCGTGCGTGCGGTACGAATTTGTTGCTTCAAAAGAATTTTTAGCACGATTCGTGAGTAGTCGGAGTGAAAGCGAAGATAGCGAAAGAATAATTTGACTTTAGGAAAGAAACTAGCGCAGACGAAAAAGTATAGTTTTCGACAGAAACTAGGAAGATGCGTGAAATCGCTCATCTGCAGGCCGGTCAATGCGGCAATCAGATAGGGGCAAAGGTACGTTACCAACGAACAATTGATTACCACGAAACATTATTAATTATATTATATATATTATTCAATCTTTTCTTGCCAGTTTTGGGAAGTGATCTCTGACGAACACGGTATCGATCCTACTGGCACTTATCACGGTGACTCAGACTTACAACTTGAACGTATAAACGTTTATTATAATGAAGCATCGGGAGGGAAATATGTCCCCAGAGCGATCCTGGTCGACCTGGAACCCGGCACGATGGACGCGGTACGTTCTGGACCGTTCGGTCAAATATTCCGACCGGATAATTTTGTTTTTGGACAAAGTGGCGCCGGGAATAACTGGGCCAAAGGCCACTACACCGAAGGCGCGGAGCTCGTCGATTCCGTTCTGGACGTAGTGAGGAAGGAAGCCGAAAGTTGCGACTGCCTGCAGGGTTTTCAGTTAACTCATTCCCTCGGTGGTGGAACCGGGGCGGGTATGGGAACGTTGCTAATTTCCAAGATTCGCGAGGAGTACCCTGATAGGATCATGATGACGTTCAGCGTGGTTCCTTCGCCAAAGGTACGGTTCCTTGTTCCTCTTTATCCTTTTCGTTTCACGTCTTTTAACGTCACAGGTGTCCGACACCGTGGTCGAGCCGTACAACTGCACCTTATCCGTACATCAACTGGTCGAGAACACGGACGAATCTTACTGCATCGACAACGAAGCGTTGTACGACATTTGTTTCCGCACGTTGAAGTTGACCACGCCAACCTACGGCGATCTGAATCACCTGGTAAGCGCTACTCTCAGCGGCGTCACCACTTGTCTAAGATTCCCAGGCCAATTGAACGCTGATCTACGAAAGCTCGCAGTAAACATGGTGCCCTTCCCACGATTACATTTCTTCATCCCCGGTTTTGCGCCACTAACTTCCAGGTAAAACTCTGTAATTCTCATGTTTGTCTTTGTCACTGTACTTTTAACGTTTCCGTGCAGAGGTTCGCAGCAGTACAGGGCTCTCACGGTCCCGGAACTCACGCAGCAAATGTTCGATGCAAAGAATATGATGGCGGCTTGCGATCCGCGTCACGGTCGTTATCTGACCGTGGCAGCCGTCTTTCGAGGCAGGATGTCGATGAAAGAAGTGGACGAACAAATGCTCAATATTCAAAATAAAAATAGTAGCTATTTCGTTGACTGGATACCCAGTAACGTTAAGACGGCCGTCTGCGACATTCCTCCCCGAGGTCTCAAGATGTCTGCCACTTTTATTGGTAACTCAACGGCCATTCAGGTAAATCGTGCTTTATAAAATATTAGCGAATCCGTGCATGAACATACACATCCAGTTATGGAATACAAAGACACATGATTCAATGGTGTTTTCAAAAGAGACTAACATCGGTTATTTAAAACAAGATTTATATAAAAGGTCTAGGTCCTGTTTAAATAGTATCAACCGTATTAAAAATGTCATCTGAGCACATAACATTTTAGGGTTTAATTTTTAAAATAACCTAACTCAGTGACCCGTTAATCTAACCTCTAAATTCATGGTACTACCTAAAACGAATTTCCTTAAGTTGACCCTCGACCTTTCGTCTTTTCGTCAACTTTTTCAGCTTTTAATCTAGTTAAGCACATCTTTGGATCATGTGGTGTAATCTGAAAGGTCGTTTGTCAGAATCAAGAGACCTAAAAGAGGTTTAAAACTAGACGTTTCGTGGTTAATAATTGCGTAATAAAGCAACTGTTATATTGAGTGAACTTCCAGGAATTGTTCAAGAGAGTTTCGGAACAGTTCACGGCGATGTTCAGGCGAAAAGCTTTTCTACATTGGTACACCGGCGAGGGCATGGACGAAATGGAGTTTACGGAGGCTGAAAGCAATATGAACGACTTAGTTTCGGAGTACCAGCAATACCAGGAAGCTACCGCGGAGGAGGAGGGCGAATTCGACGAGGAAGAAGAGGGCGAGGGTGAAAACCCTTGAGACTAACTTAAGAAAACAATTGTTTTGTCCGAAATAAACCTAATAGGAGTTTCATTTCACTGTGATAAATTCGCGCGTATCGCGTGACTATCCCCTTTGCGTTAAGTTCAACACAGCCTCTTTTCTCGTACGCTTTAACCGACCGTGATACTTTATAGCGCTCGATACTACCCTTTTTCTTTTTCACTCGATCCGCCTAATCTCTTAGTCCGTTCATCAACGTTATCGTATCGTCAGAAATGTACCAATTACGTTTGTAACTTATTGCTGTTATCTTTCCTCGAAGCTTACTCGCGTAAGTGTACCATGCGAATTGTAAAATCTTTAAACATTAGGTTTTCATCGAATAAACGTACTCTTATTTCAAGACTTCGATGATTCATCGATTCGAAACGCGATCCCAGAACGAATACTGTTCCCACGTTTTAGACGCGGTTTCACGCGCGTTTACATGCTCGCTGAATCGCTCCTAGAAACTGTTGATATGTCAGCTACGGGGAAAGCATACATCGAAGGACCGTGAATCGTATGAGAGAATAAAACAACGGCCTGTCAACGATATCGTTACGCTCGGTACACCGTTCTTCAACAAATGCGCGTTCCACATTCGATCGGTCGAGGTCTCTCAGAAATTACACCGTTCGCGACTGGCGAGGCATGAACGGATTCGAGACAGCTCGCTTCGCGGTTATCGCGTTTGCTCATCTTTTCGGTTTCTTGCTCGCGATCCTATCCTTTCATCCCTCTTTTTCGCGACGAACCTATCTACAGAAATTTGAGTTACGGTGTTCAATCGCATAGTGATCTGATCCGTTTAATCGCGGTTCATGACGAGTTACGAACGATCAAAATAATCCAAAGGGTATAGCGAACCGTTTGGTCATCGTCCATCGCTTGCTCGCGATTCTCGAACGATTCGACTCTCGACCACGTCGAGCTCTTTTATAGCAAATCATCCCGCTTCCGAGAGAACTGGCCAGCTTTCGACGAAGCAGGGAGGCACGGAATCACTGTCTCGTTGTCGTAATCTGAAAGTCTGCGATATCGGACAGGCCAAGGCCTTCCGGATTTGGGCGTTGCTAAGCCCGAACAGCTATCGTCGATCTTTCATATTTTTTTAGTTGTGGATCGACCTCCGTCGATCGTCCACTCCCAACAACCGACCGATACAGAAAGAAGTATAACGAAGGTCAGATCGGAACGAAGGAAAAAATGAAAAATATGGTACTCTTGGAGGACGAAGTCGGTTGTTGATCAACGGGGTACGAAGCGGATTTACGAAATACGACCTTGCTATGAAATACGCGGTCAAACCTTGACAAAAAAGATCAGAGCGAGAGAGAGGAGAGAAATTTAGACAAGGTAGACAGGTTCCGGAAAGTACAGGCGCCGCGGTACCAACTGTCGCGATACGCAAACTCGAGTCAGCCAAGTTTCGCAAACAATGTCACAACGACGTGTCTTTCGTTCGTCCCTAATTTGCCAACTGACCTCTCTAGGTGAATCGCGTCGGTATGCGTCGCGACGCACCTTCCATACACCACGGAGTGGGCGTTTGAACGAGGCTTACCAATTGTTACTCAATCGATTCGCTGAAAGAAGTAAACACACAGGTTAACGTAACGTTATCGGTATCGGTATTAACTTCGACCAGCCCGGCCACGTTACGTTAGCATGGAAATAGAGACCGGATTACGGGATAGGATTCGTACATATTAACGAACGGTCGGTTAACTAACCGGAGTTATCTCCAATTACGTATATGAGGGGCGTTTGCTCGTTACAGACGACGCCGACAAATCCTATAACCGGCCGATCCGATAGTCCCTTGTCGCATCGATTTCTAGATAGAATTCTTACAGCCAATAAAGTCGACACTATCGATAGGGATTTCTCCTTCTCGGGATTTCTAGGCAGTCGAAGGGTAAACGACGGAAGAGAAGCATCGATCGCGTGTTTAAGGTCATAAGGACCATATCGTGAATGACCGGGCCGTAAAGTAAAAAGGGAGACGCCGGGGTCTTTCGGGTACGTTGCACGCGGATCCAGCCGACCAGCGTAGTCCTTGACAATGTTCTCCCTGCGTGGAGACGAAAAGAAACGCGATGAGACCCTGAACGCGTCCAGCCGCGAAGGTAGTGGGAAGTGGTTGGATAGTCCTGTCCCGAACGAAACAAACCGAACACCGTGGAATGGAACGGAATGGAGCGAAATAGAGCCGCGTGTAATCGAAGATCGCGCGTTATGGTGGGAGAGGTCAGCGTGGCGGAATAAAAGGGCAGCGGATCGGTTAGCCGAGCATCATTCGACTCTCAGCGATCTCAGCTGTTAAGTTCATCAGTTCTTCAACTGTCAAGCAACGACAACCCACGTCGCAACCATGTACAAATTCGTCGCTCTGTTCGCTTTGTTCGCCTGTGCCTTGGCTGCTCCGGCACCAGCGCCAGAACCAGCTCCAGGCTACTTGGCACCGGCCGCGTACCACGCTCCGGTCGTCGCTGCGGCACCGGCGGTCGCGGTAGCCCACACCGTTCCCGTTGCCACCAGTTACGCCAACACCTACAAAGTCTCGGTGAAGAGCCCCGTGGTCGCCGCTGCTCCTTACATCGCCGCTGCACCTTTGGCCACCGCCGCCGTCGTCAAAACCGCCGCTCCTCTGGTCGCTGCCGCCCCCGCTGTCATCGCACACGCCCCAGTCGTCGCTTCGTACACGTACTGAACCATGTTCAATCAACCAACGGGTCCGCTTCTCCAGCCGCTCTAGTCGACCGTGCTCTTCCGACGACGTCGTTCCCACGATCGGTTCACCCATCGCCGTTAGCGCCACGAGAATCGACGCTGTCGGTTAATCATCAACAATAAACTTTGCTCATTTTCAACTCAAAACCGATGTTTTTTCTTTACCATCTCTTCTATCACCTATCCTTACTATCATATGTTGAATTTGTTACGAAGTAGTTTTTTGAACGAGTTCAAATTTGAACCGGTTTACAATTCCGGATGATCTCGCATTCGTATCTGGTCGAGAAAAGTAAACCTCGTCAAACGAATCGATGGTCGAAGATTCGAGAAATTTGCCTCTGCTGGGTAATGTGTTTGACCTTGGGGTACAAGGATGGGGCGAGCGAAGTACCTAGATCAACCCTGCGAACCGGTTACGATCACCGGCGATTTTTGTCGTCCGAGCAGGTACGCCTTCGTCCCTTCTACCAGGGTTACCGACACGGTCCGCTAAAAAAACTATTTCCCCTCTTCCTCGCTTTTATTTTAGTTTCACATAATATATCGAAGGTAATATTGTTATTTACTTGTCGGCCTACTAATCCTAGGAAGAGGAAATAGGTCATAGCTTGATCAATTAAACAACATTTAACACAAATAGATCATGTTAGAGATTCTAAAGAATCTCAAAATGAAAGATCCACAAAAAAGATGCATTTAATATAAATTCAGTCTAGCGTAATAAATAATCTGACGACTAAAAAAAATCAAATAATGATTTTTTCATAAATAGATAGACAAATTTGAAACGCAGACATTTCCATGTTGCATAAATTCAAGCCTCCCTCGAACCCACCCAAAGATATTTTATCCATTTGACTAATCAGCAGCAGCATTGCTTCGAAAAATATAGTTTCGCGTGCTGCAAAGATTTCCAAACAGGAGCAACGATCCAAGGTAAAACAAAGATACGCGATAAGTCCCGCCCTCTAAAGTCGAAGGAGAATATAACGATGCATAGGAACTGGCGGTCCCTACTCGCAAACGGGACGGGTTTTCTTTTTACGGCACCCTTGGGATCTCTATAAGTACGAGAGCTTCGAGTCGATCCTCGTCCAGAAATAAAGGAGCATTTCAAAGTGTACGGGCAGAAATCTCGTATCCGCCATGTTCAGATTCGTGAGTAAACTCTTCGAACGTTTCTGCAAAAGCTCAACGTGACAATATCTTCAAAGAAATAATATCTTTGCAGATTCTTTTTGTTCTTGTACTTGCGAGCGCGAGCGCGGCTCCAACCTTGCCACCGGTTGCTAGCAGTGGATCCTCGGAAATATCTGCACCGTCGTCAAAGCCCGCAACGTTGGACGATCGTTTGACGTCGTCGTCGTCGGGATTGCCTCCGTCATCGTCGCCTATGGTACGACCTTCTGCCTCGTCCGGCAAAGCTCTGTCTACGATATCCGAACTAAGGACTCCAGCTTCGACCACGAAATTGACGCAGTGGGTGGCACCACCCCTGGTGTCACCGATAGCCGCGGCGCCCATTCTCTCGCCTCTGCAGGTCTGTACGATTCTTCGACCGACCGAGACGTCGCTCGATTCCTCCGGGTTTCCACCTGTGCGCTCCAAGTAACTTTCTTTCGTTTTTAGGTCTCGCCGTACGCTTACGCCGTTCCAGCTCTGGGCCCTCTCGAACTAGCAGCAGCGCCGTCCACTTACTCGATCGAGCAGCACGGGTATCGCATTATCTACTGACGTCTCGGATCGTGAAGCAACACCGTCTTCAGGCGGTAAATCGACGAACCTGTACGACACCGACTTCTCACCGTCCATTTTCATGTATCGTGTATCGATAAATTCGTCCGTCCAACGACGTAACGTTAATCATTTTCAAATAAACAATTTCTTCATAAGATAAATTTTTTGATAAAACATTATTTGATCTCTTCCTGTTCATTTTTTGACCTTGCAACGAAATCGAAAGTGAAATTATTGTAGATCCTGCTTTCTCCGCGCTGCGAAACTTTGGTATAGGTGAACGACGCACGAAGAATAATAAATAGGATGCGTAATCAGCGGTGCATCGTCGTTCTCGATGCATAATATTTATCATTGTTCGACGTATTTCAGTTTCCGCCGAGTTTCTTGACTTCGGCTCGAAAAAGATTGGTCGGCGATTTCACCACAGTTCTAAATCGCGTAATCCAGAGCGCGTAAAACCCGGAGGGTTACGAGAGAGGGTGGAAAATCCAGATTACGCAACCGAATACCTGCCAGTGCAACACACCGTTGTATCCGTTTCTCAACGTTTCGCTTTTATTCGTCGCTTAATCTACTAATCCGGCTTTTCGGCATTAGCAAATTAATAAAAAGTATTTCGATGAAAGGATTTCCTTTGTTATTATACGGCAGCTACGATTAAACAGACGTTTTAAAAAGTTAAGAAACACTTTCACCCGGATCTTGAAATGGGACGATCTACGACGAAAATGGTCGTCGAGGAGGCGTTCAAAGACAACTATTGATTTCCCTGAAAATCCTTGGACGCGTCCAAAATTTTTAAGCTGCCTAAATGTGGAACGCTTTGATCTTCAACCAATCATTAATATAGTAATCTTATTATACAGACGATCGAGGAGAAATTGAGTTTCGTGTAACCGCATCACTGTCAACTTCGAAGTAGGATTCGTCAAAACAAGGGTGTCAAGTTCCAAATAAGAGGAATTATTTTCGATCACATAACAGTGTTATTGAAAGAAAATTTAATCTATTAAGACGAAAAACTCGATTGATTGATAAATTTGTCACGTGTAGTTCAGGTTCATTTACATGTTGACTATTGATATTCAAATAGTTGACTAGCCCAACTTGTGTATATCTAACAGCGGGTATTCTTAAACGAGGACGTTTCGTGGTAGCCCTTACGTAAGTCTATTAACAAAAATCCCAGGTTACACAATTTGCTTGCGTCTGTTGCGTACATTCATACGCACCTACGTAGCCTACCTCGCGTCACCCGTCTTTCGATATTACGGTCGTTAACATATATTTTAATTCCTAAATTCACATTATACATTGTTACACTGTTATCAAACTCGTCTCATCTCGACCATTCAATATCATCTCAAACGTATGCCACTTTTGCCAATTTTTAATAATGCACCCCCACAGGTACTTAGCGAAGAGAGTAGATTTATTAATAACAAATTGAATTTGAAACTGTTGTACTTCGCTAATGTTGCACATATCTTCCGTTGCTAAAACGTAGCCTAGATATTTAGCGAAGAGAATAAATTTATTAATAACAAATTGAACTTAAAACCATTCTAACGTTGCACAAATCTTCCGTCGCTAAAACGAAGTCAATTTTGCAAAGGGATCAAAAAGTATTATCGCCAGAAATAATAAAAGTAATTTGATAGTACAAAAGATGTTTACGAGTCGTATCGCGTTACCAAAAGAAGATCCAAGAAAGCATGAAAAGACAAGTAATCGAGGAACCTATCCAAAACGGATGTCCGGCAGGCAGCGCGATGAGTCATTAGCCTACCCCACCGAAAGTTCTTGTAGTGTGTTCTCAGCATCTCCGAAAGGGACGTCTATATAAGATACGAATGGCACCGGTGAACGCACAGAGTAACCTCGTTCATGGAGAAAGCGTTTGGTTAGAGAGCGAAACTCGACACATCGCAGACATCCGTCGTCAGTTCACTGGGTATACAGATCTTCAATTATAATAGTAAGCTAACGGTGTCACATCCAGAACGAATAAGGTAAGAATTCACTCCTTTCCTTTTTCACTTTTCTAATCAATCTAAACTTTCCCAAATTTTCAAATCTTTCTTATCTATACGTTTATTCGATTCTCGTTTATTTAATTATTATGCAACGTGTGCTCCTAATCTTTATTTAGTTCCCCGCTCGTTTGTCAATCTAATATTCAGCGGACGAAAAGCGATCGGCCGGGGTGTTACATTACGTAACAACTTTCACCGGGTTCGAAAATTTTTGAAAGACCATCTCCTTGGAAGAAGTGCGTTAGTGTAGGCGTGTATACGAGACTCAAGGTATCGCGCAGAGACCAGTTTAGCGACTTTCTCCAACATCCTCTCGCTTTCGTTTGCCGGTTTGTCGGTCGGTCCCTATTGTTCATACGATTCACTGACAGTCGCTTTTACGCGATAGCCGTATCGTGCCAAGCGATTTCTTTGCCGTGATAGACAACTTTTCTAATGCAAATTTCTAAAATAGAAGGTAGAATACGCGAAACCTCTAATAATTCGATCTAATTTTCAATGAATCGATTTTGTTCCAGGATGAAGCTGTGGATGTTATTATTACTCGGCGTAGCCGGGAACAGTATCGCGACTATGGTTCCCATAGATGTGCCGTCCTCTTTGCCATCGGAGGCAGGGAAATCTGAGTGGTCGTGGCAGAGCGAGGATCCGGCGATAACAAGTGGATCCGAGAACAAAAGAGAAATTTACGAAAAACCAATTGCTTCTGAAGTGAACCCCAACGCTAACGCGGGTCTTGTCGATGCTCAACCATCGGTAAATAAAAATACGATATCTAGTGTTCGCTATAAAATGATCACCGATTCAAAGTTAGAACTCCTTTTTAGGTGGAATCTGTGATCGAGGAAATTCTCGTTTCTAATCGACAGGGTCGTAACATCGAGGGCTACGATCAAATATATTCGGATCCCGACGTGAAGAACGCGCTTCAGTTAGGAAACGATACGATCGCTCGCTCTTACATCAGAGACAAACTGTGCTCACTGGGACTAATGAACGTACGTATAAATAGACCGAATATTTAAAACGGAATTTATAAAGACAGTTTAATTTGTACAGTGCGAAAACGTTGAGGGACGTCGACCGTACTACTCTCCTCATCGCGGTATACATCCTCAGGATATAATTTACGCCCAACCCGTCACGATTAAGCCTGTGGGAAGACCGCTGCCAGCCATCCCGGTTAAACGACCTTATGGACCCTCCATAAAACCCGGACCACTTTCCCCTGGCTTTATCTCTTCGGGACCACCTCCGGAAGTGATCTACGGATCTGGCGGCGCGCCACATCCTCCTTCAATTTCGCATTTCCCTCCTTCGCCTGGTTTAATTGGTTCTTACCCTGCGTACAAGAAACCCGGCCCGATTTCGTCCTTCGGCCCGAAACCAGTGTTCGAATTCGGAGGAGCGAGCGAAGGCTTCAACTACGAGAGTAGCGATCGATTCATCGACAAAAAGCAAATCGCGATACGACCTTCCGTCGGTTCCGAAGGTGTCCAGCAGCACGTTCATCATCATTATCATCATTCGGAAGGGGCTCAAGGGATCGCCAGTGGATCTTCGTTTGTTCCGAGCCAGGGCTCGAGCTACGGATCTATAGGGACAACTTTTGACGAAGTTTCTAATGCCGGGCACGGAGTTTACGGGGCCGGATTCCAAGATTTCGACGACTACAAAAAGGCGTTCAAAGTGAAAGGGACGAGCAACGACGGAAACGGTTTGAGCGGTTCCGTATCGACGAACAACTACGCGGATCAGTATCCCGTATACGAGAAACCAGCCTTCGGTAAAGCGGACGCTCAGAAGACTGGCAAATACTTTTCCCCTGGCAATTACGCACCCTCGAATACCGTACAATCCGGATTCAATGATTACACCGCTGCTGGATCCGCTAACAGCAACAATTACTTCAACTCTTACGGAAATGGTAACTTTGGAAACGATCTTTCGGTTGGTTTCGCTTCGGACTGCGTTTGCGTTCCGTATGACCAATGTTCCGGTGAACACGCCGGTCGCAAGGACGATCTATTTCTGCCCCTTGATCCCCGCAACCTGAACAAGGACATCGAATCCGAAAACGCGACAAACGAGACATCTACCATCGTTCGCGTGGCGAAGAGTAGCGAGAGCGATTCTGCGGAAACTACTGGACAGCAAGAGACCGAATCACTAGCAAACGTTAGGACCAAGAGAGGAACCAATGAGGAATCTGCGAGCATCGAGGGCAGGAAAAAGGCTAACGGAGAAGGGGTAAGACTACTAGAATTTTATCTTCGTAAAAGTCGCGGTGATGTCGCGAATGCGATCATCGACGTTTCTCTCGCGGCTTTCTCTCCAAACCGCGGCCGTTTACTACGTTACGTGCACACGGTTCCGCGAATACGTGCAAAGTCGAATAGTAGACGTCAGAAGGCAGGTCCGGGTTAGAACGCGGTCTTTTGTCGGTCCCGTTGAATCTTCGTATCGAGTACGAAATGTACTACACCAAGGAAAGACTCGGATCTCTATCTGCGTGACTGTTCGGCTCTCTGGTTGCAGAGACTCGATGCTAGCGATCTGGACTCTTCGAAATTAAACGTCAAACCAACCTGGGGGATCAGTTTCGGTCTACCGCAAACCGGTGGTTCGTACCCGATAGGTCCTCACAGTGGCAATGTCCTGGTAAATCCATACACAGGGTACGGCCCGGGCAGTCAAGGTATAAATTTCGGCCTGGTTTCCGTGAATCCTCTACTAGCCGTGCAATTCACCAAAGACGAGTACGGCGATAAGGTGGTAAAACCGTTTGTCAATTTCCACGTAACGCCTAATCAAAATATCGTGCAGAAACTTGGTTATCTGCTTTCCCATAAGAAGCAAGGTCTGTTCGATCATTACTACGCGCCACATTACTATCCCTCGAAACCTGTTGAACTTTACGAAAAACCGTACTACGCAAAACCTCATTATCCTCCTCAAGAGTATGGTCATCACGAACCTTACCCTCCTCACCATCACGAATACTCCGATTATTATCGAGGCGGCGATGATGATTACGATTACGATTACGAGGATCGTTCGTATAATTACGGTTCCGCACGTAGCAACAAAGCGTCCATCAAAATGAACGGACAAACGGTTCCAAAAGAAGGTACTAGTGGAAAGGTATCGTTTCCGAACAGAAGAAAGCGTGATACGCAGCCGCAACCACGATCAGAGTCGTGGTTGCAAGTATCAGTAAATGCGACGCAGGTAAGCGAAACTTCGATGAAGTTCGAAAGGAGAACTAATTTCAATTTCGAGAGTGTCGATCGCGTGAGCAGTTCGAGGAATCCAAGATCGTGTTATAACAGTACCATTAACACGATTTCTATGCTTTCAAAACGTTCACCGAGAATTCTGCTTTCTTAACAGAGACAGTACACGGTCCCTGGTGCTCCTCGAGCTTGCGGACCCGGCTACGTCTGCTGTCCGAGAAGACAACCGATAAGGAAACCACAACCTGGCCAATGCGGAGTTAGATACACTCAGGGTATCAATGGAAGAATCAAAACTCCCTCGTACGTCGATGGCGACGCTGAATTCGGTAAGTATTTTCTCTCATTTTATTCTCCTCAATCTTAGAACAGTTCTGAGGAATATTCAATCACAGGTGAATACCCGTGGCAAGTTGCAATTCTGAAGAAAGACCCAACGGAAAGCGTTTACGTGTGCGGAGGTACTCTAATTTCTTCCCGACACATCCTCACGGCGGCTCACTGCGTGAAAACTTACGCGCCTCACGATCTTCGCGTCCGACTCGGAGAGTGGGACGTGAACCATGACGTTGAATTTTATCCGTACATTGAACGAGACGTAGCGAGCGTTCTTGTGCATCCAGAATTTTATGCTGGCACTCTCTACAACGATATCGCGATATTGAGAATCGACCACGACGTTGATTTCCAAAAGAATCCGCATATCAGCCCTGCGTGTTTACCGAACAAGCGCGAAGATTTCACGAGAAACAGGTAAAACCACCTTCCATTTTACTTTCTCCTTAATAACTTTCATTTTTCTTCAACACATTTGTTACGGTTCTTGTTATTGATTTCACGCTTCGAATTTGGAACAGATGCTGGACAACCGGTTGGGGAAAAGATGCGTTTGGAGACTTTGGAAAATACCAAAACATTTTGAAGGAAGTGGACGTGCCTATAGTTAGCAATCAAATTTGCGAGCAACAAATGAGAAGGACGAGATTAGGTCCAGGATTTAACCTTCACCCCGGATTCATTTGCGCCGGTGGAGAGGAAGGGAAAGACGCGTGTAAAGGAGACGGAGGTGGTCCAATGGTTTGCGAACGAAACGGTCGTTGGCAATTGGCAGGAATTGTGTCTTGGGGCATTGGTTGCGGACAAGCAGGTGTTCCCGGCGTTTATTCTCGCGTTTCTTACTATTTCGACTGGATCCAACAAATCCTGAATCGTTATTAACGATACAAAGCAATTTATTCTCGAACCGTTCCATTCGTCTGGTTTCTATTTCGATTTCATTATTTAAGACCGTCCCCGAAAACCACTGTTTCTTACGATGTATTATAACGCGTATCTATTTGCGATACCCTATAAGTATATATGTAAATGACAAGTAATTTAATTTCAATGTATCTATCTTTCTATTTCTGTATCTTTCCTAATTTACGTAGAAGGCACATTACGAATTAAGGATTCTTGTTAAACGTGATTCGAAGTATATTCGGATCGTTGAGTAATGCATTTTATTTGCAATCTGTTTGTTACATGACTAATTTTAATAAATAATGTGTGATCTTGATAATTGCCTTTTCTATAAAACCTCTCTTATAATAAAACCTTCAGCTAAGTAATACATGATGAAGTGACCATTCATGAGTATGACAGGTACTCGAGGTCACTATGTTCGTTAAAAACTACGTAACCAGTCACCCAGGGAACCCAAAACCATGCGACTCACCGATCGCAGAGCACCAGGGCTGTTTTAACCAGGAATGGGGTTGCTGCCGCTACTGCAACTGCTACAGGATGACGCCGTGGTAACTCACTGCCCAACTCGTCTGAAGAATCCACAGGAGATAAAGTTGCAAAGAATCTGTAAAATAACGTAAAAGTTGTAAAATCTGTTCTTTAAAACAGCAATTTAGAATTGAGTAATGAAAGAAAATGCTTACTTTATTTACTCCTGAAGAGTGGTCCAAGATCCTTTGAGTCCGCCAGCGATGAAATGATTCTACACCGATAACGCGTAGTGTGAAAGAAAAAAAAAAGAATTATAAAAGACTACCGTACGAAAAAGATCGACTCTACTTTTGAGAAAAATAATTAGAGAGCCGCGATGCTCCAAATATTAATTTAGAAAATATATTAACACTGACTCCAGTTTCACGTTTCTTTATTAAATATACGTAACACTACTAGAAGCCATTTTGCTTCGACAACAAAAATTACTACGCAGCAAACACTGACTCTACAACCGCATTGCGCGCGGCCACAAAATTTGCTGAAAATAAAAGGGGAGAGGAAGGAATTGAAGGAACACATATTTTTCTTTCAATAATAATTTACAATAATTAATCTTTCAATAGTTTAGGCAAATTCTCGAAACGATGAATGTATCTGATGCTTCTATTTTGCATTAATGACGCCATTTTATGTTCGTATAAAAAGTGAAATAAATTATTTTATTTTATACTTTTTTACACTTTGATACTGATTAATTAAATAGCACTGTACCGCGCACTTAATGATCACTTACAAAAAACGAGACAAAAATGCATAAATACATTCACCTGGCTTCTAGAACAAACCAGAAGGCTTCTCCTTTCCGTGCACCAGCGTTTAAATTGTAACCGCCAACTGTAATGGCGTCGTAGCGTCACCTACCCCGCGTCATTCTTCCGAACTTCAAACAAGTGTCTATAACAAATTAAAAATGTAAATTTGAAGTAAATTTCATCGAATATCATAACTATTTTATCATTGAAGAAGTAATTTTGACAGAAATATGTAGAAACAATCTGAAATTTTGTCAAAAAAGGAATGTCGATTGAGAAAAAATACGAGCAGAAAGATGCAATAATTAACATCGACTTTTTCGTGATTCTATATAAATTCGTGTTTAAAAATATATTGGTAATGTATAAGTGATGTAACAATAAATAAATGAAAGCAATGGTAACAAGTAAAAATATTTAAAAAGTTAATATAAAATTTCCTTACCTGAAATAACGCGCAGCTGTCAACATGTCTTATTACAAGGGCGTCCACGGAACTAATGTCACTCTCCCCGCGCCCCGCAATCTTCAACTCGCGATTTGGGATGTAGTGGTGGGGGAAGGTTCCAGATCTTCACTGTACCGTACATCGTAAGGAGTACGAAATTTTAAATACAGTTAAACATTTATTATTTCTATACATATATAGTAAATGAGGGAGATTTGATTCTTACTTGTATTCACAATTCACATTATTAAATTATAGTAATTACACTATTAGATAGTCATAAGCCGAAAATTAATTAATTACTACAATGTTCACCTAAACGTATTATAACTTACATATATAGAATGTGTTACATCAGTAATTACGAGCGCTTATATAGGCAGTCATATTTAGTATTTCAGTAGGTTACGTACATAATATGCAATTCTATATCAGTATTCGATTCCTTATGGAACACGGTTATGTTTTACTTCGATAAATTCGCAACGTAATTTGGCTTACGGAGTAGGTATTATTATGAGTTAAATAAGCATACACAAATAGTATTCTATGTATACCGAATCGAGTTACATGTATGCATGCCATAAGTCTCAATTTAATTTAATTGTTAATTTACGTAAATATAAATACATATGTAGTTGCATAGATGTAATCATATATTTGCAATTGGCGGGAAGAGTATATGTACTGACAAGTTCGCGCCTAAATTATAAGCATATTTTATTCTAACCTGTACTCGTCTACTGGACGATATGCCAACTTTTTATCCCGATCCTGCTTTTGTAGCTTTCATCTTTACATCTGTTTAATTTTTATATTAATTCATATTCGTTCAGCATCCTCTACATTAATCGCAACACACTCATCCGTATACATTCGCACTGTAGCTCATCGATTTCCTATCACATTTTAGTAGTTATCATCCTTCACTGGTTGGTAATTTTACTAATATCTTACGAATATAAAATATAAACTATCGATACATACAATGGAAATCAATACTGAATTACCGATCGTACAAGAAAGTCAAAGGTTTCAATATGACCCCTTCAATTTAGAACCATGGATTTAGGAATCATCAATTTTTTAATTTAAGCGCGTTTAATGCACGATTTTGAAACCCCGAGTCGCGCATTAAGCAAACGTTGATATTTTTATTCCAAGAAAAAAATATTTTCATGAATGAAAATGTTCGATATCGTTTTCTACAATGTTCTACGATATGATAGGAACCGGAATGGCTGTAATAGATATGACTCACCGATCGCTGACTTGTACTACTGAACATGTAACACATCTTACACCGATCGATTGCATTCATACCGCATCTTTAAGAACTTTATACATTTTGGAGATTGACTCACGTTTAGTAAATCAACAAAATTCATATCTTTATTAACATAGAGCATCGACAATAGCGCCTGTGTATCTCATCTGTACTGACACTTCCGCTCGCATCTTTATCCCATATCGATAATGTAGTATGTTGCTGTACCGTATAATCGAAATGTATCACACGATGCCACTATGTTCAGACGGATGTTTATATTAACTAATAGTGAAAAAGAGGTTAGGTTGTAATCAAATCGAGAAATTTGATTGTGTTCGAAACTTTAAGTGATTTGCAATAAAAAAGACATGCCGATAAAATACATTGGCCGAACAACCACTTTAAAAGGCAAACCTTTATGGGAAATTTTAGCAAATTTAAAAAACCATGGTGTAGGTAGAATGGTAATACGATATACATTTCAAAGATATCCAGAACCATGTTACATGAGGATATTAAAAGTTGCTGCACTGCCAGATACGTCTAAGCATCCACATGTATGTTGTTTTTTATGTATTGTTACGCGATCAACTACAAGTATGACTTTTTTAAAATAAATTTTCATATTTTAGGATCCGCGGAAAGTACGAGTACTCGTTGAAAGTACTTTTCGCGGTAAAACTCAACCAACTCCAAGGCAAATAGATTCGGTAAGCTACAAACCAGATTATATGCTAATACCTAAAGATGAGGAACATCGGTACTTGAATCACATTCAACCACCAGTGAAAATCCTTCCACGCACTGTAGAATTTCCACCACTCTTGAAAGAAATGTTGATTCGTGAAGCAAAAAAAAAGAACACAACTCCAGTATTGCACATGCCAGCAATATATAATCTGAAAGGTATAAAAAATTATAAAGTGGCCGAAGAAGGTGAAACACCTAATGTTGATGTAGTGATGAGCCTGGGAACTCCAGCAACTCCACATCTTTATGCAGACATTAAATACGATGATTCATCATGAATATATTCATCATTAATATAAGGTTTTGTGTATAAGACAATTTTACAAGACATGATTGTGCACTAGAAATTCAACTTTTCATTGATGAAGTCTTTTTGAATCAGAGTTAGCTTTTGTTCGTGTTGTTTTGTACTTGAGAAACATTGAACGATACTTTTCACAACGGATTAAATTTGGATCTTCCATTTCACCTGCCAAAATAGTTTTTGGTAACCACATTAATGCTACAGACACAAGACAAAGTATACCTGGTGATCCTGGCAACTGATCCAATTTTTTCCCAGCGATATTCTGTTTAAAGAGACACATGTATATAACGGGATATAACGCGATGCAATGTAAAATAATGTAAAATAAAGTATATCTACCTTCCAAAATTGCCTCATCTCTTGAACGTCTTCGCGTTTCCGGACCAACCATCCACGTACATATCTCTGTATGCGCAAAGCTGCGTGTCCTTCAGACCACAACCACGATTTTGGATAGTACGGTCTAGGGCTAAAGATAAAGGAAATAAATGTATAAGCGAGGTATTATTTTTCTCTAAACTTACTGTTGGAGCAAATATTCTTTAAACGCTGGTATTTCAAAAACATTCAACAACGGCGAATGTATCTTCGACCGTCGCGGATTAAAATTCCATAACAATTCCGCGATGTAATCCAGGCCATTGAATCGACATTTTTGTATCTAAAATAAAAAACCTGTTTTAGGACATATATTTTGAGGTGCTTAAATAAAAAATAGTCAAAGTATACACGAAGCGCGTTCCATCGTGATGCCTCTTTAAGGGTTTCCTCTACCGCCGGTAATAACAAATAAAAGATATTTTTCTCCAAGTAATGCGAGGGTAATTGATCATCTTCGTCAATGATCGGCGTTCTTCTGCATTCTTCGAAATTTTCGCAACTAACCGAATTCAAGATTTCGCTGTTGGAACATTGTCCTTCGCAAATTCTTGCTTTGCGAATTTCATTCGATAATTCAGAACACATCTGTGTGTAAGAGTCAGCTTCTATTCGAATATTTCGTAATACAATTTAGGGAGGGAATAACAGGATAATTGAAACACGAAAGTCGTTTGTCAACCTATCAGTCACGCGTTAACGAGCCGTCAGACATCCGAAAAAGATTATCGGTATTTCAGATGGAAGATCATGGATAATGTTTTGACTGATTATTAAAATTCACTTAAATGCCTAAATGTAATCCGCGGTGCCCCGTAGTAAAAGCTCAGCTAAGGAAACTAGGTACGACCAATATCGATTATATCCTTGATAAAAAATACGTTCATTTGACTTATTTATGCGCAAACCACTGCTCAAAGATAATCAACAAAGCTTCCAGCTACCGAATCACCATGGGTTTTGAAAGAATTAGCAACGAGATCCGATCTCAAAGTAAGCACTTTGATCGGGACCGCGGACGAAAAGATTATAAGTGCAACGGTGGATGCTAAGCGCGATGAAGATCAGAGAAGTTCGATCGATCCGTCCGATCCCCGATACACGGAAGGGAGAGTAGACGGTAAACTGGTAAGAAGAATAAGAACATCTGGAACACAAGCGGACGGTACTAGAAAAAAAAATATATCTAAAAATTATTGATTTAATATGCATATCTAAAATATAACGATTACACAGGGTACGATCCGTCAGTTAAAACAGACATCTCAAAACTCTTGGACCAGGCAAAAGTAGATAAAGCAAATGGAATTAGTGTGGATAGAACTGATAGAGCAAGTGGCGTAGATACGATCGATGGAATGGATAGAACGGATAGAGCAAGTAGCGCGAGTAAATTAGACAAAGAGAAAAGGGACAAAGAAACATTAAAGCGAGAACTTGCAGATAAGTCAACAGAATTTGCCGCGTTTCGAGATGAATGCGAACAGTCCTGTCCCCGACGCATATCAGGAAGCAAGTATTCTTGTATTAAGGGAAAACGAGAATTTATTATCTGTTGATATTACTAATATAATTGATACGATTCTTATAGAAAGCAGATTACGCAAACTTGAAGAAACGCAGTGCATTATAGATTCTTATTTATTGAACAAGGGTGCTCGTTACTTCGAGGATGTCTGCACTTGTTCTCTTTCCTGTGTTCTCCGTGCTTTAAGGCGCGATCCTTTCGTCACCAGCACATTAGCGTCTATCACAATATTCACGCTGGGTCTGAAACTTTGTGCAGAATTAGATGCTTGGTATTTGCCGATTCATTTCTCGTAAATTGTAGTCGACATTACAAATACAATTGAACTCATACATAATCCTGTCTTATTCTTATTTTATTTAATAATGAGAAATTCATTAATCTTTGAAAGACAGTATCCTAATATATATTAGAGCTATAACTAACATTCGGGGAACTGTTGTTGATGAAATGTAACATGTAATTTCGGAAGAAAAAAAAAATGCTCCAGGTGAGGCTCGAACTCACAACCCCGGCATTGCTCACGATTCACTGTCTTATAAGTACCGTGCGCTAACCAATTGCGCCACTGGAGCCGTTGGAAAGTCTTTTCCCAATAACGGTTTTCAGTCACTCGATCATTAAATTAAAAAAAGAAGATGCCACGCGTACTATATCATAAAATTTGTTTATAATAACACGTCAAAGAGAATAAATATACTATGTGGATATCATAATATATTGCTTATTGGATAAAACAAGATTTGTTACAAATAAAAGTATCATAGTAAATTAATAGACAAATGCAAAATATGGTCACTCATCCTCAATGTCTTGTCCACGTCAACGATATCTCAAAAATATAAGAAATAACTTTTTAATTATTGTAGAAGTTAAACGTTGTATAAATATGATAGTACTGTATAATATTCTATCATTGAATGTTACCTCGCGATTTATGATTTACGCATACATTCCTGTTTCATTTTTTATAAAATGAATTTAGTTGATAAGTTAGTTTTTGTAATTCAAAACACATAATATATCAATTTTAATGCGTTGATATATTATATTTACATAACATATCGATACATCATATACTTATCGAAGATTTGCATTATGACATTTTTATCTGAATTTCCGGAATTCCTTTTATGCTTAAAAATATTTTGCACTTAATTTTTCAGTTCTAGGATATTATAAAAATGTGCATTTTGAATAGAAAAAGCAATATGCAAGCGATTACGTGTAAGTTGAAATGTGTGGTGTTGTTATATTTTTGCGAGTCAAATCGCTGCCACTACTACTTGCCGTCGTCAACAATTAAATATGTTCTGTCTATACAAATTTTGTTAGTTTCTTGATGTTAATATTTCATTTAATTGGAGTTACATGTACATCAGTGAATAGTAAAGTCACGTAATAATTATATTATTTTTAACTTGCTTCGTTGTGATTGAAAATTTTGTATTCAAAAATGCAACCACTAGTTGCTTGTCATAGTTTATTCTTATTACAATATGTAATTCCTTTTTTCTACAGTTTATTTCCAATAACTTTGTGGATGCATAACTTTTCGAAGATTTTTTAAATACAATTCATAAATATTGTCACAGGTAACTTAACCTCTTCAAACGTCACATAATTTATTCCGTTGTGGAATCAATTTTTTTGTCCACCTTCGAGATGACATATAATGTAAGTTCTTTCCTTGACGTTGTTGTATGTTATAAACATTTTTGAGAATGTTATTATATAATTAAAATCTCTTAGATTTGTAAAGGAACTTATTTTGTTATTTTTATGCTAGATACAATAAAGAATGAGCTGGTTTGATGCCACTGGCTTTGCCAATTTGGCTATGACAGCTTTAAAGGAAGCTCAGAAAACGATTGATAAAGCATTAGATATAAAAGATGAAGATCAAAAACCAGTAGAAACACATAAGGAAGATACATCTGATTTTTTTGCATCCTGGGGATTAAAGAAGGAAGAAGATGTTGTTCACCGTGACAAAAGCAAAGATTCTAAACAAGATGCCACAAATAGTATATGGGGCAGCTTTACTGGATCATTTTTTGAATCACCAAAATTTGGTGAAGAGGGACGCGATGCAAAAGGTATTATTCATTCAAAATCTTTGCAAACCACTCCAACTGAAAGTGATAAAACAAAGATGCAAAAATTTGCATCCTCTTTATCCCTATCGGAGGACTACAAAGATAAGAAATTAAGTCCATCGAAAAATACTAAACGTATAAAAGATTGCAAGGAAAAATCTGGAAGTGATACAAGTTATGATATTCCTAGTCAAGATATTGCTTCTGCATCCACTTCTAATGTATTGGTGCCATTAGTTCCATCTGGCACAGTTATTCCAGCAGATACAGCTTCCAGTAATGATGAGAAACTTGAAGATTGTCTGACAAGTTCTACAGAAAAATTAGCCAATGTAGTTGAATCTTGTTTAGATGAAAATGATACAATTTCTAAAAATGATCAGGATGAGAAGTCAGAGTGTGAGAAGAAAGAAGTTTCTGAACATAATTCTAATTCTGAAAGTTCTTCATCTATCAAATTATCTTTTTTATCTCCTGGGAGTGATAAGAAAAGTTTGGAAAATGTTGAGATTCTTGGTTCTCGATCTAATACCAATTGTACTACTACTCCTGAGTCAGAACGTAGTTCTCTTAGTAATTTAGCAAGTCCTTCAACCATGGGTACTAAGGTCAATTCTGAATCAGTTGAAGTATTGCCAGATAGTTTAGTTACATCTCCAAGTTCTGTGGAAATTTTAGGAGAGTGGAAAAGTGATAGCAGTCCTTATATATCTCCAGTAGAATCAGGACATTCTGAATTGCCATATGAATTAGACAGGGATGACACAATTACTCCTTGTTGGGAAGATATTAATGTTGCACAGATTGCAAGCAAGAATAATCAGACAAATGCATCATCTCCCAATGTTTCTTCATATGACTCTCCAGTGGATGAGGCCAAAACACCATGTAACAATTTGAGTACAAACATTATAGGCAATACATCAGCAGGTGCATATTCAGATGCACACTCTAATAAAACAGTATCTACTGAACATATTCCAATGGACACTTCAACAGAGAATATAGAAGCAACACACGATACGAATGAGCCAGATGAAGTTAGTTTAGCAGAAGATTCCTACACTTCGGCTTCGGAGACTACCGTCATGACGATATTAGAAACATTTCAACAAAAAGAGCAAATCAAGAGTAAGATGGATATACCTATTAATGCATCTTCAAGCGGACAAATGCATGATTTGTGTTCAGATGGAAAGCAAATGTTGAAGAAAGGAAGTATGGACGCCTCTTCGAATTTGAATTTAAATTTGGACTCAATGAATGAGAAACATAATTTACATTTGCCAATAGAAGCAATCACAACGCAACCGATTCGGAAACCAGAATACTTTGATGGGAGTAATAAAAAATCCGAAACCGATTTGAGTAGCTTTGATCGATTGATAAACGCTACTATAGAACCAGCGGAACCTGAACGGTATTCTAGCGATGAAGCTGCGCATCCATTTAAATCCGATACATTAGATATTACTGATCAGCATTTAATATCAACGGACTCAAGTTGTGAAGGAACTTTAATAGAGAGTAGTTCGGAAGACAATCCACAGTTGATTCATAAATCGGAAGAGAAAATTTTAGAGGTTCCATTAAGTGCTAGTTCCTATGTAAAAACAATGTTAGCGGATGCGATGATCGAAAAGAGGGAAATCATAGAGATGGAAGGACAAACCTCAGATATGCCTAGAGAAAATTCACCTATTTCGTCAGAAAGGTATAAATATGATAATATAATAATATAATTAATAAATTTAAATAATTAAAAATTTTTCTCATATATTTGTAGTCGGTCTGATTTAGTTAAAATTGGTTCGGATCAAACCAGCGGTCATACCAGTGGAGACGAATTAGAAACTACAACCTCTAGCGATATTGAAATTATATCCAGGTATAGATACAATTATAACGTCATAAATATTAGTTACAAGTTAATGGTAAGCTTAATTACAAATAATTTCTTATTAAAATAGTCCAAACGGCGATTCAAGTTCGACACAGTCTCGTCAAAGCTTGGCAAAGTTATCAAAAGGTGTGGATCTCCTAACGAAAACCTTAAAAACCAGAGGACATTCCAGGGAACTGAGCGAAATTAGCGTTGGATCTGACGAGGCAAATGTTGAGATAGAAAAGTTATTAAAACGTATACAAGAAATGACTGAAATATTAGAAGCCCGAGAATCAAAGCTTATCGATGTCAGTAGAATAAACGTTGAATTGCAAGAGCAAAACAATAATTTAAAAAAGTAAGTTTTGTATAATATGTACAATTGGAATTAATTAATTACTTTTCATTCCTTCTTTCGAACTTCCCTTTCACTTTCTGTGTAGGCAGTTGGATAATTTTGAAAAAAATGCAGAACAGAATCAAAATTTGAATCAAATCACTGATGAATACACTCAACGATTATCCGCCTTAGAAAGAAAATTTCAACAAGCAATACGAGAACGAGACTCTCTTAGGAAAAATTTGGAACAGTTAAAAGTGGAAGCAGCTACTCGTTTGTCCTCCCAAGAAATGTTTACTTTGAGCGCCGAGAAAGACGAAATTATTAAGGAACTTAGAGAGGAAGGAGAAAAATTAAGCAAACAACAACTTCAACACAGTAATATCATTAAAAAATTGCGAGTTAAAGAGAAAGAAAACGATGCTTTAATAAAAAGTCAAAAGTACGTAAGTAGCATTCATTTTTTCTTTTTTTATTTTTCTGTGATCATTTTTCCATTATAATTTCTAATTAAGTAATAAACTTATAGAGAGCAAATAGAAGAACAGACCTCAGAATTAGAGCGCTTAAAAAGATCACTGCACGCGAAGGAAGAGGTTGAGCGATCTCAAATAGAAGCTGTCCATACATTAACAGCAAAAACGAAGAAGCAAGAAAAAGAAATATTAACACTGCAAGAAAAATTAGATAGTACTTTGCATAAGATGGATGCATATAAGACAAGTTTGGACGCTGCAAAAATGTGAGGACATAAAACAATTTACTTTACTTTGTTCCTTGATTCCCTTTCTACTTTTCTTTCAACTTCTTTTTCAGAGACTTGACCGAAACGAAAAAAATTTTAGCAGCAACTGAAGCGGAATTAAAGGAGGTAGCGAATAGCGCTGGAGAATCATGTCAACTTCTTGCGCAAGTAGAAGAGCTGAAGATTAAATTACGGGAATCCGAGGAAACGCATGTCAAGTAAGTCGGTACAAGTAACTTTCTATAATTTCTGACACTATTTATTATTCATCTTATTCGATATGTAGGAAAGAAGAATTTCTTAAGCACGAAAACAGCGAGTTATTAAAACGCTTAGAAGCTGCTGAAGCTAGAAGCGAAGAATTATCAGAATCTGTATCGACGGCTACGAAACCATTGCTAAGACAATTGGAACAACTTCAAGCAAATTTATTACATAAAACTAATAATTTTATGAAACAAGAGAAAGCATTGTCAGACAAAAATATCGAGTTACAAACAAAAGTGGAAAATTTAACCGAAGCTGATCGTTATCTGAAGGAAGAAAATGTTAATTTAAAGTCTAAAATATCTCAGTTGGAATCAAAACTTGTTACCAAAGAGAACGAAAAGACTCGTCTACAAGAACTGTGCGACGAGCTGACGGCTCAGAAAGAAAAGCTAACTGAAGAAAAGTTTGGGTACGAAAAATCAGTATCGTATTCGTTTTCATATAAAATATGTACGATAAAACTACAATGATTATTGTTACATGTATTATATTTCCAGACTTCAGCAAAAGATAGAAACTCTCGAACAGTCTTATTCTTCACAAATAACCGAGTTGAAGAGAGAAATTGTCGCGTTAGAAAATAAATTAGCTATAGAAAAAGCAGCCACCGATGCAGAAAGGAGGAAAAATCATGCAATATCAGAGCAGCAACAAAGTATTGAAGACAACGAACCATTTAACCCTATTGCTAGCACGGAGCAAGACTCTGTGAATGTTATAAACAGTATTTGGCCGGTAATACCTATAAACAATCATTTTTTCTTACAATTGAATATAAGTTGTATGATTACAAATATAAATTTTATTATTTTAGCTGCACGACTCTATTGCTGAAGATAACAGCGAAACGTATACAATGAATTTCGATAGTATTAGAACAGGATCGGGTAATACTTCTATATTTGAGAACTTACAAGCTCAATTGAAGCAGAAAGATGGTACGTCTCAAGTATTGATAACATTTGCTGTAGCAATTGATATAATCTTTGAATTTATAGGTGAAATACAACAACTCCAATGGGAATTATCACGACGTAATGTAGAAAGGGATGCTTTGAATACGGAATTATCTACGTTAACCTTAAAGATCGAAGAATTAAATACTAAAGTAATAGACGTTGCAGTTTTAAACGAAAGTTTGCACGAAATACAGACAAGGTACGATGCATTGTTACAAATGTATGGAGAAAAAATGGAGGAAAATCAAGAATTGCGTTTGGATCTTGAAGATATCAAAGAAATGTATAAAACACAGATCGATCAGCTCTTGAAAAGAGATACTTGAAATTGTCCTTTCAAGTTAAATTTACTGGTTGATCAAATACAATAGGCGTGTTAGAATCATAAAAATATCAGCAATTTAAAAATCTGTAGGATCAGACGAGGGTAGATATTTGTTCCATCTTCATCAATGAAATTGCCCAGGCTAGAAGACAGTAAATTGAAAAGACTGATGGAAAATTCTGTAAATTATGTAGGATTAAGGGTTATCATTCACTGAAAGGAAATTAAATTTTATCTGCTGCTTGCTGTTCTTTTGACAAATCGAAGCTCTTATTTAAATGATTTGACAAACAAGTCTATCTCGATAACTGATAATTCGTAACTGTATTCGATAATTTCACATCCTAACACTTAGTTTTATGTAAAATTACAAAGTATGCAATGTAAAATTTTGCATTGCCATTTAACACTATCATAACAGGGTGGATAGTTCTTCGATGAACAGTTGTCGAAATCAATCTTTGTGCTGGGACATGTGTTTGCACGTATACTGTATATTGTATACTGTATACAAGTAGAATAAGATAAGCCACGTGATACAAAGTGTAATATAAAGTTTTCGATATTGTAATATAGAATTGAAGTACAATGTGATTTATTAAAAAATTACATTTGTTCGTTTACTGAGAGTTTTATTCTATGTAAGGTGTGATGATTCTTTTAGAGTAGTGATTAAAACGTGAGAAAGAGGGGAAGGATTTTGAATATAACATTGTATGAATATTGGAAAAAAATTCGGGTAAAATAATGTAAAAGTAATTGAAAAATTATCTAAGAATTTTGGTTAAAGAGGAGAGGAAACAATTAATAGTACAGTAAAAAGAGGTGTGCGGTAAATGAATCGCAGACAAGAATGCTTTTCAAAAGTGTAATTAAACCGAAGGGAATACATCTTTCTTCATAGTTTTATATATACCGTAATCTTTATTGATTATAAAGTGCGACCTTCTCTCCCTCCCCTTTTCCCCTCACAAACAAAAAGAGAAAACCGAAAATCAAGCCTTTGCTTTCATCATCGTACATTTTTTTAAATACAAAAAGGAACAAATTTTTTCCGCTGGATATTTGCAACGCTATCATTTTTTTCAACGTTCTCTCTATTCTGGACTATTGTAGATCGGTGATCGATAATTACAACCGTTATTAGAATATTCTTTTAATATGACAGTTGAACATAGAAAGAGAATCATTTCGAAGAAGCGGTTATATCGTAAAATTTAGCACTTGTGTAAATAGAGAAATTAAATGTTATTTTATGAAACCAGCATTTGTAATGCCAATTAATTGAAGAAGTATTGTGTCACTATAAATAACAGCGATAAAAAGGAAATATATAAAAACGTTGAATGCGATAATTTATACGTAAAAAAACGTCCAATTTCTTGCTCGACAAATTGTGGTTACAATTTAGAAATTTACTAACGTTATCATTCTTGGTCCCGCTGGAATCACTGTAAATAAATCTACAAGGGAACGCGAACGGCAATAAAATTCGACCAACCGACCGATACGTTTGCTAAAAAATTAGAGAAATGATATATAAATTGTTAAGAGAAGGGTCGTTTCTTTGAATGAATTAATGAATGAATGAATGTCTGTGGCAGTTAACGTGTCACCACCGATGTTCTCGTTAAAGTTTCGAGTGCCACCATCGACGCATTGATCGTCGAGCTTCTCCGCATCGCTGCCTAAACTTCCAGTCGTTGCCTCGTTATTCCAAAGATATGGCAGATTCTATGCTTTTCTCAAATCTATCGCCAACGTTTAAACATACCAGCATTTATGCATTTTTCTTCTTTGTTGGCTTTTGACTTGCTCGCTAAAATACTTCGCTTTATCCATAAAAATTAATTTTGCAATTAAGTGCATCCCTATCTTTTTTTTCATCTATATGGTAATCCGACACTTTGATCAACGATTTCTGATACAAGTTATTCCAAGTAAGAGAACAAATAGAATACGTGGATAGCAAATAGAGAAAAAGAAATTTCATTGGACTGTACATGGTATGCATGGTTAACGAGAGATTTTTGAGATAATCATGGAATCGGTGCCAGAATCGAAGTTCGATCGCGGATCACAGATCGCGCAAGGATTTCCCTGAATGTAAGTGCGCGCTGCCGAACTTCACGCGGCATCTTTGCGGACACAGACTTTCTCTTCCAGGTGATACGAAGGTGTACTTCACACCTGGTTGGACAGAGAGCTGGCTCCGTCGAGCGTAGAGCGAAGAACGGTACGAACTCGAGTACCGTGTGTAACGAGCATTGAACCATCGACGCTATCGCGTCGACCTGCTTTCGTTCAGACCCATGGCGTCCAACCCTCGTATAAGAGGGCTAAATTATCGGTACTCTGAGCTTCACGTATAACGTATTCCACCTGTTCAGCTGTCGTGTATTTACGATTCGGATGTGGGTCGCATCCCTCTAATTTCATGCGTACGCGATGCCAAACATTCAACGCATAGGCGTTTCGTTCCTGGACAGCTGTGAAGAAGAAAACAGGAAAGATAAGACAAGAGAAAAGTGGAAAAAAATCAGCGATGAGAACAAAACTTACCTTTTCCCGTAGTCGGATCTCGAGCCAAGGGAATTCCTTTTCTAGGACTGTAACACACCCCTTCTTGCCTGATCAATTTTCCTTTCTTTTTCATTGAACCGAGATTCGAAGCCTCAGTTTCATGCTCTCTTTCTCGATCCCTTTCCTTCTCTTTTTCTGACTCTTTCTGTTTTTCAAGCATCTTCGTTGAATTCACTTTCTTTTCGTTGGCAAATTCTAACAGTTCATTGTATAAATTCGGCACCGTAGTCGCCATGTTCTCCAAGTCTTGCTTAATTACTCTACCTTTGTTTACGTCAAGGATATCAGATTCAAGTTCTTTGACAATTGCTGAGATGCTTTCAGTGAAAGATCGATACGAAGTCAGAAATTCTTGCAAGCCGTCAATATTTTCTTGCTTTACCATGGAACGTAATAGAATTCGAACATCTGACATCAGTCTATGGTGTTCGGTCAACACTCTCTGCAGACTTAAAACTCGTTCCCTTAAATGTTCTTGCGCGGCAACCAGACCTTCTTGTTTTTCTTGCAGTTTTTTCTGAACGTCAAGGATTGCTTCGGAAATAAATCGTTCTGCCTGCTTTAACCAGTTCATATCGACGTTACTTTCCATCTGCAATAACTCCACTAAACTCTCTTCTATCGCGGTTACAGTAATGTTCAAATTCATTGTCAGTATGCAACTTTCTTCCCAATGCTTAACCAATTTGACGAAATTTGCATCGTGAGTCACACTTTCGGACGTTCGTGTTCTTAAAGCTTCATAGTGCAATATAGAGTTACACGTAGTGATTACGTTGGTTGCAAGATTGTGCTGCCGGGTTAATTTTTCGCAGGAAGCGAGAACAGCATTATCGAATGCGGACATTACTTCTCCGAGAGCTGGATTCGCTCCAGCAGCCCATTTTAATCGTTGCACCGCGCTAGAAACAAGATTTTGTTGTTGTTCACGTGCTTCGCATACTCGAGACTGTAAACCAGTTAGCGCTGCAGCAGTTTTTCGTAATTCCAGCATAAACGCGGAACGATCTGAAAAATATAACAGGATAAATAAAAAGGTTTAAGACATTCCAAGTATTAAGACAATGAGCACTTACTTAAAGGATTCAATAAATTGAGATTTGTTCTCATCAGTAAGCTGTCTTCGTGTAACCAATGATGAGCAGTTAGTTGCAATTGAAGTCTCTCCATACTGGCTCTTGTTACTTCAACACACTGTTGTGTAAATCTGGCGCTCTGCTTCCTTCGCCAGGCGCTTTCAAGAGTGCTACTAAGTGCACTCGCTTGAGCCAAAACCGATCCTGAGAATAGACCTCTCTTCATGCAGAGATCCACTACCTTCCTACACAATTCCTCTATCGAAACTTTACTTTCAGCTCCGATATCTCTCTGTTCGATCTCGGTGGTAACGCTCAGTCCCATTCTCTGTAGTAAAAAGCAAAGTCCAATAGCAAGCGTTTGAGAGGTTACCCCGAGCAACTGTCTCGATACGTAATCCGCCGTAAATATTCTTATCGGTTTGTTTAATCGTTCGTCGTCGTAAACATTCGCTAAACCACCTTTAAAAGCGGTCGCAATGTCTCTGCACATCATGAAAAACTCTTGTATGGTATGCAATCGCTTGACCAGAAACATATCTTCTAAAACTTGACAAGCTGTTTTATTGAAGATTGGCGCGGACATTTCTTTAGCTTCCCGAATTTGGTCGATTTTGCGCCAAGAAGGTGGAATATCAAGAGTACTCAAGGTAGCAATCAATGCATTACCTTCCATCTGGAGTTTTTCGAATAATCCATTGAAACCCATTAAAAGCATTTGGCCTGGAGTCAAAGCCTCGTCCTGATTCGGTTCTTGAATCTCGGCAGGCCGAGACAGTAACGCCTCAAATCGTAATCTCATGTTATTCACGACGCTCTGTATCACCGCATGAGGACTTTCCATCTCCATGACGGTGAATCTTAAATGCATCTCCAGTTGTCCTAAGATATCTCCGAGTGGTATACCAGGCGAGACGATTATCTCGGTTAGTTCACCGATCATTCTGATCACGGTTGGCTCTTCTGTTATGATGGTCTTCATCGCTTCGGGTAGGATAATGGTGTGGAAATTATAATTCAATTCTTGCAACCCTTTGTAGATACAATCGGAGCCTCTCAAACATTTCAGTATGAGAGATATTTTGGGATCGTTGTTAGTTTTGTGACAATCTGGGATCAAGCTGACCAACTCAGCTATTAATGAAGACATCAGACGCATTTCATCCAAAAACCAATCTCCTTCTCTAGACGTGAGATCGACTAAACAATCCCCTGCACACTTGGCAGCACCTTCCATCATCAAGTATCTCTTATTCAGAGCACACAGAGCAGTTATGTTAACACATTCTAGTGCCCTTTCCGCTCCCTTTTCTCTTCTCAAAAAGTTTTGAATCTGCAATTTTGACTCTGTGTACGCTTTCTCTATTCTAGTAATTGATTCTGGTAAACCCTCCGAGAACATTCTTTCATAAGCCTTTTTCAATCTTTCGTTCGCTTCGTTCAGAATTGCTTGCATTTGATAGGAAAATGTTATTATCTGCTGTACTTGTTGATTGTTCGAACTCTTTATTCGATCGAAGGTATTTTCAAATTGTGCCATAACTTCGCAGCATGTTTCGACGTTTCCCGAATTTAACAACTGATTAGCCCAACCGTGATAACGTACTGTACGATGTTGCGACATGCTACTCAACGGATAAAGGCTGCAAATCGCCGAATATTGACTCAAAAGATCCAAACAATTTTGTATTAAAATAGATTGTTGCGTAGCCAACTGAGTCAGTTCGTTTTCTGATTGTTCACACTGAAGGATCATATTACTTTGACCAGCATTCTGTAAAAACTCTTTAACGAGATCAAATACGACGTGATCTTCCTGATTCGTAGATGTTTCCAATTCTGCTAACCACTGTCCCAATTGAGGACCCCGTACCGCCGAGAGTGCCATCTAATATTATGATAGATATTAACAATGTATTTCCAAAGCAAAATAAGCAATTAAGATTACAGAAAATATCAAAATCTAACTTACATTGTGCATATTAATTTGTTTTTCGCAATCGTCTATTTTTTCTTTTAATCCAGCTTTCGCTTTCTCGTGAGCATCGCGTGCCCGTTTGAAGGAATTATAACGTTTGATAACAGAGTATAAAGGATGATTACGTCCCATTGCCTGTGCTTCCTTGACCAACGCAAGCTGCTGATGTCTGTCTTGCAGTAAATCCTGACATTGGCGCGTAGCATCAGTTGCTTCGACCCAGCAATTTAAGTGATGACACAGCGACGGAAAGATCTTGATCAATTCATCCCTATGAGACAATGAATTGTTTAATATAGTCGAATACACTAAACAGGTAATACTTGATCACCATTCACCAACCTATTTGCCAACCATTCAGCACGCATTTCGGTAGTTCGAACGGCGAACATCGCTCGCGTCAATTCTTGCTCTAACTGTTTTCTTCCAATACCAGTGCATCTTGCTCTGGCCTGACATGCTCCATAACTCGCGATGCTATTATCTGCACCCGCTCTCCAATCAACTAGCGGGTCATAAATAAACGCTTCGAGCAAAGTCAGCAATGTTTCACGTCCTCTACGCATTACTCGAAGAGTATTCTCACATGCCAGACGAAATATACCCTGAAAAGCAAGCGAAATAAAGTAACCATGTACATTACTACAAGTCTGATGTGAAAAATTCCACTGATTTTACTTCAACACCGGTCACTCCTAACGCTGTTTTTATGTTTGGAGTCATTCTGAACGGCACCTTCTCTGGTACTCGTAATGTTTTGCCTTTTTCGAAGCAAACGTTGTAATCAATGTGTACCACCTCGCCTGTGTTCAAATCAACCAGCACATTGTCCAAGTGCCTATCACCTAAGCCAATGATGTATCCGATGATCGACATTACAGCAACTGAGTATGAATAATTTTTGGTTGCTTGCCACCAACTGCCAGCATTTATACTGTTACACCAAATTTCTCTGCAACAATAAAAATTAGATGATATCATTAATGTTACTGTCTCCATATATGTGGAAGATGAAGAAAAAAATCAGGAAATGAAAATAAAAAAAGGGAGTTAAGGTGAAAATAATCCTTTCCAAAAAAACTAACTTTGCTAATAAATCCTTTGGTGTTTCGGCCATTAACTCGGCCAACACTTGTTTTAAAATCTGAATTGGCCATTCTTTTCTATTCTCCAAACTGATTCCTCGTTCTTTCAACAAAGGTGTTAATTTGTTGTAAAAAAGCTCGGAAGGCCGTAATATCGCCGAGCTACCAGTCTTATTTTGCATAGCGCTTTCCCTTTGTTGCCACCTCTTATAAAGTACGAACAAAGGTGTAACCCCGTCAACCCATTGTATCAAACCGGACCGTGGACCTAACGGTATGACCGAATAATGACGAGCCCTGTACACCTTTTTCGAGTCGACTTTCTTTGACATCATAGTGTTACATATGCTCAAGAACTGCATAATTCTTTCGTCCAAATGAAGATCTTCTAATCCTTTAAACAGATACGTGTACACGTGTCCGTCAGAACCGTGGAAAATCAATTTTTTTGGTTTTGTCTTTGTTGGCAATATCTGAACATTGTTGTCGACGGATTGGATAGTAATGATTTTATTATCATTAGCAGCAACACCTGGCATGGCGATGCATGTATTTTTCAAGTTAGCCAACACCGGGCTGATGTCGTTCATAGAGAGAGAATAAGTTGCACGTCTATGCACTCGTTGGGCAAGCTTGCTTTCCAACTGCTTTAAACACATACTCGCGATCTGTGGTTTTGCAGGATTCTTTGGATTGTTCAATTTGTTTATGGCTTCCTCTATCGAAGGACCAAATTTCTCCTGAAAGTTTTTCTCGTGTGGCGTTTCGGCTGGTACAGAAGTCATAGCCGACAAATTCTCCAGTATAAACACTATCGGTTTCAGTATAATCCTGTGCTTCTCGGCAATCAATTTATCCTTCTCTTCGACACTCAACCAGATATTGTCCTGTACTTTTTGCACCTCCATTTCCAATTGTTCGAATCGCTTGGAGATTTCGGTGTGATGTTGGCACAAAGTAGCCAACCACAGTTCGTCCCACAAGAGTGTGATTCGTCGCAACTCCTTCACCAGTATCTTTACCTGCTCGATAGAGTCTTGAATTCGATTCGATAAGCAATCTACTAACTGCGTGAAACAACAATCCATAAACTTCTCCTGTTCATCTTGGTAGACAGTAGCGGAGGAATTATCGGTACCACCAACGTCTTCTTCCTCTTCGATGAAATCTAAATCATTTTGAGAAGAATCGGTCTCAGCTTTCTCATAGAGGACCTTGTCGCAATTTTTCTTTTGACCAGAGACTGCTCCGACCACCGCCGGGAACGTGATCAAATGTGGAGAATTCTCTGCAACTCGACACAACAACTCGGAGACTCGTGTTCGCACGTAAGACTCTGGATGGCTAAGTCGCGAAAATAATTGTGGTATTATTTCTTTCCACGGCGCTGTGGGGGTGGACGAAAGTCCAGACTCCAGTACGTTCTGTAATTCAAGAGCATGCTTCACGACTAATCGTAATAATCTAAGCGTAGCTGTGATAGTAACGCAGTCATTAGCATCTTTGATCGCAGCTAGCTGCAGATATTTGAAATACGCATTCGCGGAAAGTTCATAATACGAGTAAACTCTTTTCTGTGCCTGTCTCCAAATGTCGACGAGCATTCCAAGGCGATCGGCACTCGCACTGCTTAATATAGGAATGCTGCGTAATTGATTTTCTACCATGTCGGAGGTATTCACGTCATTAGATGTGTCCGCGATGTCGCTTTCATCTTCTGGAATCGTTCTGAACTGTGACAAAATTGAAAAGATAGCGTTTAAGTCGGTTTCGTCTGTGTCAAACGGTAGCAATTCCTGTATGGTCTTTCTGTCGGTGTCGGTAAGCTGACCCGAATTCGAATTATCTACGATCTTTCTTCCCCATTTATAGCACCAACTGGCAAAGCTGTACCAGGCGAACGGTAAATCGGGGCATTGGTTCACACCGAGCTGCGTTAATCTCCCGATTATCATATCCGACTCGGGTATTGAACTTGTGGTAGGTCCGAATAATTTGTTCATCAAGCCGTCGTTGTGAGCAGCCTCAAAATCGAGCAATTGTTCTAACTGGCCATTTTCGACACTACCAGCCTCTTGTTGTATCCATTTTCCGAGAGTGAGAAGAAGAATTGTACCGTACTCCCGTAAGTCAGACGATTGTTCTCCTTCGACGATCGCACGCGATATTCCAAGTGCGGTTGCGCTACACACCTTCATTGCTTTGTTGGTTCGTTCCATGTCGTATAATAATTTTGAGTACTCTCGGAATGCTCGTATATTGTTCTTCGACCACTTCACGCGTACCACGTTCTTCAGGATGTCTTCGGTTACTTGATCGAAATTGAGTTCGACGCGATTATTCCGTTCTGCTCCTTTTTCTTCAAACCAGCACAGGTCTCGTTCGGATTTTAAGTAATTCAAGAGTTCGCGTTTCGCTAGTTCAAAGTTACCTTCCTTTCTAGCAGTACGAACAATATGTAGTCGTAGGTCGGCGACGTCATTACTGTTTAACATCGGTTTAGAGTCCTTCTTTCTTACTCTACCAAAATATTCTGACCACCAGAGAGTTCGCGTTAAAACACTTGAATCCATATGATCGACTTTCTCGCTCTTGTACAATTCAAACACGTTTTCTTCTCGGTCAGATAATAAGCTCTTTAATCCGTCAGCCGAAAATCGTACCAATACCGATTCATTTAGATATTCCGAAGGCACGTTTCTTAGACCTTCTTCCATAATTTTAGCTGCTACTTTTCGACATCGTTCGATCTCTTCTTCGAAATGATCTTTGTAATCGTTCAGATAAATCCTGAATGCGATATTACTTAACGTGTTACTACATTCGACTAAGGTTTTCGCACAACTCCAATTGCCTGGCTTTCCAGTTTCATCTTCCAATAAATTCCAATCGGTCAGGTAATCTAGAGGTATAGCTTCTCCGTTTTCGAAGTTTTTTAAACATTTTGCTTGTCGGTAGGCACCGGTTTCTGATGGAAAATGCTTTCTAAGTGTAATGCTTTTGTCGCGTGCAAGAATTTCAACTTCCTGCTGTTTCCAGGCTTCTAACTGAGTCCAATCGGTGACCGCTTCATAACAATGAGATAATCGTTGCATACAAAAGCTAAGCACTTGATTGTCTCCCTCTGGTTTTATGCGTTTGCCTTTAGTGTCGGAGGAAAGTTCCTCATTGGCGTTAATACCTTCAACGCCACTGCCGCAGCTAGTACCAGTTCCGTCACCTTCGTCCTCTCCCTCTTCTTCTTGTTCCAAATCTTTTTTCGGTCGATTATTCACAGAACGCGTATACTCATCAATAATTAACTTGTACGCTTCGGCAGCGGATTCATAGTGATTCGCAGCTTCTTCCATCGCGGCTTTCAGCCATGGAAATTTTCTATCTTTTTCTTTAGTATAAACGTAAAGTCCTTGTAATGCTTCAGCTTCACCCAGCATCACCATCGCTTGTGCTGTACAAAGCGTGGCCCTTTCGAATTCGATACCCTGCGTGTTATCACTGTTGCTTAGATCTTCTAACAATCTTTGACTATTTCTTAACGCGCTACTAGCCAGACCAGAATGCAATGATACTACACACAATGCTAATCGAATACGATTTAACCATTCCTTGCAAGTCGATTTATTCGTGTGAAAAAAGGTCCTAACTGGTTTCGATAAAGGCAGCAAGGCAATCGCACAACCCTCAGCCGCATTGTGTATCACTCTTTCAAGATGTTCAAGGAATTCGATAAATAATCGAACGCGGGTATGTTCGCTTAGTAGATGATCCAAACTTCGTTTTTCTTTCTTGGTTACCTCCAAGCTATACGATATCTCACGAGCCAGGGTTTTCAGAGCACTTTCGATTGATGTAAATGTTTCCTGCGGTTTTCCTAATGAGGTTCGTAGTTTGTTGATTACACAGTGTTGAGCTGCCTCAAATCCGGCCCAAAAATATAAAAAGGATTGATTTGCCAGTGCCAATCGATACATCTTTCTTGTCGTTTCGTTTTCGGACCTACAAATACAAATAAAATTCATACTCTTTCCTTACAATTCATAGTAATATAATCTCATTTGTTTATGTCATTTTGAAAGATTTATCTACCACTACTTATAGTATTTAAACTTACAAAATTGGACAGCATAATGTGAATATTTCTGATAATCCAGAAGCATCTAGATACTGTTCTTGCAATAAAAAAGCCATATATGTTTTGAAGTGTTGAGCTTGCATTTCTCCGTTGTTGTTTCCCCGCATATGTAATCTTTGAGCAAGAATTAAGGACTCGGTCGAGTAACTCTTAATAGTCTGATATTTCTACGAGAAAATAAATCCAAGTTGAATCGTGCTTCCAATCGTATGCTATTAAAACTTTAACTAATTTTTTAAAACCGTACCTTTGTTTCCGACAATACGCGTTCCTTGTTGAGTTTTGGTATTACTATATTTAGGGGTATACGTGTCAATAGCGAGCCATACTTTTCTCGCACAACTTCATCTCGCGAAGTTAAATGTAACGTTACCAAATCCACTATGTACATGTAAATTTCTTCTTTCCATGTAACATTTCTTGCACTCATTAATATCTCGAAGAGATTACAAACAGCAATAGAAATGTCTCGATCGATAGTAGCTCCACAAGTAACTAGACTTGATAGAACGTTCTCATATTCTTTTGTTTTACTTAAGATACCGATATAGTTTTCTGATTGTATACAAATTTCTTGCATCCACGTTGATAAAAGCAACAATGTTTGCTCAGGTGTATGTTCGTTATAACTTTTAGCTATCAGATTGAGAATTATAGAAAGATGACCACTAGTAGGTGATGTTGTTGGAACATCTAACGCGCCAGGAAACATATCTATGGGACGACAAGCAGTAGTTCCAGTTATTAAGCTTGAACTTGGTACAAAATGATTGTACCTGAAAAAAAAAACACATTGTAATCGACTTATAATATTGAAGTTAATTTCTAATGAATGTACTTACCTGGAACAATGAGCATATAACAAATACAAAATACTATATTGCAATAATGGACTGGAGGCTGATAAACTACTGTCATAAGGTTTCAACTTGACTGCCAACAATTCCAAGATGCTTGGTTTTAATGCCCACATACCAATGATTGAATTACTCGCGTTTGCTAAAATATTATGTACAAAATAAATTATTATCTTTGATCATTTTAATTGATTTTCGTACCAAAATACATAAATGTTGTTACCTATATCGGAAAGAGCTCTCAATAAAAAAATCACCACAATTTCCGCGTCGTTTTTTTTATATTTTATGTCGTCAAGTAACGGATTGTCTGCTACTAAGTTTTCAATATCTGATAAAATAAGTTTATAAGCAATTTCTAAATCGGACAATATATAGCGATATGATTCCTGTAGCAGTGGAATATTTTTTAAGCTAAGCAGACTGTGATATACTCCTAGACTGGCGTTCTGAATAGAAATTGAATCGCGAAACCTTAATTTAAGTAACGCAGAATCTTTTCCAAGCAATTTGTGCACTAGTTCCAACGGAAGGTTCGCGGAGACTTCCTTTATTATTTTCGAGATGGTATTCAGCATAGAAATTATTGTGTCATCCCAAAAGACGTTTACTCTTTTTAACTGAAGATCGATAAATTTGTAAAGTAATTCGTGATTTTTCGTTATACGGCTTTGAAGATAGCCTAACAATAAAAATGCGCATTCATTAGCGACTATTATTAATTCCTCTTTTTCTTCAGTCAAATCCAAGCTCTTTTTGGCTTTCAGTTCCATCCATCGTACAACGTTTAACAACGATTCCCTTTCTTTTAACGAAGTCTCTTTCTTGATGTTATGTTTCAAATTTTTTAAATCATTCTTATTAAGGTTTAATGACTTGAACATACTAACGATGTCATCTTCGTTCAATTCCGACTTGTTCGAGTTTTTTGTAGGTATAATGCTTACGTTTTTAATATGCTTCAGTAGTTCATCGGCACCTTCAGACGTAAGTGCGAAATTTGTAAGCAAAATTTCTGCGTCATCGTCCAATTCGATCGCTTTCACGACTGTTTTCAGCATTTTTGACAAACACTCGGATAGAAATGACCACTGAACGTTCGGTGTAAGATTAGGATTCAAATGCTCGGATATACTTTTCGTGACTGTATTGAATACCGAGATCAAGGACGTAATGCGACGAATACATTCTTTGGGTGTTGGAGACGTTTCGTCTCCAGGTGAACTTCTACCAGACTCTGGTAAAGATAATTCCTCGTCATAACTTTCCATGTCTTCTAAAAACTGTCCCAATAATGTTAAAGTAAATTGTAGATCAGCTATCCAAAATGTTCGTAATCTTTGCAAGCTACGACTAGCATAAGTTGCAATAGCCTTTTGTTGCGTCGAATCGATATGCCAGCCCACTAATATGTCAACTGTATCACGAAAATGGTTTGAAAACGTTTCTGGATAAGATTCCATGATTAGCAATATAGCATCCACTGTTGCTACCAGTAAGTCAGAACGGTCGACATTCTCTAGAGTTGACTGTAGCTGTGACATCATTAACTGCAACAAGTAGTAACATATTTTATTTGCTGTATCATCTATCATAAAATCATTTAATAAATAAAGAGATAAAGAATACTCAAGTACCACTGAAAATTCTTTTAGCCTTGGAGATTCTACATCCAATTTAAAAGCTTCGATAAATGATTTAATTAAAAGGCACTTTATGTCGTCCTTTCTTTCCATTGAACATTTATTGAATACCCAATCCATGTATCTACAAATATGAAGATAACAGAATTAAGAAAAGAATTTCAAAAATAAAATAAATGATCACGAAATGACTAGATTTTTTGTTTACCGTTTAAAATCTTGTTCAGCAGCATACCCAATACGACCTAAACACTTTGCAACCTGTTGTTTCGCTTCTGGTCCAGGACCAGTGTGTAATAAATCCAATAGACTTTCACAAATAACATCCAAATTTCGTCGTATATACCTTTGATTTTCAGCTGCAATTATACCTTCTTGCGCTTGTTTACATAACACCATAAAATGATCATAATCATCTTCCCGACACAATCGCCTCAAAAGTTTAGAAATTCTTGAATCTTCTATAATATAATAAAATTAATTTTTTAATGTATTTGTATTATATTGAAATGTAAAACAAATAGTATATTTCAAGTAATCAAAGGTGATATAGTCAACAAACCATATATTCTTTTATCATCGTAGTATTTTCCCTGTGCATTTTCTTGGTTTTTCAGCGATTCTTGAAATTTTGGTCTAGTTGTAGGATAATAACTGGTTTCAGCATTTGAGTCTCGATCAATGGGTGTTTTTTTAAAGGCTCTACCCCGTAATGTACCTCTGGTACGATCTCCAGAGCTGCCTCCACGAGCCATTCGAAATTCATTGCGTGGAACGGCACCAATTCTGAAATAATTTGGAAAATTTGCTACCTTCAAATTATAATTAATAATTTATTAAAGAAATATCTTACCTTGGTTTGAATCTGGGGAAGCTATGCTCAGAAGAATAACTGTTTGTATTTCTTTGACAAATAACCAATGTACCTCTTGGAGCATTGAAATCATTTGCATTATAACCACTTAAAACATTTATGTCTCCTTTTTCTAACACTCCAGCACGATTATTACCAATAGATTCTTCCTGTATCTCCGAGCACTTAGATCCACGTAGCTTCGTGCTAATATTAGAGTTCCCACAGCTATTCATTACATTACTCTGCAGACAATCTGCATAACCTATACTTTGCATTAATAGTATACCAATCAAATAATGATGAGTTTCAATGAGTAATAAAAAATATAAAATCACAAACGTTGTACAGCTAAATATAGTTCAACATAAAAATCCCAAACTTTCACATATTGTTAAGGTTAGTTCATTTGCATCCACATCTTTCACGACTAAAGATGTTCCATGATCAAATGATAAAAAAAATATAAAATAATGAAAAAAGAAGTAAACTATGTCTAAAAATTAAAAATCTACTACAAAATCGACAATCAAATTATTTACGTATAAAAGATACAAATTTGTAAGATGAATAACTAATAGCGTAGTATCTACTTCGGTTTATTGCTTTTTCCAGAAAGCAATATCGTAATCACGCGGAGCACACTTTGATCTCACGTCGAAAATATTTCGTACTAATATTCGAAAAAAAAATTGAAGAGCAAAACGGTATTGTAACCGATTTTCCACGCGTTCAATCTATAGGTATACACCGTATCGACAACAACTAATCAACAAAGTGTACCTACATAAAAATTTATAAATCGTTGAAAACGAAAGTACATATATCACGATTTTATTCGTATAGTACTTTGCGCATAAGAGTTTTTCGAAATTCTAGGTATATCTGTTTAAATTAGTAGAATTTGGTGAAGATACAAGGACCAACCACAGAAAGGTGAAAAGAATCAAACATCATTTACTAGTATAGTATCTTCCATACCATTCGTTGATGTGCTTTATACAATAAATGGGTTCGAGTGAACTGCAGATATGTTTGATATTTTTTTTTATTGTTAAGACCCTTCCTATCGATAAATTTATCGAAACTTTTGCAATTAAAAAACGATAGTTGTTAAAATTGAAATATATTCGAAGCAATGTAAAAACTAAGCACAGAATTAGTAATAAGTACGTTACATTTTCAAAGTTGTAACAAATTGTTTAACAGTGTAATACAATACATAAAAATATATATTATGCAAATAAAAAGTATCATCCGGAACAATCATAATTCTTTCTAATCTATATTATGTATACGTATATAAACTTGAAATTGTTTAACATGTTTTACCACAGGATCGATTTATAATAAAAAATCAAGTCAATTAAAAAAATATAAACTAATGTAAAATAGTGTGAAAATTATGTCTAGTTTAATTTAAGTAAGTGATTGGTCTAAATCGACCAAATCATCAAATTTGTATAAAAAACTTAATCTGTCTCACTGTACTGTATTACTTGAAAACAAACCTTTAATATCTCTGCAGATTATTCTCTCGTCGTTGCTTTTTATTTTTTCTATTACATTCATCAAGTTTTTATGATAAAAATTTCATACAATATATTCAACAAGCTAATTTATATTGAACACTATGCGATCTAGTAACCTTTTTAAATTATAACCTTTTATTTACAAGTTTTTATTTACAAGAACGGTATAATCTTAAATGACTGAAATTAACTACATATAGGTTAAACATTCTTTTTATAATTATAAAAACACAAATAAATTTGTATTACTGTGTATTTAATATTCTGATAGTTTCCAAAGTCTTTTAAATTTGACTATTATCAATAGTTAAATACACTAATAATATAACGTTTAGTATTACAAGATTATATTAACTATATTGACATGTACAATTTAATGTTCTTCTTCATCGGGCAATTCATCTTCAGGAGTATCTTGAGCATCCTCTGAATGGGGCCATAATGAAATGTTCTCTTTACTCCATGTTCCATCAGGATATAGGATACAATAATCCTCTGCTGTCATTAGCTGAATTGGTAGCATAGCTTTTATATCTGCTATTTCTGCTTGTAACACATTAATCTCCTTATCTACGTTTTGCTTAAGCTGGTCTATTTCTTTAGCCTACAACATACATAATGTCATTAAAATGTACAACGTAAAAATATAAAATATAAACAAACAAATTTTATTACAGATTCCTTCTCTGCAGCCTCAATTGCTGATGTATATTTATCAGCTGGATATGGTATTGATAATGCTTCATACTCCTTTTGAAATTTTTCTACTAAACTAGGAGCTGAAATATTTTTCTTATAGTATGCCCAATCAATCGCTGGTGGAGATTCAGGGTTGGCCATCATACTGTAAAATATTAATTTATCTTTATATCAATAAATTTTTTGTTATAATCTAAGTTATTTTTTTACAAAATAGCAGTATACTTTTTGCTTGCTTTAATACAAAATGATCTTAAAATTATTACAGCCTTTGAACATGCAGGTTATGACATCTTGGTATTACATTTCCATGTAAAAATTTCTGTTCAATTAAAAGGTGATAAAAGTTTAGTTACAATTCTTAAATGGATATTAAGATATCTGTTAAGTCATTTAACTTTAACAAAACAAAAATGTACATGTGCAAATATTATATAACATTATATGTGTAAGTGAAGAATTGATTTGGTGAAGCTTACTAACCGTTGTAAATATTGGTCAGATTTAGATTTAAAAGCGGCCAATGCAGCTTTTTCAGCTTCTGGAATTCGCTCGGCAAGAGCTGCCCAGTTTATAACTTTAATCGCTTTTCGTGACATTTTTAGATCATGTATCAAATCCACCCGTTGACGTACAGACCAACCTCCGTCTGGGAGTGCTTCCTAACTCAACAAATTATAAAATTTTATCTATCGACTACTCGAAACTCCTGTCTAGCGAGATGTAACATCGATCACACTATAATCGATATGAGGATTCGATTTAAAAATGTCGAATTAATCGATACTTATCTCGCACAGTGTGCGAGATATTTCGATAAGTAACATATATATATTACTTATATAAATATATAGAAAATTTATTTAATTTTTATGTAAAATTAAATCAAATACAAGCACAGATCAATAAATTAACTATCAGAAGAAACAATTTTCCAATTAGTTATATATGTTTTGTAATTGCAGATATTCAGTATGTATACATTTATCTCATATTTATATGTATGTAAAATAACACTTGTTGAAATATGTTTTCGTAGGTACTTGGTTGGCATAAGTTTAAAATATTTCATTCAACCTTATTTTTGATAAAATTAACAAGAATCAACAATATTTGTTTAAATCATGCATATAATATATATGACTGCATGTTATGTGCAAGTCATAATTTGTACATATTTACAAAACGTGCATATGCACAGTGTATGCATACACACTTATATGTGTACTATAATGTAACCGTGCATGCACGCGCGTGACGCACAACGTGCATACATAGATGCAACATACATAGTTGCACATACATAGTGATGAAGCGTGGACTGCAGGATCGATAGAAGAGAAAGATCGTGGTCACGGGGTACATGGGGTATGGAAAAGGAAAGTAAAATAAGGTAGGAGTAGAGGGAGTAAAATGGACATTAGGTGGGTGCGAGTGGTGCGTGGTTGTTGGGGTGGTGAGTGACAAGGGTGGGTGGAACGGGCGGAGTGGGCGGCAATGGTCAGGCGGTGAGCATAAAGAGGATAGGATAATATCGGTGCGCGACCTCCGCGGTAGCTTCAAGTTCGCCGCTTTAATACCGGCAGATCTACGATGTAGTTATGCCGAAGAAAAGCACAAGGCATGTGAGAGAGTCGGGGTTAACGAGAAGTTCTCATCATAAAAACAGTAATCCTGGAATAGCGTCGGAATCGAAAACGAAACACTTTCGAAGTGTTCGCATTGGTCTTACGAACGGCAAGCGTTGGCTTTCTCTTAAGAAGCGCTTAGGCCTGTCAACCGATGAAGATGTTGCAGTTTATTTACTTGATCTTGCTGAATCTGCATCCAGGTAAATTTAAGTAAATTTTTCGTAAATACAATTTATTTTTTCTTCGATAAATTAAGATATATGCTTTAATATTATTTAGTTTCCATTAGAAAAAAGTATTTAAATAAAATTGAAGTGTTTTATTATTAAAAAACGAAGCTTTTGCACTATGTCTAAGTTTTCCCTCGAATCGCCATATTGTATAGTTGACGTTAAGGGATGAAAATAATCAATAATTACTTATTCAGTGGAAACACTGTTATAGACTTAGTTGACTTTATTACATTTCATAATTTTTATTTTTGATGGAAACAAATATGTCAGTATGACAGAAATGTTCGATTTATTCTATGACAAACGAGAAATTTAGATAAATCGATTTTCTTGCAGCACTTATGTCTGAGTTAGCAACTATTGACAATTTTTCACTTTATATTAATTCCAATTTTTGGTTATTGTATACTTAATAACATAAAACTTAGATTTTGTTTTAAAAATTATTCTTTTTGTGTATAGATTTTTCTGAATTGTTTATATATTTTTTCTTAAAAGGCACAGTACAAAGTGCAATGAAGAAGAAGAAAGGGAAATGGATCAGGATAAGGGGGATAAAACAGAAACGATGTCGACTGAAAACTTGATGGAAGATACAAGAGAGTCTCTACGTCGAAGCTTAAGGAAACAAAACGTTGGAGTAATTTCAGAGTCTGAGGCACCTTCAGTTGATACAGCCCAAACCAAATTATCCGACGATGTTGAATTACGTGTTCTGCGTAGTGCAAGATCCAAACATCACAAAAATAAAGCTAAGCATCACAAAGATAAAAGGAAAAAGAAGAAACATCTTAAAACTGTCGATCCTGTTTCAACTGTAGAAACCATTAAACCACTATCTAGTGATGTAATATTAAAAGATGAGGAACAAATTTCTATTAAAACAGATAATTCTAGATTACTCAGTGATATAGATGTCAAGTCGAATTTAAAAAATAGTCTTCGTGCTGCTAAGAAGACCATTGAATCTGTTATGGCAAAGACTGAACACATAGATAGTATAGAATTTATAGAAAATGTAAATACTAATAAAAATGTAGTTTACCACAAAATTAAAAATGATGCAAAGAGGATAATGACAGATGATGACAAAAGGGAGTACTCAAAGTCTAATAGTTTAACAACTTCTCCTATTACTCAAAGTATTGAAAATGCAACTGAACAAATCACAAATTTAACAGCTGATGCTGCTTTTCATGTTCAGTCTAATGAGATAAAGGATGATGAAAATGTTTCTGGCAGCATTCCATATGATGACCATCATGAAGTTGATAATGCAAATTCTTATTGTTCAAATATTGATACAAATATGGTTCAAGAAGTAGAAGATCGAAAATTAAAGAAGAAACGGAAACGGTTGAAGTACGATATCGAAGATGAAAATGACGAAAATAGAAAGGAAGATTCATCTGATGAAGTTATAGATGATTCTGTACATAAGCATAGAAAAAAGAGGCACAAACATACTAATGAACATAAAAATCGTAAGCATCATGATGTACGGAAAGCACCACAGGATGGCATAATCATGCAGGAAGATAAGAACATTTGTTCTGTAGCAAATGATACATTGGCTGTTATGGTTGAAAAGCTTCAAACTGAGACAAACGTTGAAAATTTAATGTCTGAGCCTCAAAGATTAGCCATTAAAATAAAACTTTGTCAAGAATGCAATAATCGCCACTTGCAGGATGCCTGTCCATTAAATATGCCCCAGTATGCAATTCCAGACTCCATATCCTATGAAGATTGGTTAAACAAGCATAAAGGAAATATCGAAGTTTTAAAGGCTATAAAGTCAGATGATCCTATGTCTGAAGGATATGGGAAAGCAACAGAAGATAACATAGAGTCTGATGATGATTCTGTGTTGAATGAACATTGCAAAACAAAGGTGAAGGCTCAAAAAGAGGAAAAGCAGTTAATTTTAGATGCTGATCGACCATTATACGCTAGGGATTCTTTACCCGAATGTTTTGAGTTAAAAATCACTAATTCAGAGCACGGACTCGGAATATATGCGAAAAGTTCTGTTCCAATGCATGTTAAATTAGGTCCTCTTGTTGGAAAACCAGTAAAGGAAATGGATATTCCTGATGATTTCCCTATGAGACATATTTGGGAGGTAAAATCAATGCAATATTTCTTTAATTTTTATACATAAATTAATTTGTATAATGTATATAAAATATAATATTCATTAGGTGTTTCTGTGATAAAGGGGTATATTCTTTTTTTTTTTAGATAGATAATAATGGTAAAACCTTGTACATAAGCACCACTAATCCATTAAAAAGTAATTGGATTCGTTATATTAGACCCGCTGACACAAAAGAAGAACGAAGTGTTGCAGTAATTACAAAACAAGGAGAATTGCACCTTGTTACCACTCAAAATATTGTATCGGGAATGGAATTAACATACTGGGCAGATTCGCAATCTTCGGCATGGACACGAAAAAATAAAGTAGACAAAACGAGTATGGTATCATCTTTTTTAGTTTCAACATTGATAGTGAATTAGTTATTATTTCTTTTATTTCTTTTTGTCCTGTCTAGATTGTGGGGGATGTAATTTAAATTTTGCCCATCCGATATATTATCGCTTGCATTGTTGCATTTTTCATGATACCAACTACAGTTTGACCATAAGAAAATATCATTGTAAGGTAGGAAAGAATTAACTAACTTTATTTCCTCAGATTGGTTTTACGAAAAAAAATTAATAATGTCAACTATATGTTGTTTAGGTATGTGGAGCTGCTGTTTTAGGTAAAGATAACATAATGAAACATGCTGCAGAATTACATGCTGGTCGAGGAGCATATCAGTGCCAGTATTGTAAAAAATTCTTTTTACGATTAAATTACCTTGAAATGCATCGAACCTACGGATGCTCACAAAATCCACAACGTTCGAGACCATTATGTGATTTTTGTGGACGGAAATTTTGTCAGCCACAAAAACTGAAAGTGCATATCAAACGAATGCATAGCGGTAAGAGTTTGCATACTATGGCATGTAAAATATTTAATGAATTTTATCTGTTACTATTTAATTGAACTTTCATTTGAATTCTTAGTATTTAACTTAAATTGTAATTTATACAAATACATTAATACTTAGATATGTCCGAAGTACTCCGAGAATTTCAATGTAAACTCTGTCTGAAACTTCTTGGTTCTCGTGCTGCGCTTCAACGGCATATGAAAGAAGTTCATCATAAAGATGTCGTTGGCGCTGCAACTTGTGATCGATGCGGAAAAATGTTTCAGAATAAGAGTAATTTAAAAATACACATGTTAACACATAGTGGAGTAAAACCGTTCAAGTAAGATTGCAGTAACTAGTATTTTTTGGATTATGTATAAAAGACATTAAAAAACAAATTCCCCTTGATTTTCAGATGTAAAGAGAACAGTTGTAAAGCAGCTTTTACTACCAAGCAATGTTTACAATTTCATTATAAAAAAGTACATGGCCTTACGGAAGAAATGATGCCAAAAATTGAACGTTCCGTTGCGTACACTTTCGATGCGTATAGCGGTGGACTCGTCGAAGATGTTGGTCGCGGAAAGACACCTCGACCTAGTAAAAGAATTTCTCAGGTATGTCTCGAATCAACATACCTCTCTGAAACATACATATTTGAAGCTTGAATTATGCATTGTTTTTCCTGTAACTCTTTCAGCAGGATGATAACAGCAACGAAACTTCTTTAGACGATAGTAACTCTAAACACGACTTGAAAACTGAAACACCAAACAGTTCCATGCATTCAACTATTATTGAATTTGGAACGAGCTCTGCGTCCAAATATAAAACGGAGCATAATTCAAGAATTTCAACACCATCACTTTCAATGAATGCATCAACTCTTGAGACAACAGTAGAAAATGTTCGCACGGAGACAGATCTTTATGGTACCTCTAGATTACAAAGTAAAGGTAGTAAAAAATGGCTCGGAGAGTTTAATCCTCCGATTACTTCCGATTCAACCATAGTGTCTAATACAATCTCGCATTTATCGTCGAGCATCGTTACTGGAAGTACTTACGATTTTGAAGACAGTAGAAAAGAAATCGATGAGAAAGTTACTTCATCGACGAGTACAGCTAGAGTGCAAGGGATTATAGAAAATAGTAAGTTAGGTCTTAGTGTTTATAGAAGAACTGAAAGTGCGAGTGCTAGTTTATTAGTCGAAGCAGCTCTTGATGCTGCTGAAAGAGATATAGGAGCTGTAACCAGTCCAATACTGGAGGACAACGATCGAGATACAAATCTTTATTCGATATCCAGTCAGCTACATTCTCCGTTACCTCAAAGATCACCGAATCACTTAGATTCTTACATGCAGCAACAAGAGGAACTGATATCTCCAGTACCTACACCGGACAATCGAAATACACCGCCTACGCACTTACACGTCGATTATCAACTACACCGACCTGTTGATTATATTGATACACCAAGAACACATAATATTGATCAGTATTTACACCACGAAGAAATGCCACGCGTTTCTTCACCAAACAATTATATTCATATTCAGCAGGAAGATTTAGTGTCACCCTCGGCCACACCAAATCCACGTTATCAAGACGTACATCATCATCATCACCACCACCATCACCATCATCATCATCAAATACCCACAGACAATTTGTCCAGTGACGAAGGTGATTCTGTTGCACAAAATCTCAGTCTGTCTGTAAAAGAAAAGGCGATGCAACTAGATCTTTCGACGTCGTATAAATACGATTCTCTCGATCAAGACTTTACCAGAGAAAGGTCAAGTTTTGAACCTCTTGTTCTTAATGGAGAGCTTCAAGGTTTGGACATGTCTGCTAGAGGATTCCATCATGGATTTGGCGTTCAGCTACAAAACTCACGGTATCATCATCATCATTTATACGAAATTGCGGAAAGACAGAGTGTTGATCTTAGTAGAACCGGAGGTTACTCAATATCATCACCCACTTCTCTTTCAGTAGCTTCTCAGGTATCATCTGGTCCCTCTGTTGCTGTGACAGCTCCTTTACCACCGCCTTCAATACCACCGCCACCACCACCACCTCCTCCTCCACCGCCTCCTCCTCCAGCTCCCCCACCTCCACCACCGCCACCTCCGCCTCCACCACCACCACCACCTCCTCCCCCATCATCTTATTCTCACAGCGAAGTTTTGAGAATTGTAAGTTTGGATCTTACTCCCGGTGGACGACATACTGTCGATCTTACTCTTTCAAGATCTCATCATTTACACGGATCCGGAGCTCGCGTAATAACCAGTCCTCAGTCCACAGCTTCCGGTAATCCACACATCGTACCTGATGTGGTGGACGGACGAATTTTATCTTCCCCTCCACCACCGCCTCCTTTGCCGGGATATAATCCAAGTTATCCTGTAAGTCCTGCACCGTATCATCCACCTAGACCAGGCTATCATCATTATTCCGGTTATTACTAATTCATAATTCTCTTCAATCATTTGCAATATTTCTAATTACTCTTGTTCTGTTACATTCGTTCACATTTGTTTCCTCTTTCATACACATAAACTTTCTTCAAATAATCTCTTCCATGTAACACATCATTCTATTTGTAAGTTCGTTTCGCACATGAAATGACAATTCATTTATATATAATTCCTTCAAAAATTTCTACTATAACTCGAGTATTTTGTGTTTTGTAGGAGGGAACTTTTTATGCTCGTTGAATTAGAGATGTTTTTTTACTTATCGAAATACGATCAGTAAATAATAAAATCCAATTTAAAACACGTTCAAAACTACTCGTAGATCCTTACCTTTCGGATTAAAGTACAATCCTGAAACAGAGATGCGCACAAACACAAAAAGGTAGAATGTGTCGAAAAATGTATAGCGAAATATGATGTGTATTTATTATTTTTGAAATGAACATTATTTTTTTAAACTATTTATGGACAAAATTGTAGGAGAAAATTTGTTGGGCGATTACAGGTACGATACCTAATTAGAAGAACCAATTAATTTCTCATCTTTTAGATTAAATATTTATATGATGCACATTTTTTCTATAACTATATAATAAATTCGAACATGACAATTACATTTTCTAATAAAAGGTAGTGTACTCTTCTGGAGAGATATCAAATACTTTACACAAAATATTACTTCAAATATATATTCTTCTGCTTCTTGTTTAATGACAAGAAAATACTTGAAAATCATGGCAGCAACAATATACATTTGTACAACAATATTTTCTTTGGATATTTTAACAAGAATATCATCACCGATGATGTCTTCGAATTTAGGAAAAAAAAAAAAACGAAAAAAATGCTGCGATAGTATTTATGGATATAACATTTTTTATCTTTCAAAAGATTTAAATCATGGTTTTAATTAGTCGCGACAATTCTCGGTTCAGGGAAAAAATCAATCGAGTTGCCTAATGATAGCTATAAGTGAATCTGCATAGTGATAATGAAACTTAAATGTTCATTTTTATTCTAGTCATATTATATTAATTTCGAAGTATTAATCGTAAATTATATATTGTAATGTTGCGGAGATTGTAAATGAATCGTTCGCTGTAAAAGCTGCAATTTTTATTTAATAGTTTGTTCGTTGTTAAACACAAAAAGAATTACAAACTAAGATTGGCAATAATAAAATCAAATTCATTTGCAAAATCCACAACTAGGTTCACATAGCTTTCACATCTGTTTTAATTTCTTTTTCTTATAAACAGTTTATAAGAACCAAAGAATAAAATATCGTGTAATTTTTGTGCCAAAACAAAACGTTCATTATTGTACGTGCGTTTTTAACATAAACCTGCCGATTATTTTGTATTACGTAAAAATACTCGTAGCGTTAACGATTAGTAGGTACATAACATAAAGCTAAATGTACGTATGTATGTATGTATGACTGAATGTATGTTTCGCGTGTGGACATGTTTTATGCAAATGCATGTGTATATACGAATGTATATATACGCAGGTATGTAAATACGTCGATAGATGTGTATATGTGTTGCACATCCTTTAGGTCAGGTAACGAAACGATAAGTTTTTTAATCGCTTTAATTCTGATCATTTTTTTAAATGTATTTTTATTATTGATGTTTTTTTACGCGTTTCTTTCTTTTTTATATTTTAAATTACGTTTTCGTAATTTAGGGCTTCCCATTTTTATTGAATCAGTTTAAAAAGTGATTTCTGTTGTTTTACTTTTTTGTTTAAAAAAAAAGAATATTATAAATAAACGCAGAAATAATCAATTACCTTCTTGTTCGTCTATTCACGTATTACTAGCTATAATTACAAAGAACTTTAACAATGTTCACAAGTACAAATATAATATGGAATACATTTGTATCGAATTTCGTAATATAGCAAACAAAATGAATAGAATAAAATATAAAAGGTAATAATATCATCAAAGTCTCAACAATTTTTTCGTCTATAATTGAAGTAAAATGTGTACCTATTGAAAGCTAACGTTCAATAGGTTCGGTTTTGAATTGACGCGTGTATTCGCGCTTTATGGATACAGCGACGCATCTGGTAAAATAGTGAACTATCTATTCTAAATTGTTCGCCATCTACTGACTACTATCTGCAGATTATAGATTGATAGTTTAAGTCAGTTAAGTCGAGTTGGTCATAAGTGGTCGTAGGTGGTCATAGGTTTTGTTCCGAACAGTTCCAGATACTGATTCGAAGCAGGCCTCTTTGAATTGCTAAGAGAGAGGAAAATGGTTTCATCGGCTGTACGGTCGACCATACTACGTGGTTCCACGGTACAAATAATATTTCGTATCTTTAATTTTATAATATTTATAAAAAGATATTCGATCTTTTTGTGACCATAAAACTTTACATAGGTGTTATGTAAACGACTCAATGCTATTCTGTATGTCATATTCTGTTGATTTGGTTACAGAGATTAGAATCCAAAGAACAATTATATTTCTTTCTTGTTGAATTTTAATTATTTATTACTTGTCATTTATAATTGTTCAATGGTTACTGCTCTGAATTTTTAGTTTACGTTAGGGAACATTTCAGAAACATTTTAATTATTAGAATTCTAAGATTTTGGCAATACAAATAAATATGAATAACTATAATCTAAGAATACTTTTCTTTATTGTATATCAAGGTTAGACATTATGCAGCAGTTGCAGCAGCTGCACAATCCTGCGGTCCTGCTGTACCAGAATGTAAAGTTTTGAGTAATAAAGTCACTATTGCTGCTTATGACAATAATTCTCCAATTACACAAGTGTCCATCATTTTCAGGTATTTCATATAAAATGCATATATCAGAAAAATCTATTGATTCTTGTGTAAATAAGTATTTTATTTACAGAGCTGGATCTCGAAATGAAACATATGATACGCAAGGTATGATACATCACTTGAGGGTATTAGCAGGACAAAGTACATCAAGAGCAAGTGGATTTGCTATAACAAGGAATATCCAACAGCTTGGTGGAAATTTATTGACTGTTGTAGATCGTGAAAGTATAGCATATACTTTACAGATTACTAGAAATAATTTGTAAGTGTTATTTTATTTTCTGTTTTGTTCTTTAAATTAAATTGAATTTTTGTTTTAACTAATTTTATCATGTTGGTAGAAATGATGCTCTAAAGTTTTTGGATTGTGTTGCAACTAAGCAAGTATTTAAACCATGGGAGGTATCTGATCAAGCACCCAGATTACAATATGAACTGCAGTCTATTCCTGATACAACTAGAGTACTTGAACTTTTACACAAAGCAGCATTTCGTAGAGGGCTTGGATATTCCCTCTTTTCGCCAAAGCATCAAATAGGTAAAATTGGTACAGAAACTGTAAGTAAATTTTTTTTAAATTTTTGTGACAAACATAAAATGTACCAATTTTTTAAATAATATTTTGCTTTTTGTTTCTAGCTGCAACATTTTGTCAACTCGTGGTATACTGCACCCAAATGTGCAGTTGTAGCAGTTGGAGTTCCACTATCACATATTACTGCTTTTGCTTCAAATTTGGAAATTTCTTCAGAAGACTGCGCAAATGAAGCATCAAAATACCATGGTGGAGAAATTCGAAAAGAAAAGGGATCGAATTTAACAAATGTAGCGGTAGCTGTTGAAGGTGTAAATATGAAGAATGAGAAAGATGCTTTAGCCTGTGCAATTCTTCAGAGGGCATCTAGTACTGACCCAAGAGTCAAATGGGGTAATAGTTCAAGCCCGTTGTACAAGCAAGTCGCAAACGCTGCCGGCACAGATCCGTTCGCTTTGTCAACTTTTAATGCCAATTATACAGATTCTGGACTTTTTGGTTTTGTTTTGTGTTCTACACCTGACATTGCAGGACCTGTGAGTAAATACGGAAAGAACATAACTTTTGTGACTGTAATAATATATGTAACTTTTATATATTTTGATGTTAATTATTATTTTATCTTAGCTAACAAAAGAAGCCAGTAAATGGTTAAAATCCATGAAGCTTTCTGATAAAGACATTGCTCGTGGCAAAGCTATATTGAAAGCTGAAATTTTGGATGCAGCAGATAATGAATCTATGTTGTTAGAGAACATGCAATATCAGGCTTTGTTTAAAGGACAAATTTCTACGCCGGCTACTTTAATGGCCGATGTTGACAAAGTTTCTGCATCTGACGTTCAATCCGTATGTACTAGTAATAGTGTTGTTTATGCATGTGTAATAAATTCATTACATTACTCCTTATTATATTATTGGCAAACTTATTTTCAGGTTGCTGCTAAACTTTCCAAAGGAAATTTATCTATGGCTGCTGTTGGTAATTTGAAAACTGTACCGTACATCGACGAATTGAAATAGATTATTACGACTGTTACTCCAAAAAAGCAAGTAGCACAAAGTCGATACTAACTCTCTTCAGTACTGTGAAGATCGAGGTCAAGGTATATGTAAACTACAAACCTAAGTCATCACACGTATTTAATAATTATCTGCATTTCTTTGCAGTGAATATAACTGTGTAGATACGAATAAAAATAAAAATTGTTTATTCTCAATTTTGTTTTCTATACAATATAGTGAATATCTATTGCTAAGTTTATGTACATTTATCTATATAGAAAAAGAGAAACATTTTACAACTTCATTTACATAAAATACTGAAAGGAAAAAAGAAAGAAATAGAGATTTTTAAATTTCAATACAGTTTAATTTCTTCTATAGCATAGAACTTATTGCGTCCTTTTTGTAAAAGTTTTGAAGATTTTCCATTAATAGTTCTTTTTAAGATAGGCCTTAAATTTTCCATATCCTTAAATAATTGTAGCTGCAAAGAAAATCAATTAATGATCAAACTGTAAATAATTATATTATTAAAATTGGACCATGGAAATCGGTGCAAATACTTACATGATCGTCTAAAACGTAGCTTAATTTATTAAGAAGTATCGGCACTTCTGGATCTCGTGACAATATGTAACGTTGATAGTGAGATTCTAATAATAAGCTAGACCATTCGTACAATTGTTTGTCAGTAGGCTGTTCTATAATATCGTCGAGAAAATCTTCTTGATCATCCAATTTCTGTGTTAAATATTGCAATAATTGAAGTACTTCGTCGAAATTTAAACCACTTTTTAGATATGATGACAAAGAAACATCAGAATAAGTTAAGCTAAATATTTTATCAAGAAAATAATTTCTTGTGTGCAAGTTTCTGTAAGATGAAGAGTCATCAGCTATACCATTTTGTAATGGTACAAACGTTGCATCAGGACTTCTTAGTGAAAAAATTAAAAGATCGGTTAATAATTTTTCTGGTAGATCCTTAAAATTATTCAAACACCATATAATTGCTTCAATGTCCTTTGACTCTATTAATTGTGGAATTAATATTTCTTGTATTGCAGCGTCGCTCAATCCTTCGTTCACGTAAGATGATATCTGTCTGGAAAGTTTTATAGGAGGTTTCTCTATCGATTGTTTCACGGGAATTGATTCACCTTTTTCCCAGTGGGCTACAGTTGTTTCTTGTATTACAACAATATCATCATCTTCGGCATTTTCATCGCTACCTTTAAAGCGCAAAGATGATCCAAGTAAAGTTGCTATTCTTTGTGGTGCTAAATGGTAGGGTGCAATTGCCAAATGTCGATTAGCAGCAAGCAACAATTTATCTTCAATTTTCCATAATTTTGCATCTCTTGTATACAACTTCAATTTCTGAACATCTTGAACCAATTTAAATTGCACATTATAAATCATTAGTATAGCACCTTCCTCTGAAACATCAGCACCATACATTGCCACAGTAGTTTCATTCAATGGGGTCATAACTACAGGATCTCTTGTATTAATATTGTTGATAACACCAATTAATGTATTTGAACTAGATTCATTATTGGTTTCAGTTAATGAATAACTGTACAACTTGCCATGTGACCCTAATGAAAAAAAAATATGTAAGATAAATTCTGTTTCAATTTTATTGAAGTTTCTTTTATATTCAAAAATAAATCAGGCTACTTACACAATGTTAAGAGACAAGCTCTATTTTTGGTTTGCAATACTGTGTAACCAACTAATTCTTCTGAATTCTGTTTTAACTGGAATTTTTGTACACGCTCTCTTTCTTCTAAATATGTTTCAGTGTTCAGTTTAACAAATACACAACTGTAAGTTTCTTTAGATTCAACTAATAAACATAAACTAATTTTCCCAGAATTACAAATCAGATGGCAATCTAATATTTTCTCATTAGCATTTAAAATGCCCTCTGTAGACCATGATTTCCTATTTTCTATAGCCCATTCTAAAGAAGCGGTAGCTCCATCTTTGCGTACCAGTACAGGAGGATGACTTTCAAAAGTAAGAATCGTATGTAAGGCAGATTGAAATTTATAACCTTTAATATTATTTAAATCTGTCTCTTCTGCAGACCAAAGACGTATTTTTTTCTCATTAAATATAGCGGCATATTGACGCGTTGTCTCATCATAAATAACTTGTGTTGTTAATCGGTCTTTACTTGTCCAACTACTCAGCTGCTTCAAATCTTGCAGCTGTAAACAATTATTATATTATCAGTAAAAAATATAAGGAAACATATGTACATTATGAATGCACATTGTTAAGATCGCAAATTACCTTATATCGTATTACAATATTTCTTCCTAATGTCACAATCGCGCATCCACTTTCCGAATCTCTTTCAACACCTAATAAATTTTGCTGGTCGATAAGCGGACATAACGTATAATATGAATACAATTTTGCCATTTTCAACGGGTTAATCTTTCTTTATAATACACGTGTTCCTTAACTTTATTGTAGTGAAACTGTGTAGATTTCACTGATAAATAACACTTGTCTCTGCAACCGTAGCATGTTTGTAGCTATTTGAGTATATTTTTGCAATAATTTCGAAGTACATTTATATATCAAAGCTTCTATACAGAATCGACATGCAGTAATAAAACACTTTTACATTTAAATTTAATATACGAGCCGGGTAAATAGTATTGAAGAATTTGGACAGGTTAGTTTCGTGCACTGTTCCGTGCTTACACAGAGCAGGCAAAATACAGCGCGCTCTATGTTTTAAAACTTACCAATACTTGAATAAATTTAAATTCAATACTGCGTGAATTATCAAATGAAACAGTACCATTTTTATAAAGTCTTTATATATATTCAGACATACGCCATTTTCTGGAAGGATATACTTTGAGACAGTAGCTGTATCCTTTTTAGTCAAATTAAGTTATTACATGTATAATATATCAATAAGGTGTTTTAATTAATTTAAAGAAAGGTATTTCTGTTTTTAGAAGAAATTACAAAAGTAATGGATCGTATCGTAGATACATTATTGAGTCTACTACAGGACGAAGAACGAATGCTAGGAAGGGATGAAGCTATATATTCCTTGGATGACTTGATCAGCATTGGAGTCTGTCCAGATCATTCGAAGAGTTTCTGGAAGTGAGATAAATATTACTTTTAACTTTACTATAAATAATGCAAAAAATTTTTATTCTAATACGTTAATCACCATTTATTTCTACCAATAAAGGAAAAAATACTGCACTATTAATCGGGTATGTCATCGTTCATTGCTGTCGCGATTCTGAGTCTCTTGACGAGTAAGTAAATTTTTATTTATATATTTGTTAAACTACAATTTTTATGGCTGATATTTTTATGATAATTATACCAACATTTTTCACTAAATTTCACTTAATAACTTTCTTCTTTTAACTGACGCGCGTTCTTTAATCCAGTGCATAACATCACGAAGCTCGTAACATCGCGTCTTTCCGCCGATTCGATTGGAATACCAATCGAAAAGATAGCAAAAGTGTAAATAAAACAAGAAAGAAGATGCGAACGTGACGGAATATAATTATTTTCTCTCGTTTTTCTTCTACTAGGAATTATTTAATTAATCAGATAATTATTTCAGGCGTTGATTACACGATTTGTTTGGACATAGAAAGGGAAAACGATCGGTGCGAAATAATGACGAATAAAATCATTTCCGACGATAGAACAACTGTCTCGGATAATACCCCAAACAGATTACACTATACTTGGCTATCGCAGCAGTAAGTATTTTTTCCGACAATTTCTTGATTTGAAAAACGAAATGAAACTCAAATTATCGTTTTTAGGTGCGAGGTGCGCATCGGTCCCAAGTATGTTATAAGAAAATACAGTTTCTTCGAGAATGGAACATTTCTCCTGCTGCAATATCATTATGCCGAAGACTCGTGCAGCATCGCGACGTACACCGTGGTGGCTCGAGGTTCTATTGAAATTTCCTCGCCTTCAATTACAGTCCCAGGTGCCACAGAAGCTAATGTTCAACTATTTTCAGTTCACTTGATACCTTTTAATAGACAGGTAAATTGCTTGCGGTACGTTGTTTCTATTTGTTGTATTCTTTTAAAATGATTGCTTTGCAGATCGCTCACAAATTTGGACATAAGATGAATTCGAGTTGCGGTGGTATCGAAACAAAGTGGCGCCCATATTCGTCGCAACTAATTTATGAACATCCCGGAGATTTTCCGTCGACCGTAAACGATTACGAATTGAATTCGAATTCGTTACAGAGTCGATTACCACGACCCAGAAAGCAACACACATTGGACTGCTTGGAATTCTTCGGCATCGAGTTTATTGAGTTAAGATTGCTTCGGGTGGAGATAAAACAATTCAGTTTAGCAACAAATTCTTCAAATCGTAAAACAAACGATACAGATAAACAGCGTGGAAGAGTGGAATTATTACTCGGTGAACTGACTCGAAATGTTCGTTCCGAAAAGGCAGAATCAGTTCCAAATCGATTACAATCCACAACGCTGTTGCGCGCTGACACTGTAAGGACATTCATTTTCATATAAAATGAGTATTCGAATATACTATATTTCTTATATTGCAGGCTATTGGTTGTCCAATTTGTGGCAGTGTATTTCGTGCCACCGAGTTCAGTCCACCGTTGTTTCATCAAATTCCTCTATTTCCAGCCGTGATCGGCGGCCGTTGGTTGAGCGTCAGGTGTGAAAGCGTCGACGGAGGTTTCTGGTCCAGGAGATTTTTTCGAATATACTCGGAAGATAATCGATGGTCTGCACGTTGGACGTATTATGCTGATCCAACATGTTCGAATTCCTTGTACGTAGTTACCGCAGCTGGTAATTACATTCAGCGAGCATTTGGACAAAAACGAAGTGGGACAAGTCGATTTAGGAGGGTCTTCAATACTCGAAATTCTGAACGATTAAGTAAAAGGACATTCAACGACGATGTTGATGCAAATAAGTTCAAAGATGTCGTGCTACCCTTTGGTACAACAGAATTAGAGTTACAGATTGTTGAGAGTCTGTCAATTCCTGTCAGCAACGCAGTATCAACTCTTTGTGGTAGAACTATGAAAGGAAGTAAAGAAACTAAAAAAGTAAAAGGAGTGTCAGCAAAATCAGGGAAAAGTTCCATTTTGTATTTATGGTCGAAAAGTTGTGTACCACGAACTGTTCAGGCTCCAGCAACTTTATTATTTAAAGCGAAAGTCAGTCTTGATTGGAACGGGGATTACATACTTCTTCTAGCCTCGTGGAAAGATGATCTCTGGAACGCGCCTCTGTATCGATGCTCCGGAATTGCTTCACGAAATTACTTTCGAACGGAGAATAGTTTGCGTGGTTCTCTACACGAGTATTCATATCATCTGCCATTTTTTAAAGCACGCAATCGATTCAAACGTCTGAGCAGACATGGACGACACTGGTTCTCTTCCACCTTTTCTTCTTATTTTTTGACCAGCGGTGCTTTGTTCGCGCACCCAGCACCATTACTTCTTTTATACTGCTTTCTTGCCGTTAATAAACCACAGTTCATAGAGTGATGAGAGTGTATAAATTAATCGTATAAACTGATTATCGAAAATTAACGCATTATATGAAAATTACAACTCTGTATTTTAAGAATGATAAAGTGAAGAAATTATTCGTAAAATACGAGTGATTAATTGATACTAAATCCAATTACATAGATTCATTACTATCCTATCATAGATCCAATATAAAAAAAATGAGTCAATCGAACATCGATCAAACACGATATTCGACCATCTTCTGTCTGATGATGCCGCGTTAAAGTTTCTGACCAAAATTATGATATCATTTAATTCAAGATTTCATGGAAGAGTATGAGTAGCTTATAAATTACGTATGATTAAGGCGATGAATTTTGGTCCCTTTATAAACTATCAATAGCTCTTTGATCGATGATCGATCAACCTTTCAACCTAGCAGCCCTATATGTTTTGTGAAACGAAGAAAAGGAGGAAGGAAATAAATTTCAAGCATGGACAAATACGAAACGATAGAAATCGTAGGAGAAGGAAGTTACGGCATAGTAATGAAATGCAAACACAACGAGACTGGACAACTGGTGGCTATCAAACGGTTTCTGGAAACTGAGGATGACCTGCAAGTGCGAAAAATGGCCTACCGTGAGATTAGAATGTTAAAGGTAGGTAAATGTTATTTCGTTGATCGAGCTGTCGTCTCATTTTACTTCCCTTTTCCACAGAAATTGTGTCACGAGAATTTGGTAAACATGATCGAAGCGTTTCGTCGAAGGAAACGACTGTACCTCGTGTTCGAATATATGGACCATACTTTGCTGGAGGAACTGGAACGTATCGGTGGCGGATTGGGTTGGGAGATCTCCAAACGACACGTCTACCAGGTCCTTCGGGGTTTAGATTTCTGTCACAACTATAATGTAAGTTGTTCTCTATTGTTCGATAGACTCAAACTTATTACAGTATCCTTTTAACAGATTGTCCATCGCGACGTGAAGCCCGAGAATATTCTGGTGTCTTCGCATGGGATAATCAAGCTGTGCGATTTTGGGTTTGCACGTATGGTGAATGGTGCGAACGAATCTTGCACTGATTACGTGGCAACCCGATGGTACCGGGCACCGGAACTCTTGGTTGGCGATCCACGATATGGGAAACCAGTAGACGTGTGGGCCACGGGTTGCTTGTACGCGGAAATGGTAAACGGAGATCCTTTGTTTCCGGGAGACAGTGACGTCGATCAGCTCTACAGGATTACCCAAGCGCTCGGTAAGCAGAGAATTCCATAAATTCAGACTTTCGCTTGTACATATATTTACTCGCAGGTGGTCTCTGCAAGAAGCATCAAACGTTAATGAAGTGTGCTGGACCTGGTCAATTGCTGCGACATACAATTGCGGATGAATTGGTAGGACTGCCGAGATGCGCAGTCCTGTCCATCCGTAAACTCTTTCCTAATTGGGATTCCGTTACTGTCGACTTCTTGGCTCAATGTCTACACATGGACCCCGAAGTACGACCTAATTGCTCGGCGCTTTTGCAACATCCTTTCTTCTTGCGGGACGGCTTTTCTGACCAGTTTCTCGTGACATTGCTCGATTTTCTTCAACGAGAATCTGTTACGAATCCTCTGATAGCCAAGAGATTCGAAGAAAGGTGGAGGAGCGTCTCGCTCTTGGCAAATCATCAGCCCGAATCGTCGAAGAAAATCTTGACCGAACCTGGAACGCATATCTACACGTACATATTTCTTTAACATCCATTCATATAAAAATTTATATATTGATTTATGATATAATTTTGTAGATGGCGTATTAGTATCTGCGAGGATGAATCCCGGCGTAGTCTTGATGAAACGGAGTTAAAAATGATTCACTCTATGGAAACGAAGCCAAGATTCTCGTCGCTGTTAGAGTATCGCAGACCTATACAAAATTTGTGTCGTTATGGTCGTGTCTCTGTCCAACCGAATATGACCTATGATTTATAGACTGGAGCAAGAACGATATACGATCTCATTTCCTTTTGTATCGTGTTTCGGCAGTAATATCTATCAGAAAATATCATTTTGATGTTATGCGTACTGTTTGCGATAATTGCGTTTGTATTGCATTATTTATACATGTGTTATTACTTTCATATTAGAACGTATTCATGTTTTTATGTATATTTGTAGCGAATCTTTACAATTAATGTTTTCATTGTATTTGTAGGAACTATTTGTAGGCCATCAAAAATGTATGCATTTTGTATTATGAATATTTAAAGCAATGCTAGTTAACGAACTTGTATTTTCTATGTACATAGTGTTCTCAATATATAATTAATAGTTATCGTACATTTTGTATTCAAATTTAGAAAGTATCTATTGTACCAGCAATGTACGTATAATTAACAAATAATTATAATTATAATATATTATTTTGAATAATATTAATCACAAACATTATCCTCGCAATAAATTATTCGATGTACAAAAAATAATAAAAATAAAGGAAAATTGTATAGTTACTTAAAAACAGTGTATTTATTTAAAATATAACTCCCAAATACATGATCCAATATTTTAAAAATAAGACGACAATTTTTATAATTCAAGAGTAGTAATTTAATTTATAGGAATTGTTTTCTTCGTATCAGAATAATAGAATGATTGAGGCGGTACTGCAAAGATATCAGAGCGCTGGGAAAATCATTCACGGATTTACAGTAGTAGAATATGCAAGGAGGTAGCACGCTTTCCTGCGCAGTAGACTGCATATTTGATAGTGGAAGTGGAAACTACGCCTGGTAGCAGGATAACAGAATATGCAAGGAGGTGTACCAGCGTTTATATTTTCCCGCCAAATGCTGCGCAGTCTATTGCGCATCCCTGCTGCGCAGATTTTCGTGCCACCTCCTTGCATATTCTACTATCCTGCTACCAGGAGTAATTTTTCGGAGCCATAATTGCATAGCATTTCCCCCACCATTAGACATCATTTACTGCGCAACTCTGCCGCGCAATCTACTGCGCATCTCTACTGCGCAGAAAATCGTGCCACCTCCTTGCATATTCTACTATCCTGCTACCAGGAGTAATTTTTCGGACCCGTGAACGGGTTAATGCTTTCCCCCACTCCAAGATCTTTATGATACCTCTTTCACCACTCTATTATACTATTATTAGACAGGCAATTTCAGTGAATGAAATCGTGATTTTTGAATTGTACTCTCTAAGAAGCTTGTTATATGGAAAGGACATTAGGAAGATAGTGTTAGGAATAATTATATTTTTATTTTAAATAAATAAACAGTATATTCCTTTGAATTATATTTATTGAAACCTTATAGTACATTTGTTGAGAACATGTTAAAAATTCATAAAGCTGAAAATGTATAATCCCCCTTCATTTTTAAATAACTAATATATAAAATTAATAATAAGTAACGGGTAATAAACGATTCTATGCATGTTACATTAAATAATGATCCATAGAAATTAAATGTAATCACTATTGATACGTTTAGGAAATATTTATGTAGGTGCATAAGGCTTCGATAGATTCTGCTCCTAAGAGCAGGATAGCAGAATGTGTGAGAAAGTAGCAAATTTTTTTATACACAAAGCGGAAATGGAATTCTTTGTGGATTCGGAAACTATATCACGTATCAGGATTGCAGAAAATATGCAGAGACATATAATGTACTGTCGCCATATCACAATACTGTTTTCGCGTCAAATATATTGAATGTAGAGAATTTTCAAAGATTTTTATTAATTTTATTGTACATGGCAATAATTTACAACAGTTCATTATCGTAGCCTCAGGCAAAAATTTATAAGTCAGCGTGTTTAGAAAATTTTTTTATAATTATAACATTGTTCAAATCCCATACACATTCGAAAATTTTAATTGTTTACCTCTGCTATAGAATGATACGAACATAAGTGCTACTTGTACGTTTTCGAACACCCCCTAAATAACATACGTCCAACGGAAATACACTTATGACCGACAAACTTGATTCTGTATTATAAAAAGTCTGAAATATATGAACCAACGTTGATTACATATGCAATTCTTTGTACATAAGTTTTCAACAGTCATTCAAGTTGTACAACACTGGTATAAATGAATTACAAATAAAAAGTAACGATACGCAGAAGTACATGTACATGACCTCATGGTTATAAAGAATAATCAAACTCTTTCTTGATTTTAAGTGTATTTTATTGAGTTATCAAAAACCAAACGATTATTTCTCTGCCTTTTTCGATTTTGCTTGTGCTTTCATCACTTTGAGGACAATCTTTTGCTCTTCAATCAAGAAAGCACGTACAATCCTGTAAATTAATATTAAAACAATGAGAAATTCATGCATACAAACGACGAAATTTTTGTACAATGTCATAGAACTAAAACGTACCTTTCTTTAACGCATTTGTGACAGAGTACACCACCGTACACGCGTTTCACAGTCTTTTTACGTCTGCACATACGTGATCTTTCCATAGGTCTGGCAGGTTGAATACCTCTGAGCTTATCTTTGCACTGGCCACATCTGGGGATCTTTTTCGGTTTCTTGAGGTACTGATACACCAATTTTCCACCAGGAGTACGTACTCTGTACAAACAATGATGCGGTGAACATCGTCGAATCGCAGTACACAAGAAACACAGTGACGATAGTAATGCGTATAACTTGAATTAATAGAACGAACAAAAGGAAGCAGATATTAGAATAAATCATGTTGAAGTACTATGCTGTCACTCGATAATAAATTTCATTGAATCATAAGCAGTTGAAACATAAACCAAAACATAACCTACAACAATGAAAAATATGCACTGAATATTCTAAGAAAATTGTCTACAGAATAAATACATAAGAAGCATAAAAAGAACACACGATCAAACGATATTTTATTACTTTTTCGCAAAAGTAACACTCACACGCGTCTCCTATTACTTTTAGTGTTGTACGACAACCGTCGTCTATAGGTTAGTCGCTGGACCATGTTGATTCTGAAACAAAAGTTACTTTGTCATAAAGAAAGATTAGCGCATATTACACCATATTGTTTCGCGAAAGCACGAAGACTTTGGAATCATTGTTAAAACATTTTCACCTTTAGCGATTACCGCGGATAATACCGATATATAAAAACTATACAAAATTTGAACAAACCTTTTACAGGGTCAAACGGAAAAGGAAGCGACTACCTCGAAATTAACTCATTGTACGCAAGCGCGATTTGGAACCGTTTTGCCATCTAGCGACAAACTTCCGAATTTTATCGCCGCAAGAATATGTGTGCTATGATGATATTACAGAGATCTTCTTTACCGACAATTTTGACGAATATTTGAGCGGGAAACTTGTTTAAAATTATGTCGGTCGCCGAGAAACGAAATTAATACGAAGTTAATAGTACATTAATAATTTCAACGCCTGAGAGAGGTGAACAGAAGATAAGTCTTTTTACATCGTATAAGGTATATTATTTATTATATCTTATTTACATTCAACATCGTCTTGACAACACCATAGGAAAAATGTTTTAGACACATTCCAAAATCTGTTGACATCAACTCTCTTATTGCATCTGTTGCGCTTTGTCGCTTTGTTTTATACAATGAATCGAGGACACACGGTGGCAATTCGTTGAACCAATTCTATAAAAACTCAGTTCGACGAGTATACATAAATTATGATGCGTGTACGTGATAGTAGATGAGCTATTTATAATATATACGGGACGGTACCTGTGTGCTTTGTCATCTCGCGAATTTCATATATGCTTTTCTTTCTTTTTATTCGTTTTTGTTTGTTTGTTTGCTTTTCGTTTTCGAAGCAGGTACTTTGACAAAGTTCGCTGTAAACAGACTGACAGAAAAAGTAATTAAGATAAAAAAAAAAGAAAAAAAAATGGCAGAAAAATTGAAGGTGCACGTAGGTCGTTTATAAAAAACGCTTAACTAATCGATAACATAGCTGCTTAGAGACTCGACGATCGTATGTACGATGTTGCGTTACGGCATTTCTTTTCTTTCCTTAGTCTCTTTTATACACGGCGGCAGAGTTGTTCGGAAACTCCAAGATCAAAGAAAACAATGCACATTTTTTGTTTGCTTCCTTTCTCTCGTCCCCTTTTGCACAATTCTAACAAAGTGAATAGATAACCTACCACGATTAGAACGTTCTTTTTTAATTTAGTCAGATCTCTAAACAATAAATAAGACTTTGTTTGCTTTTAATAAATAGTAATACGGAAGTGTTAATCGAATACAGATATTAAAGTGAAAGAGCCTTGCGAGGAAGTTCGTCAACGACTTTTCATTTAATTCCCCGACGGAAAGAATAACGATTATTAAAAAAAAATAATGATAATAAACAGGAGGAGAAAGAGAGAGAGAGAGAGAGAGAGAGAGAGTGATAGAGAGGAATAGAAGAGGAACGGCGGTATAAAAATAGTTAAAGAAAAAGGAAGACGACAGGAGAAGAAGCTAATAACCGAAGTCGTACGAATTGGGAAAAATTTTGATTCGACTTACGCGATTAAGATACTTTCCTATCGTTGTTTCTTTTTGCTCGATATCCTCGTTTCTCGGGTCCCCGTCTCTTAACGAAATAAAAAACGCTCCGCGTATTAATTACCGGAGAGACAGAGGGGAAGAGACAGTATCGTTGTACGCGTGAAAGAGAGAAAGAGAGACAACGAAAATACGTGGACACGAAGTACGATCGAAAGCTTTGAAAAGTGTAAGCGAAATAGAAGTTAGAGGGTGATAGCGTCGGTAGGAAAGAAGAAAAAGAAAACAGAGGCGATTATTCGGGTTAAAGAGGGTCGCCATTAAGCGGCAAAACTCGAAGGACTAAAATGGAATCGGAAAACGTCTCTAATAAGATATCCTTTACGCTCTAACTAATTATCATCTGCTCGTTTCGTGTCTACGATCGTGTAATATCGATAGAGATCTATGAAATCTAAATATTATTTTGCTGAAACTATCGACATTCTCAAAACTTCAGGTCGCACTCGCAGGTTCGTCACTAGACACAAACAGTTACAGCTGAAAGTTCCTGAAACTCGTTCTTTTTTTCCCTTTTGTTCTCTTGCGGAGTCCCGGCCGAAGTTTGTCCGGTCGATCGCGGCAAATTAGATTTATAGCGCGGCGATGCTGCTCTCTCTTTTTATCTCATACACGCGAACATACTCTCACTCTTTCTCTCTCGTTGACTCGCATTCGATCTCTCTCGATATCTTGGCGTTCGGTTGGGACTCCACGCGAGTTCGTCGCTCGTTACGCTTTATCTTATTTCTCATTAACCTTTAATACGAACATTTAGGAAGATAGTTTTACGCTATCGATAATTAATATTTTCTGAAATTTGTTAACATTCTCTATATAAAAATCTGCATTTGCGTGTATTCACTTATTGCTTCTTAAATCGTCGCCGTTTTCAGTAGCTTTCCGTTCTCTTTCTCCCCTAACAGAGCTGTTCAGATTCGCCGCGCAACCTTCCACCGCCTGTCACGGAATGCTGCGCATCGAACAAAAGCCTCCTCCTCCTCCAGGACCTTCCTTGGCATTTCTTCGATGCTAACGGAACGACCTCGAGTGAGAATCTCCTAATTGGGAGGCTCGTCGCACCGATGGATCGATCGCAGGATCAACTGAATTTTGTCGTCTCTCGTGTCGTTCGATCGACAGATACCTCCGTTCGCGGTTTCCTTCCGATCGTCCATCGTGGCGTCGTCCTTACCAGCTATAATCCTAGCGTAACTCGTTAAATTAAGAATAAAAATTTCCCGTGGCTCGCCCGAGGTGCTTGGAAGCGTTCGAGTTGTTCGTCGATCGACGATTTTCCGACGAAGGTTCAGCCTCGTCGAATTCAACGGGCCTCTTCTCTCCTCGACTTCAGTCTGCCTGGGAAGCAGTCTTTACGATCAGCGAACGCGGATGTGTAACGAGATACAGACCATCCGTTCGGACGAAACGAGCCTTCTTCCTTCCCTCAAACGAACCTAAACATCGTCGTTGCTACGCGCGCGGTACACGCTAACCTTCGTGGACGTTGCGTTTACGATGAAATTGTGCGAACGAACGGGCGACAGGATACTCCATCGTTTCGAAGCAGCCGTCAGATCGCCGGTTGGTTCGTCGAGAAACTACCGATAGATATCGCCCGTTTCGACTCCCACTTCGTTCGTTTCCCATTTTTCTAAATACGCCTTGATATGTTTTACGTTACGTCGAGGGGCAACGCGCGCGTTCGACGATTTGCCCACGTGTAAATTTCAAACCTCGCCTTCCAAATGATCCACGGTATTATCTATCTTTCTCTTGGAATACGCACGCATAGGTATTTCATTACGGATCGACACGCTCGCACCATTCTCTTTTCTCTTTCACGCAAACATTTCCCCTCGTACACGCACGCTTTCTTCCTCTCTTCGCATTATTGGCACATATTCCTGCTTCTTTATTCGTCATTTTCGTTCGTTCAATCAACAGGTACCTATATACTTTATTTTTCTCTCCCTTTCGGTAATTTTCTCGTCGTACGTACACTCTACGCCGGTAATTTCGATCGTTTTCGACATCGGTTTTATCGCTTTCTCGCAACAGTCGGATCAAAGCGTAACGGTGTATGGATTTACTCGTGTGTATCACGATCGCGTATATCAAGCGTGTATTCTTCGTCGTAGTTTGTACATCGATTAAGCGCTATTAAACAAGAGCTACAAAATATTCGCTGTACGGGACGTAAAATACGGCATTAGGCTCGTTATCGAAGACTTTTCGCTTTTCTCTCTCGGCCCTAGTTTCGTTTACATCGGTTATAGGTATTTCGCGAGAGTCTGTCTCTGCGGCGATCGATCGTTGACCACGATTCGCTCGAATTTCTGGTAGCGCAGAGAAGCGAGACACAGAAGGCGCATCATCGTTGAAATTCTTTTTAGGCCGTCTGATTTGTTCGCGCAATGGTCTGTACCGTAAGCACGTTCGAAACTGTATGCATGGATACACGAGCGTAATGGTTCGACGTAGCGAGCATCGCGGAGAACAAGTTAGGAACGCTGCGATACAAGGCTGGCTTCGTTGATGATTAACGGTTTGACGTGAAAACATAAAAAGTCCAGTACGACGTTTCCTCCGTACGCGTGTACGTGTGAGCAACGATTCAGTGCGTGGAGAGTCTCGACGGTGAGCAGATATTCGCGTTGGGGTTAACATACTTTCGTACGTGTTAATTTTACGGCAGTGATTATACAATGGCAGTTCCGTTTTTCTCGACGCGGCGACGACCCACCGGTAACGACGATTCGAGAAGAGAAAGACAAGGGAGACTCGAAAGCTGGTTCTGGACATTCGACAAGAAGATACGCGTTACTTTCGCTAGTTCACGTTCGGGTAGATCGTCACGCACGAGCTTCGTCGTCTTTTTTAATCGTGGGATGGAGAAGGCAGAATTCGATCGCCGTTGGAATGTCTACGATACGCGGTTCCACTATTCCTCGAGCCTGGGGCCGCGATACTCGACGCAGAGGAGGCGTGCTTTCGTGCGAAAACGTCCGTCGTCCTGACTAGGAGTCGCTAGGATCGACGCGTCCCTCGAACGAACGCGATCCGTCAGGTCGATGGGACATCGAATCCCGGCGTCGATCGCGACAGATCGAAGCTGGCTTTTCGCGTGAAAAATCTCATAATTCGCGAAGAGCGCGCGATTAAACGAGAAAGCCCTGCGACGTGGCGGACATCTGTGCTCTGAGCGCCGTCACGCTGTTCATGATCTTCTTCTGGTGTCCAACTAGCGTCACTCCGAGTGCCGTCAGCTCCTGAACGGTTACGCGCGCAGCTGCCTCCAGGGTGGTTACCCCGGACCTCTCGAAGTTCTCCGTGTATCGCGACATCTTGATGGAGTTGAGCCATTCGCTGACCGATGTCAGCTGCGTCAAGTCCACCGCGTCCGGCGCCAGTGGATTAGTGCCCCTGTCGAAAATTGGACATCGAGTCAGATTACGTCGGAGGCGGATCTCGTGTTTCACGAGACGATCGGGAGGGGACGAGGAGGAGAACGCTACCGCGAAATCGAGGAGTCGATCGCTCAAAAGGGAACTACAGATCGTTGATCGGATATCTAAGGAAAACGAAAGGAACGCAAACGCTTCGGCCCTTCGACGCGTCCAAGACAGAACGCGTTTCGCTGTTCAAAGCAACACAGCGTTTTCGTGCCTTTCGCGGTTCAAAGGTTAGACAGTGGTTTCAAGTTCATTTCGGATTCTATCAGAGAAGTACGTCTAGCGAAAGGGAGAATCAGCCGCTTCGACGGTCGCTCTTCCCTCTGATCATCGATGCGACTGGACTCGTACACTGTCCTGGATCAATTGTACACGGACAACAGCTATATATCAAGATACGTACACAAACGTTGTAATGTATGTACAGAAATGTTCGTTGGCTAGTAAAATGATAAAACACGCATGGATATTTTCACGCTTCTGCCCGTAGAAGGTCATCGTAGATTCGAATATAAAAATCGGCTGTTTAAGAGAACGTTTGAACGTAAAGAACCTTCTACGGGCGGAAGTAAATTTAAAAGTAAAACAGGTAGTTTGGATAGAGTCGAAGTGGAGCTTCGACGGTTTGCTACTAATTTCTAAGAGAAGTTACTCGGTCGTTCTCGCTTATCGTATATACATACGTTGTTACGGGTATTTACGGGTGTAGAACGGATCTTAGCTTAAAGAGGGGTACGATAATGTATCTTTATGTACACTTTGGGGCTCGATCAATTTTTACGAGCCCGCCCGAAACGGTTGGTCCAAGTTTTACGAGTACAAGAGAACGAACAGGTAACGAATAGAATCGAATGACCAACCCGTTGCTGGTGAGATCGTAAAAGATCGAGCCGTTTTTGGATCGTTGCTGGTATCGGTGATCGATGGTGATGACGGTGAGAGTTGCTAATGAGAGTAACGAGAAAGTAAGTTCTAATGACGGTATGATCGCGTCGACGATTCGAGTTTAAAGATCAGCTAGATGTGTTACGTTAAGACGTGAATGGATACTGGTGCGTATGAAGCAAGCAGTGCGATACGAACTAAGAGGATAATACAAGCAGAGCAAATGCTGTCTACTTGGCAGCAATACTCGTGGTGATTCCAACGAAACGACCGGAGCAAGAAGGCAAATCGGAGAAGAAGACAGAAACGCGCGATCGGCGCGTGCACTCGAAACGTTTAGGATACGTGTTGCCTTATTACTCCTCGCTCGTTTCGTACGTCTGGTTACTTTTGGTCGACTGAAAGTTGTTCTTGATTCGTTACCTTTTTCTTAAATGCACGTTGGAGGATGTCGACGAGGCGGGTGGGGGTGGGGGCGGAGCACCCCTTTCCCTGATTCTGACAATTGTTAGCATTTGTTAGTGCGATGGAGATCACACGTTTCAACGTGTGCTTACGTGTCTCTGTGTGTACGCGCGCGTCTGTGTATGTACGTGTACGTATACGTGTATGTGTACCATGTGCGTCTTACGTATGTACAGCTACTCGCGCCGCTTCTTTTCAATTTTCTCGCGCAAAAGTTCGTTCGTCGCGATTCGATTTCCGCGAGAATCTGATTGTCCGTTTTGATTCTTCGTCTCTGCTCCTATTCTTCGTGGATTGAAAAAAAGAATCCAGTAGCGACGCCTAGCCTCTTTGATCGATCATTTTTCCTACGATGGTGTGTCGCAACGTACATATTTCCCCTATGATCGATTTCTCTACGTGAAAAACGTATGCGCGATGTATCGTCGCGTTCGATTATTCGGCGTGGGAACACGGTGTCGTGCACGGTTTTTCTGTAACGGTTATCCGATTTTTCCTTGCGTTCAAGTAGAAAAATACTATTCTAATATTCTGGTCGAACGGTCGCTCTTATCGTTAAACGCTAATAAGTCTTTGCACAGTTTTGTTGCGGTAAAGTCGATGACGTTGAGAAATATTATCATCGTAAATATATATATAACTATACAAACGTACTTGTATAAATATCTATACATTTACGTATACTCTTGCGAAATGCGTGTATTACGTATATATCAAGAATTAGAAAAAACATCTGAAAGACTATGACAACGCGCGATGCGATTAAAACCCTTTGCCGCCTTAAGCTCCGACCTTGAGTCCATTTTTTATCCTATATTGCTATTCGTTGGTTCGATTCGTCCTCTATAAATTCTCGATATCTCTACGAAAAAACTGGAGGGTACATATATTATGTATACATAATACGTGTATATATATATAGGCTCTCTTAAAATTTTCCATTTATGTAAATCTTTCTAACTAGAACCGTAAATATTTTTCTAAACGATTTCCACGTGGCAGCTAAAATCGATAAAATCTACCGCGCCTGGCGTTCGATCGAACATCACGATAAAAACCTCTGCTCTCGGTATAACTGGAAATCGAGAAAACTTCTTTCCTACGACGACTAATTCGCTACCATTTTACGCACATCTAACACTTTTATAACAAAATCGATTGCCTAAATTTTTACTCGACGATTCTCTAAGAAACGCGTAAAATCTACTCTTTTCGACTAAACGAGAGGAGCGTTCTTTCGACCCTTCGCGTCCAAAGCCACGTAAAAATTCAACTTTAGCTCCACCACGGAGACACCTTTTCAGAGAGATTTCGAAACTGTGGTAGCTTTGGATGCTAGGAAAACTTTCGAAGCAAGGGGATTTTTGATTATCGATTCACGAAAGCGTCAAAGATTTATTCGTTAAGAGTTTTCCTCGCGAAGGAAAATTAAGCGAGAAGAACGCTCGTCTCGAGGATATTTAAGAGAAAGACGCGCGTGTTCTTTGGTTAACCAAAGTGCGTGAACGGGACCCAATTAGGGTAGGTGAGCGGTGGCTGTTGTGGCAATGCGTGTGTCGCTGCGTGTGTGTGATAGTGTAAGCTACGGCCGGCTCCTGGTGGCATTACTGGAACGGCAATCGTCGACTGGGCTTGATGGCCAACTACGTCTACGAACGGACCCGTTGCCGCGGCTGGAATCGTAGCGGCCGCTGCCACGGCCTGTGCGGCAGCCGTATGGCTTGTGACATAGTACGGATTGTGTGCAGGTGGCCTCACGCTGTTGTTGTTGTAGTTGTTGTTGTTGTTGTAGTACGGTTGTAGAGTTGGTGGTAGATGGTAGTTGTCGCAGTTGCAGTTCGTAGTCGGGTACCAAAGACACCACAAAACCAAAACCACAAAGAATTAGCCCAGAAAAGAGGGGACGTCGTCGATAGGAGAAACTGAAATCGTTGGCGGGAGACACGCTGCCGATTCGTCGGTATCGAAAGGAAACATACGTTTCTCGATGCTCGATGAATCGTAGAGAGCAGGGAAGAAAAAAAAAGGCAAGGAAAGACGAAGCGAAGCGAGACAACGCTCCAGTGACCCGTTCCGTTTCACCGAAAACGCTTTGACCAACGCAGCGTCCGAAACGGTGAATCGGTCGGTCCACGGTCTCCCCGCGTGAAATCGCTCGATAATCGATCGGTCCCGTGACGCGGCCCGTTCGATTCGCCTCGATTTTCAACTCCCGTTACTGTTACGATTCCCCCTTTTTTTTCGATCGACAGAAAAATCTGACGATGCCCCCTTTTTATTGCACGCGTCTTTCCGGGATTCTCTTATTCTTCATTAACGATCGGCAAACGATAAAGCGGAACGAGATTCTCGATTATCGTTCGATCTCGCCTTTGTACGCCTTTTTTTGCATTTCGTGGATAGAAATAAGTGGAAGGAAAAGAAGAGGAGGGTTTAAAGGCTCTGGAGGATTACGGAAACGATAAGCGCTAAAGCGATAAAAGCTCTCTGAAAAGCCACCGCAGTACGATGCGCACTTTTCGCCGTTCTCTCGAAACGCGAACGAAAAATTATACCGCGTCAACGATCGCGCACAGACTTTCGTCCATAAATTAATTTTTGCTCCCAACAAGCAGACGGAAACAGAAACGGAGGCTAGCGTCGTTAGATCGTTTTGCACGTTCCAAAGGGAAATTAAGCAGTTTTCATGAATTAATTAACAGCGGAAGAATCACGCGCGCAAAGCTATTCCGTTATCGTTGGAAACTTCCGAGCGACGTTTTCTCGCGTCTCGTACCAGAGAATCCCCTTAACGCGATTGCACCTCGAGATTCGTCGAAAATATGTGCTGTAAACAAGAAAAATTCAACAGAAATGTGTTCGTATCGCGAAACGGATTGTGTGCAGGTGGCCTCACGCTGTTGTTGTTGTAGTTGTTGTTGTTGTTGTAGTACGGTTGTAGAGTTGGTGGTAGATGGTAGTTGTCGCAGTTGCAGTTCGTAGTCGGGTACCAAAGACACCACAAAACCAAAACCACAAAGAATTAGCCCAGAAAAGAGGGGACGTCGTCGATAGGAGAAACTGAAATCGTTGGCGGGAGACACGCTGCCGATTCGTCGGTATCGAAAGGAAACATACGTTTCTCGATGCTCGATGAATCGTAGAGAGCAGGGAAGAAAAAAAAAGGCAAGGAAAGACGAAGCGAAGCGAGACAACGCTCCAGTGACCCGTTCCGTTTCACCGAAAACGCTTTGACCAACGCAGCGTCCGAAACGGTGAATCGGTCGGTCCACGGTCTCCCCGCGTGAAATCGCTCGATAATCGATCGGTCCCGTGACGCGGCCCGTTCGATTCGCCTCGATTTTCAACTCCCGTTACTGTTACGATTCCCCCTTTTTTTTCGATCGACAGAAAAATCTGACGATGCCCCCTTTTTATTGCACGCGTCTTTCCGGGATTCTCTTATTCTTCATTAACGATCGGCAAACGATAAAGCGGAACGAGATTCTCGATTATCGTTCGATCTCGCCTTTGTACGCCTTTTTTTGCATTTCGTGGATAGAAATAAGTGGAAGGAAAAGAAGAGGAGGGTTTAAAGGCTCTGGAGGATTACGGAAACGATAAGCGCTAAAGCGATAAAAGCTCTCTGAAAAGCCACCGCAGTACGATGCGCACTTTTCGCCGTTCTCTCGAAACGCGAACGAAAAATTATACCGCGTCAACGATCGCGCACAGACTTTCGTCCATAAATTAATTTTTGCTCCCAACAAGCAGACGGAAACAGAAACGGAGGCTAGCGTCGTTAGATCGTTTTGCACGTTCCAAAGGGAAATTAAGCAGTTTTCATGAATTAATTAACAGCGGAAGAATCACGCGCGCAAAGCTATTCCGTTATCGTTGGAAACTTCCGAGCGACGTTTTCTCGCGTCTCGTACCAGAGAATCCCCTTAACGCGATTGCACCTCGAGATTCGTCGAAAATATGTGCTGTAAACAAGAAAAATTCAACAGAAATGTGTTCGTATCGCGAATCCTTTCTTCGTTTTTTTTTTTTCATACTTTGTTGCTCGCGTTTCGCGACCAACGGGATCTCGCGTTTTATTCGTGTTTCGTTCTTATTTTCCGCTTAACGTCGTTGAATTTCGAAGAGAACGAGAAGCGAGGAAGCGGAGGCGCTGTACAAAATTAATTTTGACAACTTTGCGCTACGGGAAACGTAAGTGATCAAAAAGAAAAAAAAAGAAAAAAAAAACAAAGACATGAAAAAGTAAAAATAAAAGTAGTGATTAAACCAATGGTACAGCTTGAAAACAGAAAATGTTACGTGTCACGAAATGAAAGGTGCGAGAAAGATCAGTCCAAGTACCACGTATATGCCCGTTTCCAGTAATGCCAATCAGGTCGGGGTATCAACGACGCCTCTCGGCTACGGACGTGCATACGAATCTCTCCGTCGAGTAGGCGCGCACACACACGCACACGTCCTGATTATTCCTGGACTGCCAAAATTCATCGTGTGTGCGTGAACATCCTATTTTATGAACGAGCAGCAACATCAAAGCCCAGGCTAACAGCGTACGTAGAGAGCGCAGAGCGTGTGAGCTTCTTTTAGTATTCAGCGAGAGAACGGAAAATAAACCTTTGGCTGTCGAGAGAAATTAATTTATGGACACGAAGTGTGATTCGCGTGGCATGCGACATGATTCGTGTTAAGAGATGATGAACGAACGATTCGATGACGCTATAGACGCGTTTATCGTTTATCGTTTATCGTCGTTCGCGACGTATCTTTCTTTCTCGTCCACCGAATCGTTCGTACGATGAATGCAACGACATCAAGGTTTGCACTGTTCGTACCGCGTTAGATCGGAACCTTTTGCGGTAATTCGTCCTGCGAGCATAATTATTATTCCGACGTATCGAACACGAACGATTCGAAAAACGATGCGACGAACGCGAGTCGCGACCTAGACAGAGTTTCCGATGTCAATGAGACGCGCCACGGTACGAAGGTTTACCTGTTCTGGGCGATTTTCCTCAACGTGTCCGGGCTTCGTATAAGCTTGTCCAACGTCTGGGTGAGATTGGCGAACGTCGGACGATGGGTTCGTTCTTTCTGCCAGCAATCGAGCATCAGCTGATAGATCGCCTCCGGACAGTCCATCGGTGCCGGGAGCCTGTATCCCTTCTCGATCGACTTTATCACATCCTGATTAGACCAGTTCCAGTACGGTCTTTCGCCGTAGGACATCACCTCCCAGCAAACGATGCCCATGCTCCACACGTCGGAAGCGCTGGTGAACTTTCGGAACGCTATCGCTTCCGGAGCTGTCCATCGTACCGGGATCTTTCCACCCTTTTTGCCGGAGGAAACACTCTTTCAAGATTCAAGTATTTGAAAGTCTAGGTTCGTGCAACGAGACCGAGTCTCGTCAAAGTACGAGAAGTAATCGAGCGAAAGTAACCGACAGAAAATGCGTTTACTCGCTTACTTACCCTGGTCGTGTACGCTCCCTCCGTCGCGCTCTCGATCTCCCTGCTAAGGCCAAAGTCGGCGATCTTGCAGACCAGAGTAGCGTTCACCAGCACGTTCCTCGCTGCCAGATCTCGGTGTACGTAGTTCATCTCGGCTAGATATTGCATACCGCTCGCGATGCCGCGAAGCATCCCTACCAGCTGCAGCACCTGGAACTTGCCGTCGTTCGCTCGAAGAAAAGTGTCCAGGCTGCCGTTCTCCATGAACTCCGTGATGATCATCACCGGATTGCTCTTGGTCACGACACCTTGCAAGAATATCACGTTCGGGTGCTCGAACTGACCCATGATCGAGGCCTCGGTGAGAAAATCGTTGCGTGCCTTATCCGCGGAACCCGGTTTCAGCGTCTTGATCGCCACGTCGATCTCCGTTCGACCGTCGGGCGGCAATTTTAATTTTCCACGACAAACGTCGCCAAACTCTCCGCCACCTGTTGATCGACGATCAAAAAGAAAGAGAAGCAAAAAGGTAGAGAAGGGACGACACGAAGAACGCGTAATGCGGTATACTCGGTTGACGAAGGAAGAAAGAACGTGTACCGAAAGGGCGTTTACCTATGATGGCTTCTATCGTGATGTATCCCGCGTCGATCTCTCTCGCAAACTCGCGAACGGCCTGATTCGGGTCCTCGTAGGTGTGAGGATCCACGTAGCTTCTCGCGCCTCCTCCGCCAGCTCCTCCGGCACTCGCGGCGGCGACACCCACTGCAGGCGTGAACAGCGGCGTGGTCACTGCAACGTCACCAAAACAGAGTTCATTATATTAACACGAGGGCCGGTGTGTAAAATTTTGACGGAATATCTCGGAGCGGGAGAATAACGAGATTCGTTCGCTCCGTGCCTGTCAACCGTTTCATCCCGTGAAAACACTCACACACCCTTCCTCTTTAAACGAGACTTGGAACACGCTCAAAAATAGAATACGGTAAAAAATACAATTAATTTCGAACTTTGTTACTTTCAAACAAGAATCTATATCGTTGGGTAACTCTGGCTATTTGTTATCGTGAGAAACTTGACAAAACAATTACCAAAATAAAGAAAAAGAAAAAACAAAAACGGAACTATTTATAGTAAAATGTTCGTTGTACGTGGTAAAGGCTAAATTGAACAAGATCAAATGAAAAACAAACGAAAAATCGCGCGCAACTAATTTTCATGCTAGCGTAGAAATTCTCGCATGCCTAATACGTAAAATGATCTCAATTACGATGCATCAGATTGAATGGCGTTCGTTAGTCATAGCGTACGCGCGGTGCAGAGGATGCTTCGGTCAAATCGAATTACTTCGTCGCCCGTTAATTCACATCCGCAAATGCATCTGCGACGACGATTCGCATCGCTCTCTAAGCCGAGTTAATTCGATTTTCCGAAGCATCCGGTTTGTTTTTCTCGTGTCGACGATCGAAGAGATTTTGACGATTGGCTGAAAAGAAGAACGATGCAAGAGACAGGAACGATGCAAACGATACACACGATCTGAAAGAGAAGAAAGGAATTTGCATGCGTTTCTCGTGCTTTCCATCTACCTAAATTTACGAGAAAGAGAGATAAAGTGAGAAAGAGAAATAGAGAGAGAGAGAGGAAAGAACGGATCGTGATAGAAACGAAAACAGAAAAAGGATAATGTGTCGTGTCCGAGTATGAACGAGTATAGTTCTGTCGATCGACAACGTTGTACGGCGTTGCACAGCTTCCACCGGAACGAATAATTTCGAACGAACTTGATTTTGATTGGGACTGATTAAGGACTTACGCGAGGACTTGCTCTTGTTGTTGGTGTGGGTTGTCACAATCGGTGAACTGTCCATTTTGCAGTGTGAACAGCGGCGTGGTCACTGCAACGTCACCAAAACAGAGTTCATTATATTAACACGAGGGCCGGTGTGTAAAATTTTGACGGAATATCTCGGAGCGGGAGAATAACGAGATTCGTTCGCTCCGTGCCTGTCAACCGTTTCATCCCGTGAAAACACTCACACACCCTTCCTCTTTAAACGAGACTTGGAACACGCTCAAAAATAGAATACGGTAAAAAATACAATTAATTTCGAACTTTGTTACTTTCAAACAAGAATCTATATCGTTGGGTAACTCTGGCTATTTGTTATCGTGAGAAACTTGACAAAACAATTACCAAAATAAAGAAAAAGAAAAAACAAAAACGGAACTATTTATAGTAAAATGTTCGTTGTACGTGGTAAAGGCTAAATTGAACAAGATCAAATGAAAAACAAACGAAAAATCGCGCGCAACTAATTTTCATGCTAGCGTAGAAATTCTCGCATGCCTAATACGTAAAATGATCTCAATTACGATGCATCAGATTGAATGGCGTTCGTTAGTCATAGCGTACGCGCGGTGCAGAGGATGCTTCGGTCAAATCGAATTACTTCGTCGCCCGTTAATTCACATCCGCAAATGCATCTGCGACGACGATTCGCATCGCTCTCTAAGCCGAGTTAATTCGATTTTCCGAAGCATCCGGTTTGTTTTTCTCGTGTCGACGATCGAAGAGATTTTGACGATTGGCTGAAAAGAAGAACGATGCAAGAGACAGGAACGATGCAAACGATACACACGATCTGAAAGAGAAGAAAGGAATTTGCATGCGTTTCTCGTGCTTTCCATCTACCTAAATTTACGAGAAAGAGAGATAAAGTGAGAAAGAGAAATAGAGAGAGAGAGAGGAAAGAACGGATCGTGATAGAAACGAAAACAGAAAAAGGATAATGTGTCGTGTCCGAGTATGAACGAGTATAGTTCTGTCGATCGACAACGTTGTACGGCGTTGCACAGCTTCCACCGGAACGAATAATTTCGAACGAACTTGATTTTGATTGGGACTGATTAAGGACTTACGCGAGGACTTGCTCTTGTTGTTGGTGTGGGTTGTCACAATCGGTGAACTGTCCATTTTGCAGTGCACTGTGAACAACACAACAACCAACACGCTAATTGACAAATAGCAAACAAAAAAGGAAACGGTGAGTGTTTCGACGATGAGTTTAATGAGTCGAAGCGTTAAGAGATAAATGCTCGTGAGAGAATAACGAATAATCGTGTAAAGAAGTGGTTCGACTCGATGTTCGCGAACGTTCTTGTGGATAAATAAAAAAAAAAAAATGAAAATAAACGTAAAACGATACAGCGAAGATCAAACGAGTAAACTGCCAACGACAAACACACTAACAATACGCATGCACATAACGTGGAAACACAGTAACGACGCAAGCATATAAAGCACGTACACGCATGTCTTTCGAATAGAATCAGAATCGTGCACGCGTGAAAATGTAAGAAAACGCGTAATGTATTTAATTCGACGAAAAGACGGTGCGTGTTTGCGCGCGAAAAATTTGTCACGCTATGCGTCGAAGAGATGCATGTACAGGGGGTGCAAAAAGTAACTACGCAAAACCGAGTTCCTAGAAAAAAAAAACTTGAGGTGTTGGAGAAGACTTACTGTAGGTCACAACTAGTCCTGTAGTAGCAGGCGATTGTGTACATTGTTTCATTGGGTTTTTTTCATGGATTTTTCATGGAGGCAGGTTCGATAGATTAGGGGAATCGCACATGAAAAGAAAGAATCGAAAGAATTCGGTTAGAACAATGGCAGTTGGGCTGCGGGCCGGATCGATTATCGAATTTTTTCTCGAAAACGATCGTCTCTCGTTCTTATCGTCTCTTGGTCGAGATCGATCAAAACTTTGATAACTTTCTTTTCGCTCGTTTGTTTGCTCTTTCGTCCTACGTCTTTGAACAAACCACATTTTCAATGATCTTTCTTTCGACAAAGAGAGAAACTTCTAAAGTACTGGGTGTTTAGCGACAAGACATTATCACGGGTTACTGTATACGTGAGAGAGGCTGGGGTCGATACTTGCTGGGTCTAACGGGGTTGGTGATTTCAAAATATTAGTCACAAGACACGAGGGCGTAGTGAGACAACTATGAAAGTGACAGGGGGTAGTAGCGATAATAAATTTATAAAGAAAAAAAAGAAACGAGCCTGTTGGCATCGGGCACACGTACCTTCACCGTTTCTGTACTCCAAAGTGTCGCAGTCGCTCGGCTGTTTCTTGTTGCACTCGTCCGAGGCCCTGCTGCATCGAAATCGTATCACATCAGTCCAACGAAATACCAATTAACATTTAAATAAACGTTTCAGCCTACTACCGTCTTCGTTTCCTCTATACGAACTGAACGCTAACAACGAATCGTTTACCTTCTAAGTATCAAGACGGTCATGATGATGATGATCACCAGAAGAACGACCACGGCCACGATGGCTCCTGCAATGATTCTCACTTGCATGTTGTCGTCCTCTCCAACGTAATCTGCAAGGATAATCAAAATCTCGTTGAGATCTTCTAACACCGATTTCGAAGGAAACTGATCGAAGGAAAATCTGACGATTACCTAGACCTCCCATAGCGTGCGGGGTCTTTTTGTACACCACTGGCGTGTATTCGCCCCAGCCACGCGTGGTTTTCGCCCGTACTTGTATCGCGTAGTCCGTCGCCGGTTTCAGGCCCTTAAACGTGGCGGATAAATCCGAGGTTTGAATGACCGTGGCATTGGTAGCGTCGTCGTAGCGCGGATAACATCTCACTGAAACGAAACGACGCCTACGTTACGCCGACTCGTAAAATAACGTAAAAAGTCAAAATCGAACTGAGTCCTCGCCTTCGTATCGTTCCACCAGATCGCTATCTCCGCCGACTTCGGTCACGGGAGCGTCCCAGCTGATACTTAATTCGGAGTTCTTCACGCTCGTGATCCTGACGTTGCTCACCAAGCTGGGCACGCTGGCTTCCGTGGTGACAGTAATGTCCACGTACTCGGATTTCCCGGCCAACGCCGACACGCCGTTCTCGGCGAACACTTGGAATCGATAGGTGGTTACCGCGTTCAGTCCCGTTATCGTGATCTTCGTATCGTTGAAGACCTCCTGCGAAGCGAGAAAAATTTAGCTCCGGAAAATACAGAGACGAGAAAAAAGCGAAAACAACTTACGGTGTTCGGAATGTACTTGACGCCCATGCTACAAGCGTCGCAAACCACCCTGTAGGTGGTGTCCGTTCTACCACCCAGCATATGAGGCGCGTTCCAGGACAGAATCACGGTAGACTGGTCGACGAAGTTCACCGTCAGATTTTGCGGCGCCGACGGTGGCTCTGCGAAAAGGAAACGAGCGTTTAGATATCGAGACACGCTCGAAGCGTGATTAGGACACTCACGCGTGCACGGCATCTTCTTGGGGTCCTTCTCGGCTCTGAAATAACCAACGTCGCAGCGACATTCGGTGAACCCGTAATCGGAAGACTTGCTGTAAGCAGGACAGGGTTCGCAGCTGTGCGAGCCTGCCTCGTGTTTGAATTTTCCGATCGGGCACGAGGTGCATTTCTGTTTCTCGACGTCGGCTTGGTATCCGGGCTTGCAGTGGCATCCGCCGTTCGACAGGTACCATTTGCCGTCGCCTTTGCAGAGGTAAGTGGGTTGCTCGATCACTTCGGCGTTGTCGACGCACGTGCCGACCGTTTGTTCGATCAGCGCGACTTCGCGACCCGTCGGGGTGGCCGGGAAGTGGGCAAAGTTCACGGAAATCTCCGGACAACTGATGTAGTAAACTTTAATAGCCAAGATGGAGATGCAAGCTCCTTGATCGCGGAACGCGAAATACACGCCCTTCTTCGTCACGGGAATCGACTTGACCTCCGTGTTTATCACCACCTCCGTGTTCGTGTTCGTGTTGAATCTCCCGTCACCAGCGGCGATACGCCCTGCGAATCGAACGGGTAATTCGTCCCGAGTTACAGGGGGAAAAGGTTGTTTCTCGGAATGGAAAAGCAGGAAGACGTTTGGCAAGCTCACCGATCAACTTGTAACTGTCCGTTTCCCATGGCGGTGGTTCCTTGGTGGCCGCGTCGAACTCGTAGTAAAGCAAACTGAAAGTTTCCTTGCAACTGAGCGCGTTTCCGGGGAACAACGAGCAGTCGCGGGTCGTGAATTTGATTTCTATGTACATGCGGTTCGCCGGTCCCCTCTCGATGAACGGCGTCCACAACCAATTGTTCACGTTGTTGTACGCGACATCGCAGACGACGTAACTCCGCCAATTGATGCCCTTGTCGAAGTTGGTGAACGACTCCTCCACCCACTGTAATCAAACGAACAGAAGACGATCTTAATTTCGTACGATTTATTCGGCGACGAACGAAACGCCGGCCTTTTTAAACCTACGCGCACGTCCGAATTAACCGTGATAAGATAAAAGCGAAGCTTAAATAACGCTACGAAAACGTTCTTCACGAAATCTCCATTCGGGACCCTCGAGCAGCCTTGGCTGTTTGCGTTTGGATTACGCGAGATTCCACCGAGTCAGCATCTACGAAATCAGCTTTTCTCGAACCCCTCGTCGTCGTCGTCGTCGACGTCGCCGATTCCTTCGAAAGAGTTCTTCCGCTCCCGACGCTTCAAGGTCTTCCTATTGATTTCAGCCCCCTTTGATGATATTTACAGAAACAACAAAGACGGATTACCGGCTTCCAAAGAATCCAAAGCGGACGAGACAATGAACGCGGAAGGTTTGCCAAACAGATTTTATATCGGAAGAATATTATTCCATTATTTTATCGGTGGAGAGCGAGCGAAAAAGAAGAAGACGGAGGAGAAGGAAGAGGAAAAGAAGGTTTACGCTGGTCCATGTCCGATCCAAGGAACCACTTGTCCGTCGACGTTGGACGCGGTATCCTCCCTGGGCAAATGACGAGGCGGAGAGGCCAGGTCGTCGACTTGCGACAAACAGACCGCAAGGAATTACCGGCGCGCGTTACCATTAGTTTTATTGCCCCCCTCGGCTTGGGCTCGTCCCGAGAGAGACCGCAAAAAGTTCCGACCGAGCAAGAAGGACCCGTTCTCGACGTCGTCGTCGTCGCCGTCGTCGTCCTCGTCCTCGTTGCGCTCCTCTTCGTCGACAGACTTCTCGTTCTCGACTATTCTCCGTCTCTTTCGAGACTCGCGGAGGAAGGACTAGGTAGGTAAGAAGGGGCAAAAAAACGGGCAGATCGAGAAGACCCGTGCTTCTTACTCGGCCAGAAGATTTCCTTGCGGACGTGTTTCCGGCAGGGAGGCCGCAATAAATTCAGCCGTACGGTTACTCGGTAGCACAAAGAGATTATTACGGGGAAAGATGACGAGCGAACGGACAGGGGAAAAAAACGTTTTCGTTTCGGTAAATGGACAAGGAGGAGCAGAAGAAGAACTCGTCAACGTCCGGCGATCAGAAAAATCGACGCCAGCCGGCCGTACGACAGTCGTCGTTGCAACGTTAACGAACGCAGAATCGTAAGCCAATTGTAATTACGCGCGAAACGAGGCTTCGAGCAGCATACGCTTCGACGACGATGATCCCCTCGGCTTTGCGAGGGACAGAAGGCGCGCGTTAATATCGTCGTGGCGGCGCAAAGGCTATTAGAGGACCGAAGAAAACTCCTAGGGATGTTATTTCGACGCCTACGCGGCAGCTTTATCGCTTGGGAAATTGCGTTAGGACGGTAAATTCCACCCCCGCTTTGCCCTCCGCTCACCCTGTTTGGCCCAACCGTCGCGCACCGCTTTCTCTTCGTCTTTCTGTCCGCGCTTTCGCTTCCATTCTTGCGCCGGAGACTTTCGTGCCGAGCGAAAAAAGACAGAGTACGTAGAGTCGTTAACGCCGCGGAATTTAATTGAATCCCGCCGAGACGTCCTCTTTTAACGCGCCGCGTCGCGTCGCTACGCCGTGGCGCGTCAATTTTTCGGCGAGCCGGATTTCCCAGCGGCTCGGTTTTCTCTCGTGAAAATTACTCGTCGGTCGCGAAAAAAAATATACGAAAGAGAGGGGAAAGGAAACGAGAGCAGGAAAGACCGAGGTATCGAGGTGGCTGGTTACTTTCTTCCCGTTGGCGCGATACCGAGATTTTAAACGAAATTAATTACGCCACTTAACGCGTTTCGCGGCTCGACTTCGTTAGCGTGTCGCATGCGAGACCGGTATCGCTTTCGTCGAGCAATCCCGCTTTCTATCGGCGCGAAACATCGAGTCCGATGGATTACGCGTTGCATTTCTCCCGATTAACCGATCGATCGGTTAACGCGACGCGAATCCATCAACGACTAGAATCGATTCTGTCTTCGAAATCGGCTGAATAATAAAACGTTCGTTCCGGGAATGATCGCGATCCGAGTTAATCGAGAGGCAAATGCGTCGCGAATTCGGTCGAAACGCTGTGCCGCGAAAAAATATTTCCACTCGACGCTTTTAATTGCTCCGTGTGTAATGGCCGTGTATTCGTTCCGTGCCTCGGTTCCCTGTCCACGACCACGGCAAAAATACCGCGTCGATCGATGATTATTAGTTCGCCCGGAAATTATGTCGAACCCGAGCGTTTTCGATGGCTGTCGACGCGCCTGCTGCTGCTCCTCCTCGACGTTCCCCGTTTTCAATCGTATCGGCTCAACTGCCGATTATATCTGCGGATAAAAAGTTCCGCCACGATACGGTACACCGCTAGAAACGTTGACCCGTTCGGAGGCAAAGGAAAGAAAAAAAAGGAAACGCGTTTCTTTCGCGATAAATTTCCTCCGCTCGCCCCGTTCTCGGGGAATAATAACGTTTACCCGATAGAAATTTATCACGCGAACGAAGCGTCGAGTGTCGAGCCATCGATTTGTCAAAGGATACGAACGTACCTGGCTCAGACAGGAAGGCTAGTATCCTCGCCGTTTTCTATTTTCTCCTGAATCAGCCACGCACCACTAAATAGATACGAATTGCCGGTTTCGAAATAAAGCCAATAAGCTTCACGAGGAAACGAAATGCCGGGAAAACGGAGTACTACGAATACAGAAGGAACGGTACAAGAAGAAGAAGAGGCAGAAACGAGAGCATAAAGCTAGCAGCTGTCTTCTTTCATCTTCTTCCTCGTCTCGTGGCTATGTAAGCTATGCGTGTTTCAGCAACGAAACAGTTACTCTCTTCCTCGCTCAACGTAATATTGCCACCATAATCGCAATTCCGATGGTGTAGCTTCGTGGCCATAGCATAGTAGAGGAAAACAGAGAGAGGGAGAGAGAGCGAGACGGAGGGTTGCGGAGACTCGGTGGGAAGACTTAGGGGGTTGCGTGGGGTGGACGAACTTTCAGTCTAGCAGAGGGGTTTGCGGATCTTAATATATATTGAGCTCTCGTGCCCGACCACCCTTCGCCTTTGGGGTTGCTTGCAACGGGGCGCACGTAGCTCGACGAAGAAGCTACGTGCACCACATTCTACCGGCCGTTTCATAGGAACACGCGCCGCGTTGAACCGCGAATAACGCGGCTAACGGAATCGCGAAAGTTAAATTAACCCGAGGGAAAGTTTGGGCTACCGAGATTCGACGTAGAATTCGGGAACGAAGAATGAAAAGATTGTTACAAATCGGCAAATATTCGACGGCGAAATGGCTTTTTTTATATCCCGTCGAAACGACCGGTAGACCTTTGGCACGTAATCGAAGGAGGGTTGCTCGAACAAGTGCGCGTACGTGTGCCCAAACAAGCTGACCACCCTTCGCACGATATAAGGGTGGTTATGGCGCGCACCAATCGCAAACTTTACGTAGCCGTTTATTCGGTCGCCCTCGGCCCGATACAGCAACACCTCCACCGAGCAAAGTGGGTAGAAACGCCATTCAAGGAGCATTTCCACGGGTCTCGGGCGTTATCCGAGATTTTTCTCTCGCTCGGTATACGAAGGCGAGAATAGGGAGGGAACGATAGGGTGCGAATTTATTTCGGAATTATTCGTCGGGGGGGATTCTCGCGTCCGGAATTGGACAAATGGTAGTACTCCTATTCGAGATCGGAGGAGCGATATTCGGCTAGGGAGCTTTTACGAGCAACGAATCAACTTCTGACTCGGTACATAGCTTGTTCCCGGCAGCCTGAAAGACGAACGAAAATTAACTCCGTGCGTTTCCGAACGAAACGATCGAAAGATCGTAAAAAGCGACGCAACGTGTCTGTTCGGTTATCGCTTTGTTCGTCGACGAGAGAGGAATTCGTCGCGGAGAGAATTTATCGCGGTGGGATGTCAACGACGAGGAGCGGAGTCCATCGATAGCCATCCGTCCATAATCGGCCTAAGCGGCGTCGTAATATTTCGAGTTAACTCGGCGTGTCGTCAGTGTCGCGTGTCGGAAGGGTTGAACGCGCCAATGACCGTCGCCCCTGACGAGACGGCACGTCACGTCGTAACGAGGAGGGCTGCTCGGTCACGTGCATTCTCCGAGCTTCGACTTTTCGACCGACTCTCCTAACCTCTTCTTCTAGCTTCTTTGTCGGTTTTCCTCCGAGAGAGGTCTGTCGATGCTCGAGACGGAAAAGCGTACACGAAACGCAATTTAGTCGGAAGCAGCCGAACGGACAAACGAACAGACACGCGGATAGACGGGTCAGGCGAATAAAACGAGCGGCAACAAGAAGAAAACTCGCTAAGACGCAGCGAGTTGCACGCGGTTCGAAAGCGTGAATGGAGTCTGGTCCAAAGATACACCGAGCGATATCCCGGTGCTATTTCGAGTCGGCGCGGCGTAGCGGCGAGTGTTGGCGCGTAAGGGGCGTAGCCGGGCAATGATCGTGAAGCAGACGGTTCGGCACGTCGGTCTGCTACGGGCTCGTTGTAACGAGCCTCTCGCATACCAAATGTAATTTTCCCGTCCCGATCGGCACCCTCGCCGACGATTCACGGACGAATCTTACGCTAATGCGAACGGGGGAGAAAATTCGCGTCTCGTCGCGTTCTATCCGCTTGTCCGTTCGCGCGGAGAGCGACACGGCGGCTTTATAAAATCGTCACGAATTAGCCCCGGAGGGTCAGACCGAGGGGGTTGGCTTTAATATCGAAGGATCTGGTCGGTCGGAACCCTCGACGCACGCCCCTGGACCTGTCAGTTTGACGTATCGCAGTCGCGGGAATCCATTATATAGTCAATTACTCGTCGTGACAGGGAACGCGCACGCGAACGAGGCATCTGACGCCCTCGAATGCACTCGCTCGCGACATCGATATCCTACCGTGGTCCGCTCGCCTTCGAAAAATTTTATCCGAACCTTCTTTCGGATCTAACTCGAACATCCATG